CAAATTCCATTGTGACTGTGGATATTTTACTTTCCATCAGTTCCAAGGTACTCTAGCAATAAAGTCACAGGGATTCAAACCTAGAAAACTCAGCAGTGAAAGCCGAACAACAAGCTAAGTTTACATTCTGTTGTATAGCCAGCAATCCTGAAAACTCTCCACAGACAATGAATATGGACAAGCTGGATTTCCGGTACTGTTGCAATTAAACTAACTCCTAATTTTTCACAGGAGCTCTGTGACTACAAGCAATTAAACAGAATAATCAGCTACTTATTCAATACCTTTTAAAACCAAACTCAAAGCTTAAGTGTATTTCAAAGCTATTGTTTCTAAGAAACCAAATTCTTGACACCGATTTTGATTTAATGCAATGGCTGATCCATTGCTAAAACTATGAGGTGGGTGGGTTAAACAAAAAGCTGGCCCTGAGTCTCCAGGTGTTTGGGTTAAGGCTCTGGAGCTGCAGCACTGACAACCACACATGTGAATGTTACACGTAAATTTTGGAAAAGCTCATTATCATATTTATGAAATCAGGCAACATACCAGCACAGATTTTTATTTACAAATATCCCAATTCTTGTCTCGCAAACAAAGCAAATGTTTACTCTAGACATCAATGTCTTTCATGAAATTTACAGTTGACAATTCTTCACAATGAAGTTTGGACTGAAATAACAGTGAGGAAAAAGCATCAAGTTGCATTTTGAAGTAATGAAAAGTGAAACGGCACAGAATCTCCTACGTATTGGAGAAGGGTTAGGTGCAGTATTCCCTGCAAAATTAAACATTTGGAAATAACTCTCTTCTTTAATGTATTCAAATAATAGAATTTGTTTTCCATGTGTATGACAATGACATTCTGGAGCCATGGCATAAATCTGTAAAAACTGTACTAAATTCATAACAATCAGTGGTGGTAAACTTTTACAAAAATCCAAAATGTGTGTATTGGATTGCACACTGTTGAAGTGGAGAGAAGTGAAGTGGAAGGGAGGGCTGAATTCACAGTGGAGTGAACACAAGGGGCAACCAAATTGACTATAAACATTAGCAGAAGCCCTTGGACTTTTTCACATTGTAGTGTATTATAATATGAACTCATAATGTATTTAACTGAGGTTTCTTCCCATTGATTAACACTATGTCAAATAAAAAGCAACAATCTCTTTACAAATCATCCTAAAATAATTATAAATATAAATCAGAAACTAAATGACAGGATAAGTATTTACCCCCTTTTTTATGACACACCTAAATAGGCTCGGGTGCAACCAACTGTCTTTAGAAGTCACCTAATTAGTTGAATGAAGTTCACCAGTGTGCAATTGTGGTGTTTCTCATGAGTTCAGGTTAAATACATCTATCTCAGGGATAGATGTCCCACGGTTGGTTAGTACAACTAAAACCAACTATAGCATAAAGACAAAGGAACAGATTGGGTTATTGAAAAGCACCAATAAGGGGTAGTGTATAATAACATTGACCTTGTTAAAGTCCAGACCTCAATACAATTTAAATCCCTGTCCAAGATGAGGGAGCTTGAGTCATTTTGCAAAGAAGAATGGGCACAAAATTGCAATGTCCAGATGTGCAAAGCTAGTAGAGACTTATCCAGGAAGACTCATGGCTATAACTTCTGCCAAAGGTGCCTCTACCAAGTATTGAAAGGAGGGGTGAAATCTTATGAAATCTGTTATTTTTTGTTTCATATTTATAATTGGTTGATTAAGAATGACTTGAAGAATTTTGTCTTACTTTACATGGTCCAGTGTTTTGTGTTGATCAATGGTAAATAATCCTAGTTAAATACATAATGATTTCATATTGTAACACAACAAAATGTGAAAAGGTCCAAAATGGGTGAATACGTTTGACGGCCACTATATTTGAAAAGCATATAATTGAGTAACTGTTAATTGTCTTGTTAGCATGAAAGGCTTGTCTTTGTGCAACTGTGTATTTGTGAATAAGTGTTTGTTAGTTTAAGGGTGGTAGACCCAAGATGGTGGTAGCCACTGCATTTGTAAGGTACTGTAGTATCTTCATCTAAAATCCTTTATCTTTGTTTTTTTTTATATATGTTTGTTTCCTCCTAAATAAAGCCATTAGTCCACCCTGGACTTGAGTCATATTTTTACACCAGATTTAGTTTTTTTAATGTTGAAAAGACCCAAACAACCAGCCTAAAGTGGGTGATCTTCCACAATGACATCAATGAACCAGTTTGTTTTTCTGATGAGCCACTACAGCACAATGAAGCCGACATAATAAAGGTTAAGAAATAGTTTACATATGAATCTAATATGGGAACATGCAGTATAAGTGAAGTAATATAGAAATAATCTAACTTTACATTAGTCACTTAAGAGACTTAACTCTAGGGCATTCTACATTAGAATGCAATGTAAACTAGCCATTCGGACACACTCCAATCATATTTACATGAGCATGAGGACCCCAATTACCCCTAAGAAGAAGCATAATATTTAAGCATCTCCTGTACATGCAAACATGGGGATCTCAAAAAACTAAATTTCCAGACTGCCAATATGCCAAACTTAAACTCATTTCAGAGGCACTTTATGGATTTGAAACTTGAAGAAAATTGTCTGGTTTAGCATTTTTCCAAATTCATCTTCTCTGTGCATTTTCTCTCAATCACGATGAGGTTAAAAACAAGCAGCATTCTTTGCTGCTTGTTTTCTTGCAAATACCCATCCTGCCAAGCTTCTTAGTCCATTATGTTTTCCTAAACTTTCAACATCTTCAGTGGACAGCTGTAACAGGAGAGTAAATTCGTTGTAAGTGCCCAGGAAAACCATACTTTGACTTCTTTTCAACGAATAATCCTTGTTAAGACCAGGTGTTTGGAAGATAATGAACATCATGAAGAACTCATCGTTCCTGGCACCAATAACATGATTCAGTCCCAGTCACCAGCACAATGTATCTGTGGTATCTCTGGCAAATGCACTCCAGGGCATTCTGTATTAGAATACATAATGTAAAGCTAGTCATTTGGAAGGACTCCAGACCTTGCTCTTCAAAACCCTTTAGATAATTCATCACAGCCTCTTGACTAGTACATGACCTTCAGGGTATAAGCTTGCCCAGCTGAGTAACACAGGCAGCTGCCAAGCATTCAGTCTTGAACCTCAATTGTCCGGATGATACCATTTGTCAAATTTCCAAGTCATGGAAAATAATGCATTATGATAGTTGCAATTAGAATATCAAGGATGGTACAGTATGTCTCATGTTGACAAGAAGGTATAAATAATGTTATTGTATGACTGGCAGAAGCAGTGAAAGTGCTCAGCGGTAACTTGTTTCCTTTGTTTAATCTGCCGTATAGAATTACACATACAGTACAGTATGTCCCAAAATTAACAGTGAACTCAAAGAAATGTGACTATTCTGAAAGATTTTGCAGCCTGAGCACTGAAGCAGCTCCCCACTCAAACCTGTTCTGAAAGATGCCCACTTAAATCATTTTAGAATTTTTGATTAAAAGCAACATCATGCAATGCTGTAAAAAACATTTTGATATGGAATAAATCAATTAAATAATTATGCTTATTAATTTAATGTCTGACTGCAAAGAAAACACAGCTAACTCCATGTAATACAAAATTCCAAGTTCTTCTGCAACATACTTGAACATCAGTCGTTCTGTGCTTTCTGGGAAAAGGAAAAAACAAACTTCTAATGTTAAAAATAAAAAGGAACATGTTAGTGGTCTGCACTGATAATTAACAGAGACTTATTATTAAGGATAATAATGCATCTAGAACTTTACAGTTTTACTGTGCTGTTTATAACTGCTGTTTTCTGAATGGGGCACTCAGTACATTAGTGGGGACCATGTAGCTTTAAAGTATTTCAGTAAAGATATCCAAAGTGGTCTCTAGGCTAGTCAAAAAGACAAACACTGCATGATGACTGATTTTATGGTAATAAAATTAGGTCATACAAGACAGAATATGAATTATGTTTTAATTCTTCTTAGTTCAAGGGCATAAATTCTACATGTCTAGCATTAAGAAAGCTGTTGGGTCTAATGATGGCAACCAGATTCCTTCAGCTGCCGATGACAAAGCACGGAGGTGGTAAAGACTCTGCCTTTGGGTATCTTAAGACTCCAAAATTAATGAAAATATCTTGAAAAGAAAACAATATGGAATGTAATCATATAAAAGCTATTGCCTTTCTCCCATTTGTAAATATGGGAAAATCAATTCACTTATGGCTTTATCCAAATAAGTACTGTACATTAAAATAAATATTTGAAGCATCTGCTATTAAAAATACTGCTTTTCTTAATACAGAATTAGTAGCTATGGATTTCAGATCAAATCTGAATAGTTTCAACAATTAGAAACACAAATTATGAAAACAAAACAGTCTTCAGTAGAGAACGAAGCTCTTCAGGAAAGCTTCTTAGGCAAGTAAGAATTAGGCTACTATTGCCCTCTGGTGGTCAAATCTTCCCAGCACTAATCTTTCAAAGTTAATTGGATCCGATCGTTGTTAAAAGTGTATCAAATCAGAAATAACTTTAAAGCATCTTATTCAACACTGCTATACATTCGAGGCTCCTTAATGTAGGTTTCCTTTGTGAATTATAAAATCAGTTTAATAGTCTTACTTCTGTACACTGATATTAAATAAAGGGGTGTTCAATTCAATTATCTTTTTTTAAAAGGCTATAAACCTCCTTACTAAAGGGCACAAACAAGCCATTTGAGCCATTTAAATCATTGGGTTGCTTAGTAGCTTAGTAATACAAGGCATTCAATTAAGCCATTCTTTAAAGGAAGCCTTGATCATCAACTTTAACAACACTTACTATAGCTCGTTGTTCTTAACTCCTACAACGCTTTGTGTAAGAAACCGCCCCCTCTTCTCATTCTTCAGTTTGGTTCCCCATAATTACCACTTGTGTTCTCATTTGTGTTTTGCTGTTGATCCTGAAGAAACATGATCAGAAGCTACTTTCATTAAAACTAAAAGATCTATTTTTTAATTATGTACTAATTCAGATATAATCAACACATTGCAGATTATTCACAACTCTGCAGTTCCAAGTCCCTTGATGCTTTTGGCATGTCCTGCAAGCCAAGACATAGCATCAGAAAGCACTGATTGCAATATGAGTGCAGAACTCCCAGCATAGCAATAGTTTTTTTAACAAAAATATCTATGTTTCAGACTCTACACTTAAGGTAAAGTAAACATTATAAAAGAAAGCAGATATAATACAAGAAATGTAGCACATATTTTAAAAATGAAAGACTGACAACATGCAAAAAAAAGGGGGGGGGGGGTTGAACTGTTATTTCTAAACTAAATGCAAACAATTCCATAGACAAATGATATAAATATGACTGGGAGAAGCAATAATATTTTTCACATTCTGGCACATTTCAGACAAACATACACATTTGAAGAATACATTCTAATTGTCCATATTAAATTACAATTTCTTGCTAAACAACATCGTAAACTAAGAGGAAATATACAACAATCATTTCCTTTAGAATTTCTTCCTGAATTCCCCTTTAATATGACTAATGCTTCCATGAACAGACAACTTGAATTATGACAAGGCAGCAAAGTCCTCTTGTGTGAGGAAGGCTCAGCCTCATCCAGCCAAATGTGCCTAAGCATTTCTGTTGAGCTATGCAATGGCAAGAACAAGACAGGATAAACCAGCAGAAGTCAAAACCCACGTTCATTCAAAAGTTCTTTCTATTGCAAAAATAAACAGCTTGTTAAAATAAATTTGGAATCTGTGGGACTATGTTTTCTGGTTTGAAGCTATGATGTGTCACTAGCTGCAGATGACTGTAGGACTGATGTCCTCCATGGTAACACTTAATAGCTGGCTGAGTAGTTGCAACTCTGGCTTTTTGAGCTACCCACAAGAGCAAGCACCTGTGTAACCCAGACACAAACAGTTCCCAGAATCCTTGAGCAGAACACTGAGGGTTTCACTCCCACAAAGAAGGAAGTATTTCTACACGCCACCAATGTGCTTGTGTTCCTGATCTAAGAAGGTCTTGAATATGACTTATTCAGGAGAGAAATTACTCCAGGTTTCACATTTTAGGCTTCAAAAGGTATTTACAGGAAGCCTTCACAATGGAAAAGCAACTACATTAACTCTCCTACACAGGTCTGTACAGGGAGAGCCATGTTCCCACCTGATAAAGACATACAATGACTAGGACTACAGCTACTCCACAACAAAATGGGAAACACTCATAACAGGGCATCACAACTAGACCTGGCCTAACTTGATGACATCTGACAGCCAGCAAACTTGCATTGAAGCCACTAGAATATTTCCAACCCATCTGACCTGGTCGAAATGGCAACACTTCTCCCATTCCCACCACAGACCAGTCCTCTTCAAAAGCCATCCTAATTTTTGCCTCAACTCTATTGATTGCAGCTAAAAAGTGGAACCTTCCACAAAGCACCAACACTCTGGGTAAAAGAATGGCTGGAAAACAAGACAACAAGAAACAGTAAAAAGAATTAATTTCACCTTCTCAAGCAGGAAAGACAGGAAGACAATCAGCTGCCTCACAGGGAAGCTGGTAAAGCACGAGCCCCGTTTTGCTTTGTCTGGGATTTCAAATTAACTAATCAATATTGGAAAATATACTGTATATACCTTAGCAGAGCCTTCTCTTGCCTGGTCAATGCCAAATCTAAGGAGGCAAGAACTCACTGTTTGCTGATTTAGGCCTATCACGGAAGACTGAAAACAATGTTTTATACAGTACTGGACAGCAGCCATACCCCAACAATATAACCACTGAGCAGTTCATACATGTATATATTCTACTCCGAAGCTGGTTGAGGAACTCCATCTTACACTGCCTAAACATCCCTTGCCCATAGACACATAATGTTGTCACTATACTGAAATCACACAACTCAAATAAAGACCCTGAAGAGTTACCATTACCATCTCACTCCAGCTGGTTTCCCTTAAACTCATAGAACGGCTAATACAGAACAGAGTCACAGATTGAGCAGGCAGTACCCAAAGCACACGCTAGCTTTAGAAAGAAGAACAACAACAAAAAAAGAGGTAATGGCAGCCAGACTACATCAAAGCAAATAAGATCACATTAAAGTGTTTTGCATGTTCATTGACCTTTCCTCAATCTAGTACCTGAAGTGTTGCTCTCAAACAACAACAACGGTGCAGTTTAGATTGCTCCTAAATTCGCATAACCACTTTCAAGCATGTGACAAGAGAAATCATCAGTTAATAAAAAAACCTCATGGACCAGACCCCTAAAGCAGAATCCTACATGGATCAGTCTTGGTCTGGATCAGACTGGTCCATGCACACTTCAATGTCTTCACTGCTGATGTCCCAGAAATCTCCAACATGAAGCCTTCATCCTTCACACCAGCAAGTCCTCTGCTTGTAACCCATGTATCTGACAGAAGATGTCTTATCAGTGCGAGCTGCTCGAGTTCTCCATCCTATGCCATAGCTCTGTTGTTGAAGCAATGAGAGTAAATAAGCAGATCTAATGAAAGCCCATGCCTTGCTCTCTTAATCAATACAGTCCCCACACAAGGATTATTGGTAGGAGAGTAGAATGAAAAAAAAAACAACAACTGGCATCTATGAACTATATTCAAAAGAAAGGAAACAACAACATTCACCAGAAATGTAACACTATGCACAAAATTAATTTAGTCTTTATTCATACCAACTCAATGAATCCCTAACACATCACACCTGATGTCGGAACAGTTTTGATATTTTTTGCTATATCAAAGCTGCAAGTTCACAAGCTGTAGTAACATTTTTTATCATTAACAAGAAGACCAAGACTCACTTGAAAATGGGAAGTATGTTTTCAACAGGTTGAATATACTGTCTCATTAAACAGACTGAACAAAATCTGAACTTACGGTGCAGTGAGCGTCTAATTATGACACATTAAACCACATTTGCTTTAATAGATTTATTAAACAACCACACTGAGTTTTTACAAATCTTAATTTAAGTCTTGGTACTGATCATATTGATAAGTTAGTGCAACTTAATCTCTTTTCTCTAAATAATTACTGTTCTCCTGTGCATTATTGTTATGTAAATCAGTAGACCTTTTCAATTGTACTGTATGCATATACAGTATACTGTACATACACATTACAGGACAATGGAGATTCATTCTTTGGAAGATAAAGGGATTTTTCTTTTGTGCTGAAATACTTTCTATAACTGGAAAAAAACAGACTATATATTTCTTTTGAACTGCTTTTATAGTATGGTAAACTGCTACTAAAACAGTACAGAAATCCCAGTTCTGCAATTTACTGAATTATGGCTGTAAGTAACGCATATGGTAAACTTCTGTGTAAAACTAAGCAAACTATTTTCAAACGTCAATTTAAAAATTGTAATCTATTTGCCCAAAACTACAAATACATCTAACAATGATATTCTTGCCATAAGGCGGATGCTCCTGGCTGCCACTATAGGAAAGAATTTACACTACAATTACTGATGCCCAGTATTCAGAAAGACTGTTACACATGCATTCAATTCAAAGAAGTCAAATAGACCTAGGAAAACATAAAGCATGGTCTTACAAATGGTCTTGATAAACTGATATAATAAAGCCAAAAATCTGTGGCTTATAGAAGCTATTGTGGCACAACTAGAAATATTGCAGGAAATGATTTATCTTGCCAAATGAGAACTGTCTCAGCATGTGAATATTTTAACTCATATAATGGGGAAGTAAATCTCTAGTGTACATTAAAGCAGACAAAAAAAGTTTCTAACAGTGGGTGGTCTAGTGAAAGGCGTTTAAAGACAAGGAGGCAAAAAAGCTGTATTTAGCTTTTTTTTCCATCTCTTTTAACTCTTATGTTTCCAATGACATTGTTCCAGCATGTGTTATATAAACAGATGGTTTACACTAAACTTTTTCAGAAACAGTTTTAGGAACACTAAACTTTTTCTTTTTGAAGCAATTAATCTGGATGTGCATTCATGCTTACCAGTGTATCTGTATATGCAGTATGTATAGTAATCACATGCACACACTCCTTATGGCATAGTTTGGTGAAAAGTTCAACATTTCATTGGCCACCATCTTAAAAATTCTTTATTTGTGTATATTTACTTTTTAGTAAAAAATGAATCCACACATTCTGTATTGATGAGGATCTCTTTCAATTGACAGAAATCAAGCAATCTATAATCCACAAGCATTACATTATACTCTTCCCTTTGGAACCTGGTCATACCATGGAAGGCACACAGATACAGTATGAAAAACACTTTCAGATCCTTATTGATTTATGTCAAAATGAATTATATCAGGAAATGCATGAAACTAAAAAATGAATTATTCAAACTGTAATTTAATCAATCTTTTCTGTTTTGTTAATCTTATAAATTGTAGATATTCTGGCTGTAGATAATCATGTTGACATTGGAAATCCAAATAAGGAGAAACAGTGAAATCATAGTGTTCTCTTAACAAAATGGCTCTTCTGCAAAACGAGTATTTTAACTTCTTGTAGTCAGAATTGTGTAACTTTACCACCTGAGAGATCTTAGCTACAATTGTATATACTGTGTGAGTAGCCAGGTAGGAAAGCTGAAATGGTGGGGTTGATGACCATTGGCTTGGTAGAGTTTTACTCAGGAGCCATGAAGGTCTCAGACAAAGATATGTGTTTCTCTTTTTTCACCATGAAAATGAATGGTGGATTTCCGCTATTTCTTTTAAAAGACATCTTGGCATATGTTTCTTCAGCTTGTGTTGTCCCGTATACAGTACATACATGGGGAGTGGGTTCAGTTCTCCTCTATTGGAGGGTCAGCCTGTATAGACTCAAGCTATTTTCTCATTTCTAAGCAGCTGCTTTATTCTACATTCAGACACACAGTCCACAAGTGAGGAATAAAGGATTAACTTGAGGACCTAAGCAAATGTGAGCAAAGAGCATGACTGACAGATTTAAGATTGATTTGCTAATAATTAACTTTAAACACCTCTTTTAAAGAGGAAAGACAAAAGCTGCCAATAATATTGAACAGAAATGAAGCACACATGAGCAGTTCTTACAAACCAAAAACACAACAGATGCACTTTATGGGTCCTATCCATTCAGCACAACATCACTTTAAAAAAGGTTTCAATGCAGATATTAATAAATGGCATCTTAAATAATGCACAGTTTTCAACCAATCTGTAAAACTACTCATGCTTAATCTCCATGATGTTCATTGCATATGTTAAAAAAAGTCATCTTTGCAATGTCTAGAAATTGTAACATTCACATAGTATTCTATATATACACTGTACGTATTCTATATATTTATATAGCATTCAGGCTACTGAGTGAAGTTAGTTTCTGTTATACACTGGGGCCCACCTGTTGGAATAGGCTTAATAACACATTAGTCATGCAAATAAAATGATTAACTGAACATAACGTATGCACTAAATGAAACACCTACACACATTATGGTTTTCATATTTATGAACAGTACTAATAAAGAAAATATGGCAATCGGGCGATACTGTAATGCTTAAAATGCTTGTGTTTTGCTGTTCTGTTGTCTAGGTTGAGAGGTGCACATGATCAGGATGCACATACAGAATTAGGTTAATGGCTCAAAATGTTTTTTCAATCCTCATGAAATGTACCTTTCCGCTTTTGTTTTCCCAACAGCATGAATCCGAGCACTTGGAAAAGAATGCACTTTCCCTAAAAGAAACTGCTCCCATTCTGGAACCTTCTCTTCCACCGATGTCCAATATTGTGTCTGTCCCAAGACAAAAGGATACATACAGGATTTAGTATGTTAATCAACTAAACTTGTTTTGTCTTTTAATAACTATATAGATTTTAAAATATATTTTTCAGTGCAATGAGTCTACATTTCTAAAGCTTAGTTCCCCATACAGTATATTCATGGATAATGCCATGTATCTTTACTACATAAAGCACAGAGATTATTGATGTCAATAATGAATTTTAATATGTGAATGAATAAAACCCATGTGTAGAAGGCTTTAATGGGATTTGTACTGTGTAACAGATGCTACATGTTGTTAATTGGTACACCTATGATCTCAATGTGAGAGATCAGAAACAACTTCCTGTGTTTTCTGCAGTAACCTTCAACCTGCAGCTCGTGCTAGTTTTTACCATTTCAAAGACAAATGTACTTATCAGAAATTAAATCTCAAGTGCATTTCAAATTCAGACCTATAAACTTAGAAATAATTACTTTAGACAAAAAATACAATTATTTCAAACAAACCAATACATAACAGCATTAAATAATTTTCTGTTACTGTAAACATTTACACTTTGAATATAATAGATATAGATAATATACTACTATAGTCAGCAAAAGATTACCTCCAGGTTTACAATGTCAGGGTGTGGGAGTGGTCTTGCACTTAATCTGTCTTCCAATGCCTGCAAATCCTTAAAAAGTACATTTTATATATCTATAGTTAAGCAAGCCTGGTTGAAAGATACAATTTTTTCCAGCTAATTCGCAATAAACGAATGATGTGAATAATATCCCTTAAATGTGATTAATTACATGAATGCAAGAACTATATAAAACAAACTACTTAAAGTTAAAGATAAAACTGCTTAGTTATTGTAATGGGCATAATGAGCATTTTAATAGAATGTATCTTAATTTTTTAAGATAAACTAACAAGATAAGACATCAAATATAAAACAGAACACAAGGAATGAGAGCTCACATGAGAACAAGAGAACAAAGAGGGGCAAATTAAAAAAGAGATTTCAAGCAGGGAGGACCATCCAGTTAATCAAGCTCTCTATCCTATACAAGAATGGTTTGATGAATATTTATCAAAGGAAAATCCGCAGCAAAGGAAAACAGAACAGAATGTCCACATCTCATCAACAACTCACAAAAAACTTTCCAGCCACTTTATCAAAGGCCTTGCTTCCATACTATATATATATATTTTTAGTAACCTCTTAAAGAACATTAAAGCTGGAAGAGAGACATCAGGGCACTCTAGAGAATAACGATGCTGAAGATCAAATGGTGCTCAGTTGCAGAAACAAACAACCACTATTTTTTAGTCTACTTTTCTGTAATAAATGATTGATTAAATTTCTGTTTAACCTTCACAACTTTGCTTAAGCATTCTAGGATTATCTGTCATCATTTAAAATATGAAGCACATTTATAACATTTTTAATGTACATTCATTTCTCATTGTCTTTATCTGACCCTAACTGGACAAATTGCAGGAGTCATGCTTCTCTCTGGCCCAGTGCACTCTAATGAAGGCAAGCCTTTGTGATTTCTCTTTTGCTTCTGAGTATACTTATTGAATTGTAAACTGCACTGGAGGACAAAATTACCTTGAGAATTTTAGCATTTCTCTCACGGGCACCATCTGACAACACTGCATAGGCCTGCTTCTTCCTCTTTTGCTTCTCATATCGATCTTCCATCTGCTGAAGCAGAGCTGCCCTCCTGCTCAAACTGGCACATCCAAACACATCACAGTCATAACATGAGCAACATCTGCTGTGCTTTTACTGTGTTTTTGCTGCAGCTCTTTAACTCAGGATCCATTGCACACATTATAGGTGATAACATTCAAGTACAAAGTTATTGTTTTAAACAATAATTAAAGAAAACTCATCAAAACATATATAGACACCAAAAATGAAACCATAATAACAGGAAGTATGATACAGTACATACATCTCCTCATGCCTTCTACTCAACTCAATTTCTTGAGTCAAGTAAAGTGCCATAATCGTGCAGAAAAGATGGTCTCCCAGCTAGATTGAGGGTTGATAACTAAAAAGAAAAAGAAAATGAAAATACATGTGTTTTAAAAACAATTTATTTATGGAGCTATTCATTTTATAACTACAGTATGTTAGCTGGAGAGTAGTTTTTCGGAACAGTTAGCCCACAGCTCAGCAGGTGGCGCCCGTTCATCATGAGACAGATTTCAGTTCTGGAGTCTGAAAACGAGACGTTTAGAAAAGCAACATGCCAGAGTATCTCCGAAAACTTTTATTAAGAAATTTTACATTCAGCAGTAGAGGTTTAACGCCTTATTGGGATAAAATAAATTTAAAGACTGAACCAAAAAGTAGAGGATATTGAGTATAATTAATTAAGACTTGTATTTTTTCGTAACTATTAACTGCTAAAGAGTAATCGTGCTTGTACAAGTCAAGAATAATGTGTACATTCGTAAAAATACCCTTTGTTTGGTAATGATCATGTCTTCTTAAATAAAATAAAAGATTTTTAAAATGGCTCCGAAACATTCAACATTACCTAAAACTCTATGTTTCCATTAGCTGCTTGTTTAATATTGGGGGGAGTTTTCAGGCTGAAAAACAATGTTCTAAAATGGTCAAGAGGTAGAAGGCATTACTTATTAGTACCGCTATAAGACTAACGCAATTCTTCTTAATAATACATTTTGAAAATCCTTTCTTCAAACTCACCCCCGCTGTTTTCGTTTTGTAGCTATGGGGACAGGAAGGAAATTTCCAGACCGACTCAACCAATGAAATTTCCATTCGACGCCATCTTGGTTAAGTACACACAAGGAGATCAGTTGGGGTTCGGGATTTAAACAAGCTTGTTCATGAAGTTTTAATACCGGCATTTAAAAATATAGAAAATGACGGTTTTCCCCGATGAGACAGCAATTTGTCATCTCTCACTTATTTTTAAATGAGTCTTCTTATTGCACGATGTCAAAATTATGTCCATCAGACGAATATAAGATAAGCAGTTGGGTTTGCTCCGATATAGACAGGCTGTAAAAGGAATTTGGTGGTGGACATAGTCCCATACAATCTCAGGTTTCTTTTTCAATATACACTAGCTTTCTGATAAAAAAAAACAACATTTTTTAAAAAACTTTATTGATCATACTTTAGTTTTAAGAAACTTTAGGTTTTCAGAGACACCACTGTACTCCTCAAGGGAGCTGCTGCTCCTATTTCATTGGTATTCATTTGGGGGTAATTTCACTTTTTTTGGGTGTTGCCATACTGTAAAAAAACAGCATGTTTCAACCCTTTAAAAAATAAATGGGTGTGGGTTAATCCAGGTAGAGGGAAAGATGTATATAATCTTAATGAGAGTCTTTCTGGACTGATACTGTATATTTTGTGGCCTTTTCTGATTTCTGAGAGACTGATTTGAAAAGGATTCAGGCCATAGATAAAAAAGCACCTGGCCTCGATGGAAGATAAAAACACGTAACAATTATGGGAATATTGTTTGCTTTCATCTTTTCTGTTTTAAAATGCAAAACTATAAGGAAAAGTTGATTAGCATTGCTTATTGTTTGTTACTCTCTGTTCTCATATTGCCATACACATTTATGTAGCAGTTTTCCACTTACATACGGTGGAATGTGCTTTTAGTCACACTTTTACTTATTAAAATATGAACTAGTGAACACAACATCATCTTTATATTACAGTTCACTTTGCTAGAATGAAATTATCTTTTCTCAGGTTCTCTGTGTTTTGCATTTGTGTTCTAGGAGGTCTTCATCCCATCTGGGGCGCAGTGGAGATGGAAATTTGTCATTTGGAGGTCAGATGTAAAAAGCAATATCCACACCTCCCCCACATGCAAACACACACAAAATGTATATTAAGAGCCTTCATCCAGAATCCAGTATTGCCTCATAACCTCATTCGTTTACCCATCAGTCTCGGGTATCTAGAAAGGCTGATGTGATTAACACTGTAGTCAGGCTTCATAAAATTGTGTTTTGGGGACCTGCCTTGTAAAAGCAATAATGTTTCTACTAACTAGAAACCAGCTGCTCAGTGTTAATAAGGTTACCTCCTTTTAATAGTATCAATTTATTTGCAAACATCTGTTATGTTCAGTAATATAACTTAACTAGTTTTATTTGCTATTCTTCAGAGAGATAACGGTACACATGCTAATTAATCTGTAAAGCGAGACAATAAAAAGACACTGAAAATGATTTTTTAAATAAAATCCCTTAGCAGTCTGCTATATTCAAGAGGGCATTTTTCAAAGTTAATGGCCTACATTTACATTTATGTGTTTATAAATCTGCACGATAACTAGTAGTTTCACAGAACCTAATTATCACTCATCATAGACAAATTATGTGTTAATGTAGATAGGAAAGTCCAAGACTTTTGCTAATCAGTGTCTGCAAAATTATTATAAATTTGATAGAAGAGAGTAAGTACCTGTACATGAATTGGCTGCTTCAATTAAATATTTTCCTATCGACAATCACGGTGGTAATAATAAAATGCTGTTTAAACAGCAAAAGAAAATATATTTCATGTAATATATTACAATGTGTTTGTATTTGTATTTCATGTGCCTCAAAAACTAAAAGGAAAACTTAATTAAGATTTGTTGCCTACCTGATAAACATTTGGTATACTCAGTTAAATGTAAGGTCCTAAAGTTTATTTTGTGGCTAAAATGGTGTTGATTTATGCTTTCATTTTGTACCTTGTTTTTCTTCATTTGACTCTGAAATCCAGTTCTCTACTATTTTGTAGGAATATTTTTTAGATTTGTTTCCTTAGTTTGTGAAACCTTTTGTTAATTCCCTCCCCAGTCACAGCTGTAAACCCCGTGAGTGTTATACTATACTGTATGTACCTGTCATTAAATTGAAAAAAAAAAATAGAATGGGCATTATTATATTCACTCAGTTTGGAATAGCCAGTTTTGTGTTTTTCATATTTTGACTCACAGCTACATGTGGAGTGATGGTTAGAAAACACGAGGTGGGTGGAAAATGGATGGGTAGTATCACAGGTACGAATTCCATGACTACAGAGGGGCAGATCTACTAATCAGTCTCATCCTTACAGACATCAGAATAAACACAGCCCCATACCAAAGTTTTAGCGCCAGTTTGAGGGTGGATTTGTTTTCTGGTTTAGTCACTCAGGATATCACCGTGTGTTTTTGACGGCACAGTCCATGTCATCTGCTACATTAGGATTTGCTGGTTGGTGTCTTCTTTTTCACTGTTCTATGAAGTAAATACCATACCATTTGCATGGCAAAAGCTAGACAGGCAAGACCTACACACCAGTTTTCCTTTTTATTCAGGCTACAGTTTCTGCTGGTAACAAATACAAATTTATTAATAATAAAAAATTTAATGCATTTTTCATTACATTGTAATGAATCTTTTTCAGTCTGGCATTAGTCACCAACAATGCTTTTATCTAATACCGTGGAAAATAACTTTAGACTCTATTTGTTTTTACAGACACAGTAATTCATTCACTGTAATATTTGAAAAAAATCCACTAAAAATGTGTTGATGAGCAACAAAACAGAGTAGCTGTTTTGCGACATTAGAAGTTTATTTGGTTTTGCTTGTTACAGCCTTCAAAGGTGTTAATCACAGTTTGGAAGGAAACAGCATTAGTCCTTGTGTACTGGATGTTTAATCACAAAACTGATGAAAACATTAAAATGAATGCTAATTAAAGCATTGGCAGGGAATTCCTAAAACATAAGGCGCAAATAGCCAGAATCACTGGTCAGTCAAGTCTGCCAACAATCTTTTTTCCAAGTGCAAAACCATAGATGGAATATCTACATCAATTTAAGTGGAAATTGAAACAGTTAGATCGCTCAGCTACATTTTTGTCTAGAAATTAGTATTTCCATCAAAAAATGTAAATCATAGTTGAGCATTGATCAGTAATCTTCTACTGTAAGATAAGCAGCAGAATACACAAAAACATGAACTTTAGACAAAAAAACAAGTATTTAAGGGTTTTTAGAGGCTTCACAAAAATAGTTATTTAGGAGGCACACGAAAAAGACTCTTTACAGGTCAATAAATGTTTTGTAAAAGATTGTTGTAAAAACCTCTCAGAAATAAAAATGTTTAAACTTTTCTTTGAATGTGCAGCTGACACTGCCTTGGATGTAGATGTAGACAGCTAATGGACAATTCCATTAAAAACAACAAATGGGTTTGGAAGCAGAGCTGAAGCCTTAGAGCTGATGATGTTATCTAGTATCCACAGATCAGCACCAGGCCATCACTATGATATAAGCTTTGGGTGTAAAGCTGAATAGTGCTGGAAATATATAATATTGTTGTTTTTTGTTATTGATATTGTGTAAATGTTTAGATTTATAACATTGGATTTTTTTTTCTTAAACAGATGTTTTCATGGAACTTGTGGCTTTCTTAAGTTAAACAAACCAAATACCACTACTACTGGGTCAAACCTAGAATTAATCACAACCCAGTTTGAAGAGGCTGTGAAATGCTGATACTGTACATAATACCTCTGCTTTGCCTAAGAGGTGCACCACCAGTGGGGTGTAATCATGTCCTGTAGCCAAGAGTGCTAAGTAAATGTGAGAGTGATGTTTAGGTATTGATGGCACAGTGTTGTACTGGTTCACATTGCTGCCTTGCAGTTCTGGAGCCATTCCACACCTGGGGTTCTACAGTATCTGTGTGGAGTTTCTTCCTGTGTTCTTGTGGGTTTCGTGGGTTCCTCCTGGTGCTCCAGTTTCCTCCCACAGTCCAAAGGCATACTGGTAGGTTTGCTTCTGGGAAAATTGGCATTGGGTGTGAATGTGTATTTGTGTTTGTGTGTCTGCCCCGCAGATGGACTGGCAGCCCATTCAGGGTGTACTGTGCCTTGTGCCCATTGCTTTGCCAGGACACGCTTCAGTTCCCCCCTGACTCTTAAGACTCTGAATTGGAAGAAGCAGTTAGAAAATAGATGGATGCTTAGGCCACAGGAATCCCAGTATCTGTTCTTCAGGAATACTGTATGTGGAATGAATAGATTACTATGCCAGTAATAGGTCATTCTGACCCCTTTGTGTGTTTTTTTTTCAGAATTTGTCTTGCCAAACGAACCCCTTTTCAACAGTGTTTTTGTATCTATAGTATCTATAGCTGAATCCCCAAAAACATTTCTCACATGCTCCAGAACACAGTACATGTGGCAATATTTTCTGTTTAAAGAAAGTGCTCACTGGGTATTCAACTACAGCAGTGTTCCCCTCATTCAGTAAAGCAACCTCATCACAGCCTGACAATTCCACAGGCCCCTTCAACTATGACGGACAATTAAAAGTCGTGCTGGATACAACCATTATAAAATCGTTGTTCATGTGTCTGTTACTCATACATATAACTGAATTAGGAGAAAGCTTAATTTCAGACACAACAGTTGCCCAACAGCTCCTGAAGGCTCAAGACTGGATTACTTTGTACTGTATCACAGGACATAATTTGCAAATATGTGTTTTCATAACACATATCTTCTATGACTAACATTCAGAATATGAAGACAACCACACAAGATCATTGACTGTTAAATCTAACAAGTTATCATACTGTAGTATACTTTAATATAGAAGGTTTATAAAAAAAAATTCAGATTTAATAATTACTTTGTGAGTAATCGTGATAGGGAACTTACAACTGCTACCATAAAAATGCTTTTACTCTTCTGTCTATCCATCCATTCTTTTTCTAACAACTGTATCTAATACAGGGTCAAAGGAGAGCTAGAGCCTATCCTGGTAAGCACACAGGCACAAAACAGGATACATCCTGGACAGGACAGCAGACCATCACGGGATACACACAGACACAAGAACAAACACACAAGGGCCAATTTTCCTACAAGCCAATTAACCGGTCAGCATGTCTTTCGTGACACTGTACTACTATGCCACCCAAAATCTTTGAGGTTTTTGAAAGAGGTGGGATTTGTGTTTTGACGACATGGGATAAACTTGGACCCTCTTTTGTCTAATCCTTGATAAAATGAAATACTAACTAAATGTGTGCACATTGCGTGTTGTTTTTTCAGTTATGTCATTAAATAAGATACCATTTCAATTATTCTCTAAGACGTGCGTAATCAAATTATTGGAACAGTCACTGTAACTGATTTTGTCCAAGATCAATATTGTTGCAATTTTTTCATTGATATATACTGTAGTGTATAGCTTCAGTAAAAACCAAATGCCCCCAGTTATGTCTGAAACAAGTGTCTTCTGAGTCATTTATTACCCCTGAACAGGCCTACTGTATATGCCCCATCTAAATTTAAAATGAATGCAGTGGGTCAGGCATAACTTGTTCAAAAAAAAAGAACCATCAGCAGTTGCCTAGAGTTATTGTGTATGAGTCATTGCATCTGTAAGAGACATGATGGATACCCACTGGGACATAGTACAGTATTTTGTAACAATACAGATACTGGGCTGTGTTTTTTTGCCCTGTGGTACCGTAATGTTCCATGGATAAGTTAACCCATTACTTACTAATGTTATTGGGAATGTATAGAACTTGAAAAACCTGTACTATTGCAAGGTAAATCTGTTTTTCTTAAAGGATTTCAAAGTCCACCTTCTAAGTGCTTTATCCAATACAGGAATTGCTGGGGAGCCGGTGCCTATCCCAGCAAGCAACAGGTGTAAGGCAGGATACAGCATGGATGGGACACCAATCCATGGAACGGCACACACAGACACACACACTCACGCCAAGGCCGATTTTCCCAGATGTCAAATGAACCTAGCAGTGCATCCTTTGACTGTGGAAGGAAACTGGATTGCCTGGCGGAAACCCACATGAACATGAGGAGAATGTACACGTCCCATGTAGTCAGCACCCCAAGAATTGAATCCAGAGTGTGAGGACTGCGAGGCAGCGATGCTTACCACCATCCCACATTGTTAGTAGATCCTTGTTCAAGCCACTGTCATGCAAGTCATGGCAGTGACAGTTATTCAGAATGACTAAATCTCCTTTGCTCTCTCAGGAGGTCTTTGCAAGCAGCCCTAGCTGTAGAGCATTATCCTACACTGCAAATATCTCTAGTTAGAAACTTTTATTAAACATATATATTATTAGGAGGTGTCATTGGAAGATAATTAATGCTAAGTATAGCAGTAACATTAAATAAGTATTTCTAAGTGAAGTACCAGAACTGAATATAATTATCCACTAGAAACAACAGAAGATAGATGGGCCAAATGGCTTCCTCTCATTTGTACTGTCTTTATGCTATTATGTGAAAAGCGACACGCAATGTCTTGATTATAATGGATGAGATTATTCTATTAAAGTTAACTTCCGGCAGATGGCAATCTTGTGTGTGAACTCTTGTCTCAGTATTCTGAAATTCTGAAAGCCACAAATGGATATAAATGCAGTGTCATTTTCCCCTTTAGGTGTACAGTATATCCTGTCCTGTTAGAACCATGGGCAATATGTGGCTTAGGGATGATTTTAAAGTGAAAACAAACTACCATGCCTTTGTAAACGGCTTTTACATTTTCAAACTACAGTATGCAAAACAAGTATAATTATATCAAATTGCTGATAAAGGACACTTTAAATTAAAGGACAGATTACAAATATTTTAAGATAATTTCAGAAAAGAAGAAAATAGTTCTTCTATTTTCTTCTTAAATAGAAGAAAATAAAGATAAAGGCAATTTATTTTAGACAGCTATGTAAGATAAGAACAGATTTGTTATGGCATCAGCATTTCTGGAATGATGTTACAGGATTTTCTGCGGTTGTGTGGAGAGTGCCAGTGTCACTGTGATCAATCATTCTGCTGACTTTAAAATAAACCCCTTTACTGGAGGGAAGAATAATCATAGAGTCACTAAAATGGTGTAGTAGTAGCAACTATCAAATCAAGTCAAGTAAAATCATGGGTACCACCAGCTCAACAATAACAGCTAAAATAAAAAAAGTGTTCCTTTGCTTGCTTATAGCTGCAATTTCAATTCAGATTCAAAACGTGTCCCAGCCTGACTGGTTCTGCACTATAAACATGATTTGGGGACTAGAAGCTTTCTTTCATTGAGTGAGACATCCAGACCTTTTCCAATCCTTTCTACATCAGTGACAAGCCAGGAAAAGAGAATAGAACAGAACTTCATGTTGTGAAAAAAATTTGACTGGATATTGTAGTTGTAAAAGTTGTAATTGTAAATCAGTTTGCTCTGTAACCCTTGCACACTACTAGTGAACACTGAATTCCTTCAACCTACAGTATGAACTTGAAAAAGTTACTGAGCTAAACCAAACACTGAAGAGAACTGGGAAACTACAGTACTGTATTTACTTTTTAGTTTACAGTGATTGCTATATTATATCAACTCTTTTCTCACCTTGCATTTGTTATAACATAAAATAAATCATAATTTTTGCCTTGTAAAAAAAATGGCAGAAGATAGAGCCATGGATCCAGGAATCCTTTATATTCAATGGGTGCTATTAATTTAACATGAATGGACATTTTCAAAGGCAGGAATCAGAGAACAGTGTATTTGAAAATACAGCTATCAGTGAAATTCTAGCTCACAGTTTCCAAAGGGATGAACAGTGGCTGAAAGGAAACCACACTGTTCTTCTGTAAAAAAAAATAGTCTTACACATAAATACAACACTTCACTTTTACTTTCCTTTCTAGGATTTTAACATTTTTCTTTTCAGCAATTATTTTTGCAAAGCCTTAATCTCAACTAACTTTGAAACAACTGTATTCTATTTTTACAAACATTGTAAACCAAAAACACAACATGTAAGACGGCATACTTTAAGGTAGGTTCACAGTTGATTCTCTCCAGTTGATTTGATTATTTTAACCTCAGATATGATGCTCCAAACTATGGATTGTGAATATGACTCCTATTTAAATGAAGATGAAGCCCGTTACCTACTTACCTACTGAAATCAATGGTATCAATGGTACACCTACCATGATTTTCAATTCATTCATCCATTCATCTTTTAACTGCTTTATCCAATAAAGGGTAGTGGGGGAGCAGAGAGACTATACCGGCAAGCAATGGGCACAAGGCAGAATACAACCTGGACGAGATGCCAGGCCATTGCAAGCCAGACACGCTCACAAGGCCTTACTATTGCCAATTTTTCCAAAAGCCAATTAATCCAACTGTATGTCTTTGAACTGTGGAGGAAACTAGAGCACCCAGAGAAAACCCATGCGAACATGGGGAAAATATGCAAATTCCACACAGAAAGCACCTCTGGAATTGAATCCAGGGCACCAGCACTGCAAGGCAACAATGTTAGCCTCTGCGCCACCTTGCTGCCCTTGTTTTCAATACATCATCATTCGTTTTGAATGAAACAGCCTGTAATATCAGAAGTTGTTCAGCTTCCAGAATGTTGAGTTTTATATTATTTACTATGTTTCCTTTCACAAAATCAAGTTGTCAGATAAAGGGGGTCTGCTGGGAGAAATATTACCCATTGGAGCTGACTTTGTCTAATGATTACAGGAGGAAGGTATGATAAAAGGAGGCTCATCTTCAAGTCTTGTTGATTAAAAAGGACAAAATGAGCTTTTTAATTATGATATTTTTATACCTCTGCTCCAGCAAAAGCTAACCTTGAGGATAGCTGTCTAGCATTTCTCAGCCTTATAAAATTTCACTTCAGGCTTTGCAGTTAATCGCTTCAAAAGTTACACTTTCAAACAGAGCTCTGAATCATGCATACTGTATGCTTACAACTAATACAAATTTATGCTAAATGATTTGTGAAACTAACATTTCTTGCCAAAACTACAGATTAATAAGAACATTTTTACATTATTATCTCTGTTGCTTGGACATTGAAAACACAGGGCTGTATCTGTCTTAGCAGATACTTGTCTTAGCAAAGATGATTTCCAATTAAGTTTTAAATCACGCGACTTAAGTTTCTGGACTACCATGGGAAGCATTTTATACAACACACTAAGCTTTACATAAAGTACATCAAAACCCATACTTTATTTTATGTATAGCAATACAATTTACATATTAAATAACACTATAATAGAATGATTTGATATAGCTTTCAACAAAACAAAAAAATCTTTCAAGTTACAAAAGAGGAGAAACGCCCACATTTTTCAAATGGGTAAATGAAAAACTTATTCAGTGACTGGCTGGTACTATTTCTATTGCACACACTGACAACAGAATTGTAAAAAAAAAACTAAAAAGAATCCAATAATTCACAATCACTGCTTCAAAATTATAGTACGAGTGGAATTCTTTTGGAATGTGATGACAGTACTCACTACTTCAATGCACGGAGACTTAAGTTTCCACATATCCACCACAAAAAACTATGAAGGAGTTGAAACTAGAAAAAAAATAGCTTTATATGAAAATATAAAATTCTATGATTATATACCATAGATACAAAGTTTCCAGAAGATGGTTAGTAAAGCAACAAATTATGTACATTTTTATGATACACACTAGTGTTAAAAATGGAATAAAAGTAGTGGGTGATATAAGCAAACTGTGATTTGTTTTTTTAAAGTAAATTTGCTAGTTACCCTACAATGCCTTCACAAATAATCAAGAATCAAGTCACTACCCCAAATGTTGGAGAGCTGTGACTTCATTTAACGATCTCCTCATTAGGAGACAAGAAAAGAAACAAAATTTGAATGTTTCGCTTCATTGCCTAATTTTACAAGTTAAATGTCAGATGTAGAAAAAGTCTCCCTTTGTGAATAATAAACAGCAATTTCACTGGAGATTTATGATGATAATGGTGGTATGGTTGATTTTCTCCCAGATTACAGCCTGTTAATATTATTGTTATTTATATCTTTACATGAAAAACTATTTTCTTGTTCCTGTTTGCGTGGCTTACAAAACAAATATTGTAAGGGCAACTGAAGCAGTAAGAGCTAAGGCCTAGAATGTGCTGTTATCAGAGAACTACAGAATATTCTTTAATATGAAAGGGAATACAAGAGTAAGCATTTACTCAATTGCTATGTGCTGTGAAAATAAATAAAAAATAAACAAATAATCAGCAAAATGTTGGCATTATATAATTACCACCAGCAAACAAATGAATGTCAAGCAAACCTGAAATTTCTTTCAATCACTGGGACTGAAACATAGTTAAACTTAAACATTAGCAGAAGAAAAAGCTCTGTTCTTTGTGGAAATTAGTCCAATATCTTTGGTAAAGTTGATTCTGTTTTTCCCAAATTTTCTATCAAGAAATACAACACAAAAATTCTAATATCAAGGCAGTTGTGCTGTATAATGGGTTGCATTTCAAAAGTTTAATTTTAATTCAAATTTGAACTTTTTTTGTGCCTAAACATGATTTTTTTTACAACCAGACACTGTTTTGAGGCAAAGAGCAATTCAAGGCATTGAATTTAGTTATAATTAGTTATAAAATGTGATGCATCTCCGTGAAAAATGTTGGATAAGGGACTTGAGACCCCAAAACAAAGCAAAAAGTTATTCAAGTGCATAGCACATCCCTTAATCAGTGATACAGTGAACATTCAAGCTCAATGCCATTTTACCGAGGCCACTGCTTAAATAATGAGACCACTTTGAAAAAATTGTTTACATGATGCGTGATGATTTAGTGCACTAGCAAATTAAACCCAGGGAACAGTTATAATAATATGATGCATAATGGATAAAAACAAATCTTAAATTCATCCTGCACATAGAATTAAAGAAGTCTAGTCTTTAAAGTAGATTTTTTATAATTAATTTAAAATGTTATTTTTCCGTAACCAAGGATGGAACTTATTCCAACAAATGCTGCAGGATCCCCACACTTTATCTAGAATCCTAAACTGGTGCTCTGTATTGCCTCACTTTGTTGTTATCAGCATTACATTAGAAGCAGCAGACCATGATAAAAACCATGGTCCCTACACAGGGACAGTAAACATTACACAGTTTACATGTTTTCAGTTATTAAGTAATTTGTCACATAATTGTTCTCGTATTGAATATTAACAACACAAATTCACCTTTTTTGGCTTTAAATTAAATGAGTCTTTACTCTGAAATCAATATGCCATTTCTAGGAAGTGGGACTAGGGAAAGTTGAAGGAGGTCAAGGTTAAAGACACTTACAAAAAACCAAGTTTGGTATATTAAAAAAATCTGCCTAAAAATCTAACTTCACAGTAGTTTTTTTATTATACCACCTTTTAAAATATGGACTTGACTTAAAAAATAACAGTAACCTGAAGGAAAAAAATAAAATACAAAAAAGAGCCTATTGCTACATGGATTATAGAAATGAGCCTGGTACATTTCTAAGCAAAACAAATGTACATCATTTAACTGTACAGAACAAAGCATAGTTACACTACAGAGAACCATGACTTCGTAATGCTACGTGTGTTATTCAATGCATTTAAACAGATTGCTAAAAAGCAATCTCCTGACTGCACCATCCATTGTCTTCTTTACTATAATAAACAGCAGGTGATACATCACTTCCTTTTCCAAATGGTTGGAGAGCAAAAGAATTGAGGGCTGCCATGGAATGTCACGTTAGGGCTCAATGACCAACATTGTCAATTGGATTATTATAGGCAGTAACACTGATAATATAGTGCAAACTAGGAAGAATTGTGTTTCCTCGTGTGAAATTAAACGCAGGTGCGAACGCTCAGTAGGACAACATTAAGACATAAAATGGCAAAAAATAAATATCAAAAACTTTATATCAGTGTAAAAAAGTAATCAGGTTTTTTTTAACCAAGAGTCTGGCAAAAAAAGGCCTCAAAAAAGTCTGCCTAGTCCTTTGTGTTTTACAAATGAAGTGCCTCTCCCAAGGTTTTCCATCTTCAAACAAGAGACTCCATGCTTTCTGCAGGGTCCGATTCATCTGTTATCACAACAGTGCCATTTTTATCAATTGCCAGAGGGCCAGTTCCATTCTCCTTCGTGCTGACCGAGCTGAGCATTGCTTTGTAAAGGTACTGGTATTGTTCCTGTAACACATAAACGGGGAGAGTTCAAGATTAAAAACTGCACATTTCCAGTTTGCAGTCCGGAATACAGAGACAGCTGTCATTTCTTTAAATGACACAATATTAAACCAAACTATCCTGCTTTATATAAATGTACATTTTTGAGCATGATGAACTGAATACCAACTACAACAACAAAAAAATCATGATACACTGCAATTACAGTAAATAACCCTCTTCAAGGGTTACTGCGTTTAGCAAGTACCTTGATTTTTACTGTACATTATGAAAGTGCACATCCGTTTAATGCATGTTATATCCTTGTCTGGCATATTGGGAATCACTGACTACAGAAAAATGTTTTTTGTCAGTGTAAATAGTGTTGGGAATGGTAAATATTTCTGCACATGGTTTAAATCAAGTCTTCTTCCATTTACATTTATTCTTTTGGCAGACTATCGTAGCAAATTACAATCACATCTGGGTAAGATGCAAAGCGTGCAGATAACAGTAGTAAAGTTAATAACATATAATAATTCTTAAAGAAGGAGGGAAGACTGTGAAAATTCACAACAGGATTTAAAATGATTAAATAAAGATGAGTAATTGGCCAAACCAAGTGTGCATGAATGGGTGATTTAAGAAAATCTTTATGATCCTCCAAGCTTTAAAAGATTCATATGCAAACAGTTACTGTATAAGTTCTGCAAAGATGAATCAATGTGCTTTTGAAACCACCTGGACAAACCAAAATGGACTGGCCCAAACAGTTTATTCCCATGAACGTTTTTCAAGATTCTGTGATGGTGATCTAATATTTCTTCCTAAACATGAGGGCATTTTGAATGCGGAACAAACGATTTCCCCATTTGGCAGTCAAAATTCCATTTCCCTTTGAGAATTAAAGGTAATCTGCCAAAAAAGCCCTTGATGTGCATTGATTAGTAACAACCTTTAATAAGTTACAAACACCCCTCAATATATTACACATGAGCATGTCATTAAATTAACATCAGGTGGGTAGCTGCGTCAGCATGCGTAGGCTGCAAAGGAACAAGTAATAGGTTTATTCCATGCTGAAAAAAAGAAGAAAGAGAACACAACGTTTCGGCCGTGGAGCCTTCTTCAGGTGTCAAATTAACATCTCCAGGTACACTCCACAGTCTACACAATCAAGGGGAAAATTCTGAAGTACTCACAATATCTGTGAAAACTCCTGGCCTCATGAGGTTTATCATTTTAGCAACTTGATAAACGTCCACAGCATTTTCGTTCTCAAGCTGCTGAGATAGGGTTGTAAGGGCACAAAACATTCCTGCTGAAACTGCACCAAACCTGGAAGACAGAGAACATTAGAAAGTCTATAACAAATAATAAATAAATAATAATATTTTATGTTACTATTTAAAATGTACACAGGTGTAATGATATTATTTTTTCTAGTTAGCAGCAGTTTCACATGGATAAATATAAATACATGTATATAAATATCAAACTGAATCTAAACAAGATGGAATATACACCATAATGCAATTAAGTGCAGGTTACTGTTTGTTTTAATTGTAATGACAGATGTGTCATTAAAATTGACTGGGTTACATCTAAATACTCACGAGTAATACATATGCAAAAATCACGACAGTCATGCTGTCTAAGCTTCTTAGGTCTGAAGCTTAAGTAACAGTACTTAGCCTAAACGTATAATTAGTCTTTTTTGGTAAGCACAGTAATTCAAGTAATCTTAATTATCATAATGAATAAACATGACTAAGCTCCTAACATGACATTATTACAGCAGTTATTCAGCTACAGCTCAGAACAGCCTCTTGTTTTCAGAATCATTAATAATTTTAACCAGAAACTCATTCAACACCACAGAACTATTTCAGAACTATTTAAAGCAGGCAATTTTCAATATGGAAGGGTTGTCCTTCATTATCATGAAATTATAACATGAGAAAGTAAATGGGTAATGTTTTGGAAATTGCTCACAGGCTGAAGTGTGTTGTTTTCACAAGCTGCAAACAAGATGTATGTTTTAAGAGTAAGATGACCTTATCTTTGGAGTTTTTCACATTGGTAAGCAAGTTAGTCTAATGGAACCAAGGCTATATCATATATATATATATAAACGTAGCCGGGGGTTTCTGTCTCAACAGATGGGATTACTGTACAGTCCCTTAGGTAATAGGCTTAAAGTAGACATAGAACAAGAAATAATATGCAAGTGGTTTCGAGACCTGCCTGAAAAGAAACAGAATACATGCCAGAGTTCATGTGTAATGGCTTGCAATTACTAGGGATGTGCAAAAACCTTATGGAAAAACGGAACAGAGTGAGGCTATGTTTAGCCATTAAAACATCATCCTTGGATGGTTTTATTAGGTATACACTGTATGCTGCCAGACTAAGAAAATTGAAATAGAAATCCACTTACTCATCATGCACTATGGTTGGTCCATCTCGGGTCATTGCCTCTTCCTTGATTACATTGATAAGTTCAAAGGTGCTGCTAATTGGGGCATCAGGGTTTGGCCATTTGGGGCACTGAAAATGACGGACTTCCAGCACATAATCATCCTGTCCCATGAAAACACATAAAGAAACATGTTGTAGTTCTCTCTGTGACATCAAGTGACACATCTCTCATATCTGACAATGACAGATTGTGGACCTTAATCTCCATGCAATGTCTTCTTGACAACACAACAATTCCAGATTTTTTTCTAAGAATGTGCAGAAAAATGAAGACGGAAGCTAAGGTAAGCTTAAATGCATTCATGGTAAAGTTGTTTGTCACAGACTTAAAAAGAATAGATTGCAAGCACTGAAATTATTGTTTAATTATACTGCTTGCACAAACTGAATGAATATTCATTAATCGACTAATACTGGGATGTTGACATTCTTTTCATCAACAGGAAATCAATGTAAGTGAGAAATGACTGAGGAAAACAATTTTACAGCTAAGTGTTGTAATGGTCAATAGCATGAATAACAACTACAGGATGCTGGAAAAAAAATTTGAAAAAAAAACCCACAAGCTTCCAAATAGTACCTGTGTTGCTTCCAGGATAAAATCATGTATGATAATTTGCTCTTCATTTGAAAGGCAGAGTCTGTCTTTGCTAATCAGGGTTACAGTAAAGGCCTCACAGTTCATGGATTCTTCACGGCTCGGCCAATATACAAATTCATCCTCAGCCTATGACAACAAAACAACATTTTTGCCACATGCTCACAGACAAAAAATAATGACAATGCGTTTCAACAGCTTTGAAGTGAAGTCCCTTGTGTTAACAGTTTACAATCTGGGAACTTTGTCAACTCTAGCAAGAATATTAACTGTGAAAACAGAAAAGTATAAACACAAGTAAGATGGTAAATGTGTTATCCCTTCACTGCAATCTGTGTGAACGAAATAGTTGTTGGACAAAGTGGTGCAGAAATAAAATTATGCAAGACATATGGTTTGCTGATTGCAATTGATATGATGATCTACTGGCTGCTGGTGTTAGTTCAGTGGTGGTTTTCAATTGATTTCACATATGAGGTGTTAATTCTTTGAGGAAATAACACTAGGGGCGCCAAAATGTACATGTACTGTATAAAACATATTTTGACAAGTCAAAATAACAAAGAATCCTTGTGAAATGCAGAACGTACCAAACTCTGGTTATCTGGCAGCATGACAATGATTTGAGCATTGTGGTCCCAAATCATCCGCCAGAAGTCTTTTGTAGTGTGAGGCAGGGGATGCTGTGTTATGATGAACTCATTGCTCCTGTAGTAGCCCTGCAACATTATAGTTCGGAAGGTGAGACAGCCTGCAGTGCCGAAAACCAGGTACAAGCATTCATATACAGTAGTTCTGGCTTTCAAACTGCTAACACCCAGGTTCCCATTTCCTATACTTCAATGTAAAAATATTTGCGATCCCCCTCAAAACAGCACAGGACCTCTGCAAATGGCAGAAATAGTTGGAAAAGGATGTGGCACATACAAGATTCCTATCCCATTCCGGGTGTTGTCCAGGGAAGCTGAAGAAAGTCAGGCTCCTGCTCCTCAAGCCCAAACATGCACACCCAGCCATTGACAGATAGTATTCATTTCACTGAGGTATCCTTATATTCTGGACTGAGTATTTATTAGAAAAGAACCCAGCTGAGATGCTCTTAAATGTCACTTGGTTGCATTTGTTTGCAGATTGGCCTCACTGAACGAAGAGTATCTAGTTTATATTTTGTTAGAATGAAGATTGTGACAGCATTTCAAAATTCCTTTTCTCATCTTCAGAGCTTTGACAGCACCCTCCCATTCTCCATTGTTCTTCATTTTTCATGCGAACTCCCCATTTCAGTATTGATGTTTGCCAGTTTGTATTGTATTTTGCTAATTTGTTTGAAAATGACTAAATTGAATGATCAATTTGTGATTTTTGATAAATGAGAGATACTGCCACATTTATTGTTAATCAAAGGAATACAAAGCTACCAGATGTGCTTTGCTTGTGCTCTTCATTCAAGCTGTCTTTATTACTTTCAAATTATTCCAGACTGGCAGAGGGTATAGGCTTGGCTCAGTAGCAAACCAGGGTCAGCTCAAAGTAAGAGATCTAGAAAGAGGAGTAAAACACTGTGGTGTGTCATGCGCTTCCAGAGAAGCATGACACCACAGAGGTCATGGATAATCATCAGGTAAGAGAATCCACTTACCATTATGTAAGAGGCATTGATGTAGTCTGTACCTTTCATGCCAGGAAGAGGTGCAAGACCTACCCTTGCACGGTCCGCTTAATGAAAAAACAGGAGAGATTCCATGTTATACATAAATACATAAAGATATATAGAAAATAAACACATTAAGAGTTCCTTAAGTTATTACAGTATAAGGGGGGGTCAAAGTCCAATTGGTCTCTTGGCCACTGGGTCTCTTTAACAATATATAATAACTTACCGTGATGATATTGATTTTGGCTCTATAAAAGCACTGCTATGGTATTATTATTGTTGTTGTTGTTTTTTTGCATTTCAATAGGAATTTTTATTGCAGGTCAGTTTAGCACATCAAGGAAGAAGTGTGAATTCCTATTTACATGTGTATTAAGTAAGAAGCAATTATGAAAACAAAAGCAGCAGACAGCAGCATTTCAGCTGCTAATCACATGTCAATGTAGAAATAAAATAAACAATTTAAGGCTGTTTACTGGTGATAAGCATTATTCATTGTTGTATTTTAGGCAGAAAATTCACATTCCCTCCTACATGGATGATATTCGTGTTTGTCAACTTGCTGCACTAAGGAAGACATTTCTGTCTCCTGGTCAGCATTTGCACATTGCAATCACTGCAGAAACTGCAAACAAAATACTCCTGACACTAGAATTGTTTTCAATAGCCCAGAACCCAGCATCCTCTGTGAGTCTCACATTTTAATTTATGATAAAAACAAACACTTGTTTAAATCTCACTTTGCATGTCCTATTTATGGTACGAATTGTAATTGAACACAAAGGAGGCAAATGTGTTTGCTGTTCGTGCTCAGCTGGGTATGTGACAACACCACCAGGGGCTGTTGTTTATTTGTGTTCTGCCTAAGAATGTAAGACCTACAAGATAAGTGTTGAATTATACTCTGTTTAGGACTGTACAAGTCATAACCGAGGTATTAGTCAGGCTAGAGATAGCTCTAAATATGGTCAAACTTGAAATGGTTTAGGACTGTTCAGTTGCATCTATACTGTACTTATTCAGCCTTCAATCATACATATGATTCAATCATATGGGAAATAGAACAAATCATTGCTGATTTAACATTTCCTGCTCACTTGCATGATGAGTTATGGTGACGTTTAAAGTCATCTACACAACATCACATTTGTTATTCTTTTCCCGTTTATGCATTTCCATGGAAAAGCAACTGTAATAAGAACAAAATAAACATAGGCCAACTAAGAAACCTTAATTCCTAGCAATTATCTCAGCGGCAGTTTTACAACGATAAACACTTTCTTCACTGAAATGGCTTCTGAGCTTGCTCTTTTACACTGGTGGAGGGGGTGGGGGTGGGATAAGGGGCAGGCTGAGTGTGTCAGAGACTTGGAGATAAAAAGGAAGTGGGATTGTCAGCACGAACATGTACACATTTAAAATGTCTTTAAAGCAACAGGCATTTATAATGATTTATCTGGTTTGCTTTCCATTAGCTACCATCAGGAATGCCTACTGTTATTTTGTAAGGGTGAGGCATCTTGCTGGCTGTCGATAATGTGAAAGAAATGACCAATCTCCACAGGTCAGGTGACAACACTGCACAGACTGCATGTTTGACATCCCTGGTCTAAGCAGTTTACAGAATTAGTCATCTTTCTTTTCCCAGAACAGATACACATTTAACAGGACAAAACTGGTCCTATCTCTTTGCCAACCCAGAAAAGCACACACCTGGGACATCTTGGCATTCACTCATCTGCCTGTTTACAATGAAGAAGAATTTATCAACCTGGGGACACCTAGATGTTCTTGTTGTGTTCAGACAGAGCAAATTGGCAAGAAATAATCAGCAGCAGACATCTGGCAATATTCACAAAGCAACAGCAATGGTGTTATTAATTATATGAGTTGTAGATACAGCAATGACAGTTTCTTTAATAATAACAACACAGGAACATATAGCTATATATATATATGTATTACATTCTTAGGGTAATTAAGGGGATGTTAAATTAATAAAAAGGTCCTAATCAATAGACGTTTTGTGAAGAAAGACATCAATAGAATTATATAAAATGTGATCTTACATGGCACCACTGATGAGTTTCTGTTTTTCTCTTTGTTGCACTCCTTTTGGGCACTGAAGCACTCCACATATCTGGCATTGCACTGAGTCACCAGCTGCAAATGCAATAACACAGGAGCATTAACGAGTGTAGGCACACTCACAGAATACAATCCTCTACCCCTGAGAGGTACTCTGTGTCATTATAAGGGAATGGCAACAGACCTTGGACACATGCTGGTACTATCTAACCACTCCAGATAAGATTTAGAAGAAGCCAGAATCTTAACACCGACTACTAAACCGACAGGCCATTGCAAAGGTATTCAGACCCTTGCATAGTTTTCACATTTTGTTGCTTTAAAGCTTGCATTCATAACACTTTGAAGCAACAATTAATATTTGTTATATTCATACATTCAAACCAAAAACAAACAAAAAAATAAATTGATAATTAATATGAAAAAATGGAAATCATAATTGTATACCTATTTAAACTCATGGCTCTGAGAAATAAATTAATTTTGGTGTACAAAATTATCTTGATGAGTCATGCAATTAGTTGAATGACCTCCATGTGCAATAATAGTTGTTCTAAAGATTCCAGAAAAAAAACACATTTCTCTGTGAGGTTCCTTGCTCAAGTAATGAATTATAAGCAAAGACTCAACCATGAAAACTAAGAAGCTTTCAAAGCAAGTCAGGGATAAATTCTTACTGAAAAGCACAGATCAGGAGAAGGGTACAAAGAATATCTAAGTAACACTGTATATCAGCGAGTGCAATAAAATGTGCATCAGTCAATATACTGGGCACTTTACAAAGCTGGCCTGTATGGCACAGTAGAAAACTAATTTCATATCCTGCATGGAGTTTGCAACACAGCAGCTGAGTGATCTTGCAACAATGTGGCCACGTGATTAGATGATCACACTGGAAATTTTTGTGTGCCAAATGTGTTACATTTGGTACAGCTTCAGCACAGCCCATCTCCAAGTCAACCATGCAATCATCCTGTTATCAAGCATGGTGGTAGCAGCAACATGTTGTGGGGATGCTTCTCCTCAACAGGGACTGGAAAGCTTGCTAGGACTGAAGGAGAGGAATACTGGCTAAAGACTTAAAACCAGGGTGAAAAATCACTTTTCAACACTATAAAGATACAAAACACAAGGCCAAAGCTACACTGGAGTGGCTTAAGAATAAAAATATGAATGTCCTTGAGTGGCCCAGTCAAAGTCTTGAATCCTATTGAGAGGCTTGAAAAACTTGAAAGCTGCTGTCCATGAGTGATCTCCAACACAAAAAGAGCATGACCAACTCTGCCAAGAAGAATGGGCAAAATGTCTACCAAGCTAGCATGCAAAGTTGGAAGAGAAGACCTAAGACCAAAAAGATATGAGTCTGTATTTGCTGCCAAGGGTACTTCCACCAAATATTGAGTTCAGAGGTCTGTATGTTTATGCAATCAACATATTTAAGAGTTTTTTCTCTTTAGCAGAGATACACTTGCTGTATCTTTTAAGTCTTCAGTCTAAACATTCAGGGTCTGATAAATCATTAGTTCTAAAAAATGGGAAGGCTTTTTCTTCTCTTTTAAGCATGGAATAAACCTATTACTGCAAAGGAAACAAATTAGAAGAAAAGTAGTTTGTCGTTGAGAGAAGGGGGAAGGTGTGATCCTAGCTGCAGGATAATTTTAGGCTTAAAATCTGTAGTCTTTCTGATGTATGAGTTAGGAAAACCATCTTTGAGAACACAGAAGGAGAGATTAGAGTGGTCATGGCCATCAGAGGTGAAATGAGAAACAATGGACTTGGAGAAATTTTGAATCTTCACAGCCCTAACATGTTCTCTGAAGTGGTTTCCGAGTCTCCTTCCTGTTTCTCCAATGTAGATGGCTGGGCATTTACTGCAATACAGTAAATAAGGTTGCTGGAGGTACAAGATGTCATCTGAGTGATCCAGAATTGTCCTGAGGGGCCTTGAATGAGTGTGGTGTTAGATATTTAAACTTGTTCCTTTGTAGCCTACCCATGCTGACGCATCTACCCACCTGAACTACTTCAACCATAGGAAGCGTCTGAATACTTTGTTTGCAAGGCACTTTGTATGCAGGCACAGCATTTCTGATTATTTATTGTAAAATACAGTACATTAGCAGGAACAGGAACTTCATAATTAAATATATGTATATACAGTATTTAAAGTTCAGGTGGGTAGCTGCGTCAGCATGTGTAGGCTGCAAAGGAACAAGTAATAGGTTTATTCCATGCTGAAAAAAAAGAAGAAAGAGAACACAACGTTTCGGCTCCACGGCCGAAACGTTGTGTTCTCTTTCTTCTTTTTTTCAGCATGGAATAAACCTATTACTTGTTCCTTTACAGTATTTAAATACTTTAGCAAGGTGTTCAACAATTACAAACTTCAGATAGATTGTTAATATCTCAACATCATGTATCTTAATTAGCTTGATAAAGCAGATTGACTTGACATTTAAGGCATGAATATGACTTTTTATTTTGTTGGTGATGATTAAAAAAATAAACTGAAGCCTTTGAAATAAGACAGAGCAACAGGGATCTCATAGGCCTTTTTGATGCATCACCTTAATACCCTGACATTCAAAATCCTTCCAGACTCAAGCTGTTCAAAGCTGTACAGCCGAGAAGGTCACTTTCTGAAACAGGTCAGCATCTTTCAGGCACTTATAAAATACATTATAAGAATCAGTAATTAAATGTGAGTGTATAAGCACACCGTGGGTCTTGAGCTATCTTAAGTCTATTCATTTAAATGTCTTTCCACTTTAAGGTATGCAATTTAACAGATTAAGGAAGTCCTGTTTTTTTTGTGTGCTCCACTCTTAATTTTACATTGCGATTCAGTAGTCTTTAAAGCTGAAAGCTTCCTTTTAATACTATCCAGATCTTCACCTGAACTCCTTTTCTCCTCCTCACTTATCTTACAAAAATTGAAAATGTGAAAATGTGGGTTTATATAAAAGAAATAGAGCTTTTCTTGTATTAAATAATTTTTCAGATATATTTCTATTCTATATGTGTTAACTAACCCAGTTAGTTAAGCTCTTGTACCCTAGACAAGATCTGTTTTTTGGAGTTTATAATAAAAGAAGACTCCAATTCCCCCCAATTCAAAGAATAAAAACAGGCCTCTAGCCCAAATCCTCCCCATTATCCCTTGCTCCAGCACCCTCCTATTCACAACCACTAAAGCAGCAGCATCTTGCTCATTGTGCAGTCAGACAGCCTTATGCTCCTGACCATGCTGTCACCCCTCTAGCCAAGCAGGCAAAGTCCATGACCTGAACTGCTAATACAGCTGAAATCATTCTGCCTTAATCACAGCCATATGATAATTATTTACCTTATTTTTTTCTTCATATCAATCATCTCTTCTGCTTACAGTATTTCTTATGTTGTCTGGAGTGTTGTACAATAGCATGCATGTAATACATGCCGAGTCTTTGTATTCAGCACTATTGTGAGAGGGAGTTATTTTCGCCTCGCCCCTCATTCAGGCAGTCAACCTTCAAACATTTTTGTCACTTTGTTAATGGATACTCTGCTACTTTTGCACTGAAACTACTGTACTGTTACTACTGATGTATGGTATAGAATCCATAATATAAAAAAGAGGAGTTGCAATGCAAATGTAAAACCAATCAGAAATTTAAGAAACAAACGTTCCATACATCTCTATTACTCCTACTACTTCTTACCATGGATACTAAAAAATAATATCAGGAAACAAAATGAAAAATTTACACACAAAGGAATATTTACTGTTCACTTTGTACCACCTTTTCAAGTTTCGCATGTGCAGTGAACACACTGTCATTATCAATTCGGTATATTGTATTTCTGGAATTCCACTTTCTCTCCTTAATCTCCATTGCTTTTCTATATTGCCAACAAATATAAAAAGGAGCATTCAACATGTTGTGCATTACTTTATTAAACATTTATCGTGACTATTAACCTAGCGTACAACTAAAAGAAAATGCATAAGCAATCTCTGTTATCCCTGTTCCCGGATCCCTGTTATCACTGCTGAGCAATCAGGCATCTTTTCAAACTTATTATTTGGAGTGATTAGATAATTAGATGATGATGATCCAATTTTATTTATTAGCTTTATATAATGCAACACACAACAGAAGCAAAAAGAAGATGAAAGAAGAAAGTACAGTAAATTGACATAGAGAAACCAAAGTCTATTTACATCCGCACTGAAAGCTTTAATAAGAAGACCAGTCATTAAACAGGTTTTGACAATGTTTCCAGTCACAGAGCTGTGTTAACAGATTTGGGCAATGAGCTTCCCTGATACAATAACAACAACAAAAAATTTACCAGACACACATCATCCATTTGGTGTGTATTTATAATGAGGAAAAAAAGTCAATAACAAGCACTGTAGCTTGAGCAAAATACCCTGTGGAGTCTGTTTCTGTTGCAGGATGACATGTGAAGCCTGTTCTTAAATAATAATGACTTATTTTCATTTTTTAAATATAACCCTGACACACATAATTAATATGCAATTACTAAAGGGTATAAAAAATCCACATGGCAATGAAAAATTCTGCTACTAAGCAAACTATTAACTCAATTTTGTCTTAAGGCTAATTGCATTGCAACCCTGCAGCTTTTGTTTCATGAGAACACAATATATTACAAAATGTGCAAGAACTAGATTATACTAACTGGAGGAATAATGACAGCCTATTTACATCAATGTGTCATAAAATTAATAAAATTGTAATTTAGATCCCATGCTGTGATATGAGAATGGCATTACTGTGAAAATAGCAGCTTCTGGTTGATTTGATCAGTTATGTTAATAAGGGGCAAGAGGAAGCAGACAGCATGACAGGAAACTGTAAGAGAACTGGAACCGTATTTATGCGCCTGTTTTCAAAATTCCCAAAACACAGTTTTACAAAGGAATGCAGTCTCAGAATATAAACGGGCACAGACATAAAATTACCAATCAGATCCATACAAAAAAATATATTATACAGCAAAAATAAAAATGATCTAGGGAAATGACTGAGCTGTAAAGGATACAGCATCAACTGACAGTCGTGGAGGCTGACCTTAAATTGCTTTTCCAGATGCATCTTTCCACCAGGCCCGGGGGTGAGGATGCTATTGACATAGCTGTGTAGCTGACTGGCATATACTTCTGTTTCTTTGCCAAGGATAGCTTCCAGCAAGGCATCATGGGTAAAGATGTACTGCTCCTATACATGAACACAATTGAAAATAGACTTTCTAGTGCTCACTTCAGACAGGCAGCACTCTTCATACACTACAGCTCTTTTGCAGGAAATGAAGAGTGATTAACTAAGCTTTATTTTTTATATAATCAGATCAGGCTTTCATAAGGACATCCACCCAACAGCTGGTTATGTTCTGGATGTATAATCTATGTTGATAGAAAAACACCATCAGAAACAACTGAAATGACCTGAAATGTAAAATGGTATTTAAACAACTCTTGTTACTCAGGTTTGACTATTTCATATGCATATAGTTCATACTGTATGTACATTTGCTTTTTTTACAACTGCTAATTATTGCAATAGCTCATTGTGTGTTTTTCTAGTCTCAGCTTGTATCTATGATTTGTGTGACCCAACATGGGGGAGAATGAGAAAGAGTGAGCAGTCCTCCCACTCTGTTCCATTTTAGGATCAATCATCTTTTAATAAGTTACTGGCAAAACACTGCCCCAAACTGAACTTTCAGCTTCAAATGGAGGGAAGGTACCCTCCCACTGATGGCACTGGTGGTGCCCAAGAGCCTGCAGGGGGTGCTGTGTCACTGAGAGTTCAGAGAGCCCTACCTGGCTACCCACACCCTACTCAACTGGCCACAGTTGGTTGGTGACATGATCCCAGGCTCAAACCCGTGATCGTACAGCTCAACCTGAGATCATAGAGCCTTCAATGGTTGGGCCACTTGGGAGGCCCTGTGAATTATTATACCAACTGCAGCCAACCACCAACCATTCCTACTGCAGCAATGATTGATGAGGGCTTAATAATGGCAGTTTTCATATCTGATACGTGCCTCAGTATTTCCAAGTAGTTTTCAAGAACAGTGCCTATTTTATTCATTCAACTTTCCCGAATATGTAAAGGTATTGTTTGAAGTTAAACTGATATCCTTATTTCTGTCTCCAATTATTTGATCACAACAATTAATACAGTTTCGATGAGCTTCTATGTTTTAAAACACTTAAAAAAGTGCTCATGCCGTAATGAATAAAACAGTCCTTATCTGATTGAAAGATTTGGTCAAATCATTTTTAACTTGCCCACTATCATCATTGACCTATGTAGCCAAATCGGTTCTAAATACAGTATCCGACAGTTTACAAACTCAGAGTATGAGGAGTGATTGCAGTATCCTAACAACAGAGAGAGTTATTGAAGGAAGTGAACCTGAGGACCACATTAAATTTAATAATTGGACTCTTGTAATCAGAGAAATCCATGTAGCAAACCATTCTCCTTCAAATAAAGAAGAATGTGCAAAGACCTAATTAAAAAAAAAAACTAAATAAACAAGAAATAATAGGCCAGAAATTAAAATTAAAGTAACATGCTAGTCAGCAGAGTATTAATTGTAGAGTAAAAAAATGAATAATACAGACTTAATGGCTAATACATGCAAGGCACGCAAGGGGAAACATTAGGAAAATAAGTACTGAACTGCAGTGGAATGCTTACCTCAGTCTGGACGAGGTAGTTGCGCTGTGTCCTGATGTGTTTGAGGAAACCGAGGACATTGACTGTGCTTTTATCTTTTATCTGCTGTAACATGCTGTCAATTACAATGTATGTTCCAGTTCTTCCAACACCAGCGCTAGACAGGGGAAAAAGAAAACACATCTTTCAGCATTCACCAAAGAAATTATGTTGAAAATTCTGGCAAGAGGCCTGAAAATTCAGTTCTAAACCCCCAAGCTGAGAAAGCAGGAGTCTGAATTCCTAATGTTAAATGTTTTGTAACTCTAGCTTCCAGTGAGGCTCAATATCGTTTTTCATTAGCTGCAGTCTGGTCTTCTGTCCAGCTGAGGGTTAATGTAGAAAAGCCAAGAATTTATTCCATCATTATCACCTAGACCCAGAAATTGCTAAAGGCCTGAGGAAAACTGTGGGATAGAGTGCTCTCAAATTAATGAATTAAGGCAAAGCTGCTCTCTGCAAAATGCAATGTCGGCTCAGTCCAGTAATTGACTGTGGAAACGGTTAAGCATCTAGAGTCAAGGTCAATTATCAAACATGTTTTCAAACTGCAGTAAGCACCATTATGCTTATTAAATGGTTTTCCCCTTGACCAATTATATACAATTTTATTTTTTCATACTATTCCACATTTGTTTGGTCAGTGAATGGCTGCATAATGTTTGATGAACTGAAAGAAGCACTTTATTTCTGAGGCTCTAACAGTAGGAGCAGACAGTCAAAAATAAGATGCTTAGAGAAAGGATCTCAGATCAGTCAGGAGGTGTCAAAATTGGCAGGGCAACAGTAACACTGCCTGTTTTTAGCAGTTTACTGTATCACTGATGCATTATTAGCAAAAAAATGCATTTCTTTGCTGTGTATATGATTTGTTTCATTTTGAAAAATTTGAAAAAATGGTCACAAAATGTAAAACGCAAAAGCATTTTTTTTCAAACGTACAATGTAGTCAGGTAGTAATATTAGTGTGATTTTTAAATTATTTTCTTATTTTATGGTGCCAGTGATTACTCAATATTTCGGCACAGGAGAGCATAAAAATAGAATCTGTAAAAAAATAATTATCTAGAATCACTAGCTACAGTTGTACCTCAATTATATTTGGGCTCCTAATCAGATCAACAATATTTTGAATTGTCACTACTAATCCAAACTAAACTGATTTAATTTCCAGCTGCCACAACCCTCAAGCAAATACTATTTTCTCTTTCTCCTGTGGAAAGCTTTGTGCCAAAATCTTGTGTGAGTCTGTTTGTCCAACAAATAATGGAGGCAAAAGGAAGTCATAGGTTAGTAAAACATCCTTATTGTGAATATCTTGATGTAAATTTTGGAATTGTTAATCCAGGATCAGCATCTTGCAGGGTTTTCTGTTTTGTGAGGGTAGCTGCTCAATAAGGGGTTGACTATGATATTCACAGTTTAAGAGTAATATCATGAAAATGTAATGTGTCTACTTTTATCTAGCCTAATACATAAGGCATCTCCCAAAAAGCAGAAAGTCATCTATTAATAAGCAAACTAACAGTTTTGGGAAAAGAAGAAGCAGTAAAAAACAGACATCATGTTGACCTTCAATAGTAAAAAAAATCTGAAAGACTACAGATGCACACAAAAGCCATGGTGTGAAATCAGCTATGCTGTCTTTGCAAACCTCCTCTCCTTGCATGTTCTGCAAAGTAGTACATTTGCCTACCTGCAATGCACCAGCACTGGGCCCATGTCTGCAGTCCTGGCAGCTGATGATCTCCTGACAAAGGTCAGGACAGGCAGAGCATACTCTGGCACACCCATGTCAGGCCACTGTGTGTAGTGATACTGGATCACAGTCCGCTCATTCTGACGTCCCTTAGGGTTCCCTTTCTGACCCTAGCAAGAGAAACACACAGCATAAGTAATGACGCTGAACAGCAGGAACTCTGATTTCTCCAGGAAACATGCCTCACAAGATGCACACCTTTTTGATTTTTGTATTCCGTATTGTGAAGCGCCGTAACGTGTAGCACGCATGCACTTGGGTGCTCTTCAGTGTCACAATGATGTTTCCGTATTCTTCGCTGTTTTCTGTTGGCCAATACTGATCACATTTTCTCTACATGGAGATGACAACAAGAAGACAAACACCCAGTTAAAATTGACTATTTTCAAAGTGCAGTTACAAAGCTGTTTATTTTCTGAGAGACAAAAGAAAGAAATGCCACAAGAATTAATCTCGGAATAAAATGCATTAATCTAAATTGCATGTTAAATTTCCATCAGACAGCGTACTTTCAACCTGTATATAAGGTATGCTGTGTATTTTATTAAATCCAGACATTTTTGGAAGGTTATCTTGCATGTTTAAAATGTATTATTAATTTTTATTTTGAAATCTGGAAGAAAGCTGTACATACCCTGCCTTTCTCGACTAAATTTGTGATCATAACAATGATCCCTGTGTTCTGTTCCCAAATCATCCTCCAAAAGTCTTCAAAAGTGGACTTCAGAGGTCCCTGTGTTGCAATGTAGGCCTTTGACTTGTTGTAGCCCTGAAGAATAAAGAAATAATTAGTACCAGAAAAAAGTTGCACAGCAGATAATATAAAGCAAAAATGTTATTCGCAAACTTACATCAACATAATTCGCATTAATGTAGTCACTGTGTTTTGCATCCTTTCCAGCTAGAGGGCGCAGTTTCACCCTGCTGTGATCATCTAGAAAAACAAATAAAATACTGTTATTTTTCATTAACACAAAGTTACTAGTTTTCTTTGTTTCACTTTTTGCAGCTCAAAGTTAACTTGTAGGTATTTAATGTATATTGATTGTCACATGATGCAAGTGGAACTTTATGTTTTTCGATAACTGTATCCTTTTCAAGGCAAAGCCAAAATGACTGAGCAATCACTCACTCACATTTTAGTCATTAAAATTACTGTGAATGCTGCTCTATTTATAAATTTTAAGAAGGCGTCTTGCAAATATAGTCCATCTAACTCCCAATAAAGATAATGCAGTATTCCGCTAATGCCACCACCACTTGCATCAATGCACCTCCCTTCTATACTGCCAATTCATTGCTTTCAAAAGTAACTCCATCATAAAGGTAAATGGTTTATACATTTTAGTCCTTACACAACCTGCCACAAAATCTGTGTATAGTTGCAAAAAAAAAAACGAAACAAAAACAGTTTCACATTTAAACACAATTTACATTAGGATATGGTGAACACCCTCCATCATGTCGCATACTGTACATATCAATATACATAAGGTTAAAGTCTTCAAATTTCCATTCACCATCCTTGAATTCACCATTCAAGGAACTTCTAATGATATCTATATTTTATTTTTGCAGCTTGCTGTAGTTGAATCAATATCAGTCTTTGAACAAATGCCTATTTAAACCGTCCTGTGAGCTTTCCTACATAGTTTTTGACAATATTGTACAGTATTACCATGCAAGGTTCTACTCTTACATGCAACAATATTGATGTATCTGTTCTTGTGCTTGTTGTCTGGGTGATTGGAGTGTTCTGCTGTGATCTTCATGTCAGCAGTGCACCGCTGCACTTCCTATTAAAAAAGGGAAACCAGAAAAGAATAAATCATGTTGTTTCAAAATAATCTAGCAAGGAAGGCATCTGTCAGGTAGGCATAGCTTTTCTGTAGCCATCATAATATTGCTCCTCTTTTATGCGAGACACAAATCTCTGAAATTGAGAAAAAGTTGAGCGTTATCCCTTCTGCAAAGAAACATGTACTGTAGAAAGGTTGATAAAAATTAGCCTAATATCAAAAATAGGGGATACTGTTGATTTTGCAATAATCTACTGCACTCAAACAGCCAGACAGGTATTTTACATAGCTTCATTCAAAACGTACACTTTGTTCTTTGCATGCAGACCACAATGGGTACTGGGATGAAACTAAACACTGACCTTTTCTGAGAGTTTTAACACTAGAGATATTTGAAACAAATGATACTCTAAGTCCTGAGAAAGTTTTCTTATGTCAAAATCTGGTTAGACCCTTTGCTTGGGTATGTAGGCTGGACTTTATGGTTTATTCCTGTGTTCCCAATCCTGTGTGTTATCAAATACAAGTAGTATTGAGCTTTCTTTATTAAGTGCTTGTACCTATAACCACCCCACCACAGAAAGCAAAAAGCATTCCATAAATAAAATTAAACATAGCCAAGATCAGTACAAAAGCTGCTTTTCATTTCCCTACTCTTGCTCAAAACATCAGAAGCAGTTGGCAAAAAGCTGTTTGGTATTAAATTGCATGAGAAGTCTTGATCATGTAGATTGACTCTGAAATTGGTATTCTAATGATCTATTGTCTTTTTGTCTTTAGAAAGATTCCCTGCTCTAAGAGGATTCTGTGAAATAATCAAACTTCAAAATCAAGAAAAGCTAAAAGCTAAGGCTTTCCAAGCTAAAAAATCATAGCCACCATAAGTATTACAAATAAATATTATTTTCTGTGTGAGTTTGTATGGACACAAAATAAATCAAAACAACAGCTACAAAATCACTGCAAAACTCTAAAACTGTACCTACTGTATTTAGTTATAGTGTACACCTAATTACATTAATTAGTTAATTAATTTTCCCATTAATTAATGGGACAACGCACACGAATGACTCGCAACATTAGGCGATAAACAGTAAAATTGCAATACATATTTAATAACAGAGTAATTACACCATAAAATTACTGATTTTATAATTACTATACGCACATAATAATTATCACACTATTACATTGTTACATTGTGATTAATAATGTTTGGAATTGTCTTGGAAGTAGTGGTTTTGAAAAGGGGTCTGTTTGTCACTAGCTTTCATGATCTGCCTATGAAAGCACTAAGAGGTTTAACAAACACTGAATCGCCATAGTACTTATTTGTCTGTCAATCTCAGGCATCAGTGCATATTGTACTCACTCTTACGGCAACAATTTCAACCTTTTTCCACCCATGCCAAAATTATTTATTTGTAAAAACGATTAAATCTCACTACTCACCACTTTTTCAGAAGCCACAAATAAACACGTTATCTTAACTGCCCCATTCACGATGTGATCAAGAAAAGCCTACATTCCAAACACCCTTTTGAGGTTTTCATTAAGTGATCTGTATTTTAATAACAGAATTTTGGATTTTGGATACCATTTTGAGTGGTATTTATTGGTTTTAAATGTTTAAAATATTTTGTTTTAATTTTCATAGATTTGTATACATGCAAACCTAACCTGGACTGACAGCACACAATTTTCATTTGAGAGAGCAACCAGGCAGGGATGCCCTTATAGCTCCATCTGTTTGTCTTCACCTCACAGCCCCCTGACACTGCTGTCTGGGTTGCTTCCAGCACTATTGGCATCTGTTTCCCTGTGCTACTGAATAGAGCAAGGCAACATGCAGATGATGATCCTCTTCCATTCAGGAAACTGATAACACACTTCAAGGAGGCCAACCTCAGAGTCGTTGTCTTTACACTGTTCTTCAGCAACAGTTTTAAAACTGAAACACATTTATGTTCTGTAGTACATATAAACAAAAGCACCTAAAGAATAGTTAGGAATTATATTTGAATGTTTATTCTGAATTTTGTTATTTTAATTTTTATTTTCTAATTTCCAGGAGTGAACAATGTATTAGGGGGATTACCCTCTATATAGCACATTGTCTCACTTTACTTCTCAGCAGCATTCACTATGGACATAAAATACATATACAAAATACAAATAGAAATACGTCTATTAAGATACATAATGAAAGTGATACTGACACCTTTTAATAGAACTGCCATAAAGTAGACGAGAACTTTGCTGCACCAAAATAAGGAGTTTGGAATTTGTGTACGATTCAAAGGATTCTTCAAAAAGATGGTATACTAACAGACAAAAGAAAAAAAAAACACATTTTTAATAGATGGCTGTGGTCTCAGCTGGCACTGGTTCCTGTTACCCATACTGCTGAAGGCAGGGCAAAGTAATTAAACACATGCTACATTGCAATTCATCAGGATGTCACAGTCCACACGGAGGAGAGTTACCTACACAAAACCTATCATATGAATGCTCAGAATCAACAGAGTTCAATCATCAATGTCAAGACAGATTAAGTTAAAGCTTTGAAAAGTAACAATTTACCTGTGGAATTACCATTTACACTTGTTATATTTCTGATGAAAACATATAGAAAATTCAAATTGTGCTCTTAAGTAGTCAGGAATTTCAAACGGAAAATGTGTTAATTTTAAGTTACAATGTTGTGTAAACAAGCAATAAACTTTAGCAAACCAGTCATGCATTAATGCAAATCAAACAACTGTTATAAGGAGTAAAAAACTCAAAATGGAAATCCCTGACACTCTGAAATGCGATTACCAATATTTGTGATGTCGATGTAAACCTAATTTAAGAAAATTAATGCACGCTTCCAATCACAAATTAATGCTAATCTTAGCTTTAAACAAAACTACATATATAACCACAGGGTGGTAGACAACTAAACAGCAACTTGTTGCCATTTAAATAGTACCCAAACACAAAGAGAAAAAACATGCCTATTTTTATACATGATTGCATGGGTGTATTTCCAAGGGTTACTATTTTTTCTAGATAGTTTTGAATGCACTTCCCCACGTGACCTGACAGCAGGAGGCCCTCAATAACCAACTCTTCTCCTTTCAGCACCAACTGCACTGCTGCAAACAAAACCACACAGTAACACATGAGAAAGAACTTGGCTGCTTAATCAAAAGCTTTTGCTCTGCTGCATTCCCATTTTTCTCTTTTCTTACTCCCCTGGCTGAATAAAAGGCTTTAGATTAGACAGAGCACTCCATTGAGAAATACTAGGTCCTTTTCTCTAGGAGCGCTTAAGCCACTTCATGGTGTCCATCAACAAGAACGACATAAAGGCCTGCTGTTCTACAAAGGGAAATCATTAACACACTACTCTCTTTACAGCTACCCCTCACCCCTGGGGAATGCTGGAATTAAAGAAGTTAGTTAAGAGAAACTGACAAGAAATGCTACAGTCACCTTCCCAAACTGACTTCTGCAGAACTGACCTGACACTACCTGAATAATGAAGTCAGCAGGAATTACAGACACTAAAAGCCATAAACATCTATTTTTCCTGACGAGCATTCCATTACTGCCGTCTCTTTATGAGCAGTCTGCCACTTCTAATGAGGTAGCTGCCGTTTTGCTTAGATGGCAATAGCAAATGCCTGATAGGTGACATGCAAGCTAAAGGACAGTCATTATGCCAGATTTATCATTTTAATTTTCTTAACAAGATGAAGATAAAGGAAGGGAAAAAAATCAAATGTAAAACCTAAGCCACGCTACTGTGATTTCTTTAACATAATAAAATACCCCTGGTATTCAGGAACTCTCCAGATATTCCCATAAGGCATTTGATTTAATTCCCTTTGAAATTATGCTTAGAAAATAGAGAATCACAGCACAGCCAGCAGCTGAAGATCAAGGCCACTGATAAGTAGTTTATTATTATTACTTATTTGATTGTGTCAGAACCAGATGTGATCAATAGGGCAGAGTCAGAAAATCATGAATAATTGATAGCCCTGATTCCCATTTGATCATCCCAGTAATACCATGTTCTCAAGGGGAAACATTTATTTTGCACATCATCAACACAGCCATGTACTGCGATGTTCTTGCCCAACCAACCAGTTAGGAGATGGTATAAATGAACAAAATTGCCTCCTTCTAAAACCATCTGCTTCCACTGTTAGCAAGGAAAACACAATCTGACATACAAGAGAGAACAATCCTTCAATAACCTAGCACTGCCTGTACATGCAAGGGCAATGATCAGGTGTACTACATGTTTTAGGGTTATAATTCAAATTGTCCCTTCATCTGGGTGTTGCTACTTGTGGTATTCTTTATCTAAAAATATTTATAAAAAGGTGTATACGAGATAAAGATGTCCCACCTACCATGATGCCAAAAAATACGTACATTTCAAATTATCTCACACAAAGAAATTGTATTTTCAAAGGCAATGCGAATTCTTACCTCAAATTCCTCTGAAAATCCATGTTGGTTATTAGAATAGAGCTCAGAGATGTGCTTCACAAACTGCTTGACTGGAATGGCCTCCATATCGTCTGGAAGACAAAGGAAGAAGAAATAACTGTCTTTTTCCAGGAATCAACCCCATTGCTAGAACTAACAGATCAAATTGCACAGGGAAAAACTAGTAAAGACCAATATTGCAGAACTTGAATATTCTGAAAATCCTTCATAACAACGTCTTAAATATTTAAGAATGACTAATGAACACATGGATTATTCATAACAGCTGGCTTCTGTCTTATAGGTAAAATACATTCATAGCTTTCATCTTGGCAGTCTATAAATGATTAAAATGCAATCCGACTGCAGTTATTCTCCATTCCTAAACAGTTTAAAGCTAAATTTGTTGAATATCCTTATTTTAATGAAGGCCACAAATCTGCTTAGCATGCCGCAGTTGTTTATATGCAAGTCACTTTTTCTGGGAACACATACAAAACATTGCGATGCTATTTACATTACGGGTCTTAAAAGAAATTTCTAAGGCTTCATCTATTGCTGTCAGGAGCTAGAAATTTTAATCTTCTCTTTCCCAAGGTCTTCAACAGCAATTCAGATAATGACATTATTTACCACAAAAGACAAATTAAAGATGACTTGAAAATGCTGATATATGAGACACACCATATTATATAATTAGAGTTGGGCTTTGACAACAGTACTTTGTGAACAACAGTACCAGAATCCCTCTCTCCATTTATTTATTATAAATCTCTACAAATAGATATTAGCATTTTTAGGCATTTAATTAGCACTTATAAACAGGCTGAAACTGAAAGGACAACACTCTATTAAATTTGATCATGAATGCACTAGTTGTAATTTTAGATGGTTCCAGTTTGCAAGGGTCTATTTCCCCCATTCCTTCAATTCTTCAAGAATTTCCTTATTATTCTTTCCATGTTTCCTGCTAAACATCCTTCAGTCTGCTTTGCAAAGTGTTAATGCTCATGTGCCAAGGTCTGCTTGTGTGCTCATTATTATACAGTATATAGCATCAGCAAAATTTCTGTTCAGTGCGTTACTTGACTAGCTCTGTGTCACACACTCACTGCCAACCACTGGAATCAGTAATGGACTAGACTGAAATTCTGCAGATGCCACTAGTTAGCATTTGAAACATTGTTTCAGAAATCAATTTCTTCACATAGATTTGAAATGCTAAAATACTTTAAAATGTTTTATTTGAAAAGCAGCACAATGTATCCACAAATGCACTATGATAGCTTTCTTACAATGATCCTTAATATGATTCTTTTTAAGAAATGGCCAGACGAGATCCTTGGATCATTGATCTACTAAAAATCTAAATTATTTGGCCAAACTCTCTTTTATTTGAAGTTTTTCTTACATTTAAAAGTTATAATTTATGAGTTATATAGTTATAAATTATAGGTGATTAATAAGCAACCTCAAATCTCACCCTCACCATACCAGTAACCATAACATATTATGACACGATGACACTGCCATGACAAATGTTAATAGTTTTGAATATTCATGCACCTGTTATACCATTTGGATCAATAACTATGAAGGAGTATCATCACCATCTCATAGTATCATTCGTTGGCTTCATGAAGACATTTTGATGTTCACTTAAGACCACATTCAAACAAAGTATGACCATGCACTTAGAATATTTCCAACTATATTCCATTTCCAAATAACATTATATTTCTATCATTATAAACTGTGCTCCACTGATTTCAAACCTAGCTTTTATTTCTGACTCATACATATGACTTCTCAGTGCAACCCTATCTCCTGCTGACAAAGTTAGTATTCAGAGAGCAGAGTGTGAACCCAGTGCTTAGGAAGTGCAAGAACCAGAAAAATTGCAGTTCCAAACCTGTTGATGGGCTGTGGATCTGGCTCAAAATGCCTGAGGGGGATTTGCAACTGGAGATCAATTTATTTACTCAAGTTGAAGAATGCATTCTGCACAGTGGAGGTTTGTATGCACAGTAAAATGTCCCCTCTCTTTTTGATTTGAACATGTCAGACAGCTTTATGTTTTTGAATTTTGAGACTTCCTGACTTTTTATCCTTTCCAAATTTGTACAAAGCAGACATGGGATAGCTGTTTCTTTTAAATGCAAGTGTTACATTGTCAATGTTTTTCTTTCTCTCTACTATCTTAACCTGTATTATTTCTCACAACAAACCCACCCGGCACTGAAGAGTATACATAGTCCTAGGACCCTTGGTCCCCAAACTCCTCTAGTGTGCCTGACATGAAGGTTTGTGCCTGCAGGTGTTCAGGAAGTGTGTGCATGGACAGTGCAAAGGGCATGAGGCATCAGAGCACACAGTGATAATACAGCACAAGTACTTCTCCCTCTTAAACTAGAAGAAGGCATCTCTAGTGATTCAGGAGGCTACCAAGAAGACTCATTTTTGAGACTGGCACTGTAGTATTATGGAGAGGTTTAGGGGCGTACATTTATCATACAAAGAGATCACAGACTCTGAATTGCAGTTTGGCACAGCTTATGTCTGATTTTATCTTTCAAAGGGCATTTTCCGCTTAGTTTTTTTTTTCAGTTCAGCCTGCCAGTTCCACATGAACACTATTCTGTCCAAAGCTAGGACATACATTGTGATGGCTTATGTGATGCACCGCAGACAGATTCCTATATTTTGTCACATCTCATCAGATCAGATTTCACAGCTGTTGAAGAGATACAGTATGACACTGCAACTGTGATTGTTTTAAAATCTTTCAATTCAGCTGAGAGAGAAGGTTAAACAAGGGCACTTAACAAAAATATGCAGTATCCACCAACAACAGTTCAAAGTTTTCACTACACTGTGATGCAGTATGCAGTATCTGATTGTATGCAGTATGTATACCATGCTCAAAATTGATGTTTTTTATTAAGATTTCTTTTGTAATTAATTCTCTGCATCAGCAGATTTAAAAAATTCAACATTTTGTAATACAGTATATTATTATAATGTGCCATGTATTAATTCGACACAAAATGGACTATGCTTATAATCTCCTGGCTTAAAACCTAGATTTCAAGTCCATAGATAATTTGATGACTTACTGTATACAACATTACATTGCTCTGCTAATACAGGGTGTCCCTGTTTATAGTCCTTAATGGGGACAGGGGGGGCATATTCCCCAGAGGATGTTAACTGACACATAAGAATCAATGTATTTCAATGGTATTAGGGACCAGGACATGATAACATAAGTCTACAGTAGTGTACACTCACATTTTCTGTGTATAAACATTTATGATTATTGTAATAACACATTAAATTTAAATGTAATTTAACCTTGTTTAAAACATTTCAGAAATGCACAGAATGGCATAGTTTATCATGTATGTACAGTACAAAGAAAAAGCAACACAGCCAAATATTAAATTAAACTTTTATGCTTCATAAAGTAACATTTAATACTGTGTATACAGTATGACAAATAACATCTAATACCGCATAGTCATTTTTTTATATTTTAAACTTATCTAGTAATGTAGTCTGCTTATGCTTCTGTTCTCAGAACTTTTTTTGTTACAGTGCTTTATGTTAAGAGGACATAAAATCAGGGTATAGAAAAAATGTAAAACATTACATAAACAACTCAAATACCTATACATTATAAAATAATATAGTAATAATATATCTATGATGATTTTTATATAAGAACAGCAAATATGCAATTAATTTACTAGAAATTTGCAAATTTGTTTACACTATGGACAGGTTTTAAAGTGGAGTTTATGTCCATTAGACAGCAGGTCAGGGAATTTTTATGTCCACTGTCACAAAAAGTCAATAGCGAAAAGCAGGGTGACCCTAAGCAGGGATCCCTTGTATCACTCATTATCAATACTGCAAAACATTTTTATTAATATGATCTCATTTTCTTCAAAACTATCACTTACTAGACTCCAGCAAAACAATGATGGTACTATCAAGTCATTGAAATAAGAAAAGGTCAAAGAGTTGTATCTGTGGCTCACAACAAATAACTTTGTAAAACTTGATATTAGTCTCTATAGAGTCTCACCACTATGAAAATTGGCAGAAATCCATTTCAAATCCATAATGTGAATATGTAAACTTGTCTAGAATCCCTTTAAACAGACTTTATTTAATCTTGAAAAAGTGCCAAATCTGTGCTCCATCCATTATCATATAATTATTTACTGCTAATAAGAGTTACAACAACCTGGAGCCCATCCCAGAAGCACAGGGGTACAAGACCTTACTGCACTCTGAACGGAATGCTAGTTCATTAACAGGTCCACAGATACACAGCAACAATTTAGAGACAGCAGATAACAGAACCAACATGGGCAGTATGAGGCACATGGAGAAAACCCATGTGGACCCAGGGTGAACATGCAGACTCCACAACAAAGTTTATCCACCATCCAGTATTTAATTCACGTTCCAAGAGTTGGGAGGCAGCAAAGCTACCACGTAAAAACCTTAGCCAAACGATATAGGAATAAAAGCAATAGTGCTTACAGGGCGAGTGATCAGAAAACTAGCATTTCAATATAATACCCTTCAACTCCAATTTATGAATAAAACAAGTAAGCCAAATGGTGGGTATCATCCCCTGGGAGCTTCAAGCTGCCTGAACAAAGTCTGTTACCGTAAATGCTGGCATCTTGCCAAATGAAAATAAACTCAGAAATATTGATATGATTTTTAGTTGCCAGGTTTACTGGCTACTTAAGCACATGAGAATACTCTTTTGCATTTTTGTTACACATTAATCACTCTGAGTTAATCATATTTTCTGCATCCTAAGCTCCTTTCATATTCTTAGCCCTTTTACTTCTTATGCTTCAAGCCTATCTGACCCAGCAGAAATTACTGCTCAACATTAATGCTGGTAGAACTGGTTCCCTCGTGAAGCTTATCCTGACATGGGATTCTGAGCCTTTTGTGGGACCTGTCGCCCTGCCTTGTCTAGAAACCTGAGCTTTCATCATGGCAAGGAAGCAAGGAGAACAGGGTTGGGGTTAGCAACTGCCGGCAGACAGCTGACTCTTCCACAACAGCCAGGGGCCTGTGTATTGTTTTCAGTTTTAATTCTCACAAAACATCTATGTGAATCGAAAAGGAACAAATGAAATACTAACAGCCTAATGCAGAGCAGCCAAGGAAAAGCTACATTTATTCATAATCATCCCATTAACCTTTTTTTCAATTCCGCAAACTTATCAAAACGTATTGATGCAAATACATATATTACTCTTGATGTTCCACAGGAGCATGGATGGACATTAAGACTTTTTCTGCCATGCATCAATATTGTGTAACGCTACATCGTACAATTAAAAACACATGCATCAACTTCAGTTCACAACAGCAAATTATAAGTAATGATGCTTTAAAATTAAAGACAATTTTTATGTAAAGTATAGTGTTAATCCCCTCAAACAAGCAACCAAAGAGTTATTTCACCCTCTTCCCATCAGCTAAAATGTGAACGCAATAAAAAGAGAATGTCTTGATGGATTTTTCATTGTGAGAAACATAAAAAATCTATGGGATATAAACAGTTTGCCATAAAGTTTAACTGCTTTTCTTCTGTAGTTCTTCCTCTTCTAACACATACACTTGCCGCTTAAAAGATAGAACCTATTATTTTAACTGGATAAAGAAAAAGGGTTATCTAATAAAAATCCTAGATGGATAGTCAATAATGACAACTTATCCTGCCAACAGCTGTCCTCTTTAACTAAAGCACATAGTCATAAAACAGACAGTCATTACTCTGGCATTACTTAAAGAAGCAGTATACCTCTTCCTATTGACTAGATGTCACTTTAAATTGGAGCCCAGAAGTGAAAGAAAAATTTGATGAGAATAATCACCCTAAAAAATGAATACATATTGTGTGAATACGGCTTTTATGCAAAATGGCTTAAGTTGAAATAGGACTAAACTCTTGTCCAATAAACCTAGGAAGAAATAGGGAGTCCCTTATTAAAAAGGACTGTTATTGACCTAAATTTTGCTCACATGTCACCAATGTGATGGAGTGTACCTGCTGTATATTACATTCAACAATTTCTATATTGCACGGCACCCAAGCAAAATGACAGCCTATAAGAGAAGTTGCAATATACACAGTTTAATCCAATTAACAGTACACCTTTGTTTGAATTATCTTCATTTTAGCATTATGGAATGTCAATCCATTATTGAAGCACCATAGCTTGCATCTACATTACTGAACACTGGACTAACTACTATCTAAACATGCCAAACTGTATGAACAGAAGCTGGGTATTTTAGCTTAAAATGGAAAAAGGTGATTCTGAAATTCTACAAGTTTCTTCTGAGTGAAAACGGTCACTTCAAGATACATTGTCAATGAGAACTGTCAATTAGAAATCTTGAGAACACTGCTAAAAATTTGTTTAGACAAAATGGGAGAACAAATTTTAAAATATATGCAAATACAGTGACTTTTATTCTTGAAGCTGGAACACAAACAGGACTGAAAACTAAACTAAGACACACTGCAGAACATGAGATCTATGTGTTACAAATGTATACATTATTTATATGAACAGGCAGTTCCTCAAACTTGAAATGAACATATTGGTGTTTTGACACCTTTCCTCATAACCTAGGTACTGGATACAGAGCAGAACATGGAATACCTGAGAATTTTGCAGTGTTTAAACCTCCTCCTTGCTTACCTGGTATTGGTATAACTGGTATGCTTTCATTGGGTACCACTCTGGGAGAGCTGCTGTCCTCCACATAGAAATGAGCTGTCTGGAAACACCTCCTGTCAGTAAAGAAGACAGAAAATCACACAGGTATGTCAGTGCACTTATTCTGCATGACGATCACAACGAAAGCACCAGTGTTTCCTAGAAATAGATTGACAATCTTATTGGAAAGTTAAGCATTAATGTTTTAAATAATTTAAAACTTCCTGAGGCCAAAGTGCCTCCTTCACACCTAAAAATATATAGAGTCCATATATAGAATGAGGGAAACAAGACAATTTATGCATTAAATATGCATTTAAATACACATGCATTCTGACATGTTCCAGTTTCAAAACAGATGTGTATTTATCCACATGCACTCACTGCATCTTTAAGCATGCCTAAACTGAGAACTGTATCATTTAAGACACAAGACAACACATTACGATTCCTATCACTTCTGCTTTGTTGTAACAACCTGACCTGTCAATGTTAATGCTAGATGGCAATCGGGGCTAATCCTTGAGCTGGCTTTAACAAAAGTTTCATAACTGAAACTGCACCTGCAGCAAAGCTGCCCAGACCCACAAGGAGCCATGAAGAAAGTGAATTACAGATACTGCAAAGGAAAAAATCAATAGGAATGTTGCTGGATGGCCCAGAGAGCAGCCTGAGTCGGAGGCTGTTGTCTCTGATAATCTGATAACACCCCCCCCCGCAGATAAACAAAACCAAATTTAACATATCACTCGCCACCTCCCTAGAGCAGTGACAGCTCAGGGCTCATTTAACCCTCCCCCTTGTCTGTTACCTGTACTTGATGCACAATAAGGAGCACAGGCTGGTCATCATAGAGAAGGCACTGAGCAGAAGAGTGGTGAGAGCTCCAAACAGCCTCTGCATGGTGCTGCTGACTGAGGCTGGACTCCCAGCGCAGGCGTCACTGCTCGTTGCTGCTTTAATGACTTGCTGGGGGCCGGAACTGAATATCTAATGAGCTTCTGTTTGCTTGGAGAGCTGCTGCAGCTCGGACTACCTTGACAAGAGGAGGGACTTTCAGCCTACGGGGGCGCCTGATGCTCTTGAATAGAATTAGATGGCACAGTGTTCTCCCTCTCCCCTTAAACTGTTTTCCGGCACCTGCTCCTGCATCCACCCTGCTCCCAGATTCGTGCCATAATTGTCTGCTTTGTTCCCTTCAGTCAATGAAGTCAAACAATAGATCTGGGGACTGAAAAGCCCTAGGACACTTACACATTGTAAACACCTTTTCTTTCGCAAGAACAGAAGCTGTAGCCAAAGGATGGAAAACGCACACACTCTCCATTCCTGTATGTAATGCTAAGGCACCGTTGATCCCGCAGTGCCACCCATACAACCATATAGCAAGCTATAAAGAATCTAACAAGATTCTAACATTAAATCGGCAATGAATATATGCAGTACAGTACTTATTCATAAAGATAGAAAGCTAGCTAGAAAAACTAAAATACGGTAAAACAAATAATTTTAAGCAGCAATGCTACATAATTGAAATCTGAAATAAAAAAGACAGCAGATTACTGCCATCTGGTTCTGTGCTTTCAAAGTTCAAGATTTTTTTTTAATTGGCAAGAGTTTGCCTATTATACCACTCAACCTTCAACAATTCAGCTGAACGCACAACTGAGGGCTATAAACAGGGGTTACAGTACATACAAAATAAACATGAATAATTTAATCAACTCTCAGCAATATTTAAAGCAATTTTCACAAAGCAATTTTCCTACTACAAATAACTGCTTTTATTAAATTGCGCCAACTTAGCCTTTAGTATGCGAGAAGTTGCACTTTTTTATCACACTATGTTAACATAAATACTCCACTCCGTATTTTATGGGTTTTACCAAGCTTTTCATTAGGGCTTCCTCCCTACCCCTGTAACTAAATGCCCTGTCCTGAATTTATTCACGATGAAAAATGTTCCAGAAATGAAAATTAAAAAATGAAAAAAGAATCAGCGCTACACACAGAACACTCAAATGTTCTCCCACAGATAACAACAAATCGAAATAAGTATTAAACCCGATAATCATATTCACGTGGGTAATTTACACCCCAGACCATTTTAAACACATGAGAGATCATTTGCTATGCAATCGGCCAATGGATATCACACCTACAGCACCTCTAGAGGAAAAAAAAAGAGGAAAAAAGAGTGTGCAATAGGTCGTGCAGCAAGGCCATTGCCCTCAGGGAACATGCTGTGTCTAGGGAACCATCAGAGACCAGACACTGCTTCTGTCACATTATAGTGTTCCTGGAATAAAAAAGCAAATTGCTGCTGAGTTGGAACCAAATGTCTTTACAGCTGATTATTATTTTATTTTTTCAGTGACTGCAGTGTATATACTGTTAAAACCGAACACAAAGAAGTCTCACAAACAGGTGAAGGGGCTGTTTGAAGTACTGTGCTGGCAATGGGGCTATAGAGAAACAGAAGCAGCTAAGCTTGATGAGCCTCCTATCATATCTGGCATTTTCCTGAAGCCTGATGTTCTGAAAGCTTATATAAAGTAAACATGACTGGGTTTAAGAACTCTTCATAAATGAGGGTCACCAAACCCCCTTCTATTAGTCAGTGACTGCATTATGAATTCATGTTAATTATTTTAGACTCAACTAACCAGTATTTCACTCTCAACTTAGATGAATCAAATATTGAAGAATAGAAATCCAAACTTATAAGAACCTGCCATCTTATATTATTGCTAATGTTTACCATTACCAATGAATTACATCCTAATGCAACTCACATTATTAAGGTAAGGATTTGAGTCAGAGTATTTGAGAAAATGCACGAGCTCTGAATTTGTTTCATTAGGTAGTTCTTGGCAGGCAAAGCAAAAACCAATAGGCTTAAGGTTTTCTTTATACAAAGCCAGCAAATAAATGCTTCCAATAAACCAAATACTGTAATATGTACAATTCTAACAAAGCATAAAGCAAACCACTTTAATAAAAAGTCTGTGAACATATTTTCATAAGCATACGAAAAGTCTATAAAAAATGCACACAGGAGTACAAGGTGTTATTCAATTGCACAAAAACTATCAATACACAACCAGGAACTAAATATTTGCTTAAACCCGCCTACCTAATCTCTAGCACTAATGCCTTAATTAGGCAGCACCCCTATCTCAGCCCCCTGAGTCTGAAGAAAGCTGAGCCACTTTATTTTCATAAGCCTATAAAGGCACATTTCTCACCAGCAGTCAGGAACAAATTAACCTGCATGTTACTCTAGCCTCACCAGTTAAAACTTCGTTACCAATTTGAAATAAATATTGGCACCATCTGCGTTGGTCACATACTCATTTCACAAATGAAAGGACACCAGTTTGCAAACAGCGAAGCTGGCCTTGTTTCTTGTCAGTTCACTCATTTGTCTTATTAAAATGCAATAGTCTAGTTCAAGAGAAACGGCTGGTGCATAACTTTCAGGTTAAAAAAACATTTTTAATATATTCATTAATTTTAAATCATATTGTAATTATCACAATACCATGGACCTTTCATTGAAAGGACTGGTTACTATTTTTACTTGAATTTGTCTTTGTAAAAATATACATTCTAATTTTGTCTCCATTTTCTTTTGAAATGCAATTTTTATTTTTTAATGTATTGGAAATCCACACCTCATTATACTATGGAAGAGAAAGTTTTTCCAGGGAAACTGGAGTTTTCATAGCAAAGGGAAAACATATTCTTTACTCCAGTTAGCACATAGCTTTTGTCTGTTACACATGTTTAATCCAGCTTTTGAAAGCATCATGCAGCATGTTTTTAGAAACCTCAGTCATTCTTTTTTTTTTACTAATGAGCAGAGGCCACTCTACTGAAAAGCCCGACAGGACACCTCAGAGCACAGCCAGCAGCAGGGGGTCTGGTTGCCACAGCAACGGACAACTCGTGAATTTTGATATGCCCCTGCGAAGCCAGTTTGGTAAGACTCAACTAGGGAAAAGTTGCAAAGGAATTAGGCATTAATGATCATGTGACAGGGCACCCACAATACACAGCTGCACACAGTTGTGTCACAGGCTCGTGCAACAACTGTTCAGAAAAGGAATACTTATTTGATACTAAAAATATAAAATTCTAAAGCTAAAGTTATAAATTATCTTCACACAGACATCCAACCCTTTTAGATTCAAGAGAAAATCAAGTCTGTCATACATACAAACTTAAAAAAATGACTAGGCAATATAAAGAGCACTGTAGAGTGTGTGAAATTCTAAATCACAGCAAACGTTTTCATGTTGAATTGGTTTTGTCATGCCTTTCACTGCTGGTAAGTCAAAGCCCATTTACAAGACAGCATATAACATGTGTGATGGGTAAAACAGACAGGAGAAGAGACACTTCACAGATATGATGCCCCGCAAATGATGGTAATGGCTAAGTAATGGATCCCTAAGGAAAGTCGTCACTGCTCTCTTTCCAGCTTAGTGTCAGCAGAGCACAATCACTCAGCTTTAACCTGGGTTTTCTCTTCATCGGAGTCATTAGACAGGCCTAATCAGAACCTTATGATAGTAATTTTCTAGAGATTAATGAAGATAATATTTCCCTCGCAATCAGTGCAATTTGCCTTCATCACTTAGTAATACCTCCAAATTACAACCAAAGCAACGAGAATCTAACGAATCCAAACACATTAACCACACTGAAAATAAACTGTAGCATGCAAAATTGTATCTTTTCACCGTCTCAACCTCTGTATGATTCAGAACTAGTACTGAAAAAAACTTTTTCGTATTAACTGTTTAAGAGGAGGGATAGAGATAAAAGTCAATAAACTATTAAAATAGGGACCAGCAAACATTACGTATGTATATTTTGCATCTCCTTCTGGTGACCTAAAATATAATGTACACTTTGGTACATTTCTTGTACTACTTAATAAGGTGATGGCATAAAATGTAAATTCCAACTATACAAAGTATTATTCTCCATATTAAATCAAGGACAAAACAATTTCCCTTAAAACCTCAGACACACACAGATCTCTACAGAACAATGAGGCTGCAGTGATGTCTGCCTTGTATTCAATATTCAGGACTTACCTCCAGTATACCAGCACAGCCACCAAAAGAATGAGGCACACAAAGGTCAGAGCGGAGACAACAACCAAAGGGATGATCCACTCCATCTTGTTTGAAACATACGAGGGATGCCTTGTCATGTTGGAAACAGTATTTCTTTCTGTAGGTTAAATGAAAGGCAAATTATTAGTGGGCATATTGAGGTTTACATACGTACTAAACAAGAATGAAAACAGGAACTAGCAAAGAGAATACAGCCTTTCCCTGCGTCTTTCCTAAAGCCTCAAAGTTTTATATTTAAGCTGAATAAAAACATACATAAATAAAGGTAGGGTTTTGTAAAGAAGCGCATCAGGAATGGTCATGACAGACAATTAAATAACTGTTGACGAAATAATTTATGCAGTTCTCTAGTTAGCCTCTTAGATGTAAAATGAGGTCCTCTAAGCTTCATATGGGGTTTGAAGATAGTCCTCCCCAGTGCTGTTGTGTGTTAGAGAGCCTAATGAATACAACTCTTTACTGTCATAGAATTGTATGGGACATACTACACATGGGAGGCATAGTGGTGCATTATAGTTAGCATTGCTGCCTCGCAGTGCTGGGGTACTGGGTTCAATTCTTGGAGTGATATATGTGTGGAGTTTGTATGTTAACCTTGTGTTCACATGAGTTCCATCTGTGTGCTCTGGATTCCTCCCACGGTTCAAAGACATACTGGCAGGTTAATTGGCTTCTGGGAAAACTGGCCTTAGTGTGAGTGTGTGCGTGTCTGTGTGTACTCTGTACAGAACTGCCTTGCACCCACTGCTTGGAGGGATAGGCTCCGGCTTCACTGTGACCCTGTATTGGATAAAGAGGTTAAAAATGGATGTACGGATACTATAAACATATACTGCACAAAAGCAATATTTCTCTCCAACTTAGTTGGTATGCATTTTATCCATTCAGCAACAAGAAAATAAATGGTCACTTAGAAGTGCTACACCCAGTTTCATTTTTTAAATAGTATTGTACCTCATGCTTAATAATCATAAGAAAAATAAAAAAACACACAGCAGCTGTTAAAGATGGAACAGATTATGACCATTTTACAAAAGGGATGTTTACAGCAGCACCTACCCGAGTCAGACTGCCCTGTGCAGTTCAATCCTCCCATTCCTTAACAGTGTTAGCATTCATTACCACAGTGTAAACAATGAAGTCCCGAGGATCCACTTAATTGGCTTTTCACAGCCTGAAGCCGGTGTGCTGATAATCTGAATCTGAAGTCTGAATTTGCCATATAACGTGTGGATCCATACTGGAGAACAACACAGCTTACCCTGCCTGAGCCATGTGTATTCAAATGTTATCTAAACCGCAAAGACACACACAAGCAAGTCAGTTGTTACTTTCTTTGGCAGGGAGAGCTAAAAATGGAGCTAAGATTTCATATGGCGACAGCTCTGTTCTCCTCTGGTCTCTCCACGGTCTAAAAGTAGGCCAGTGCTATGCTCATTGAAGTAATGGCCTTTAACAGGCGGGTCTAGCTAAGGTGCTAATCAGAGTACAGGGAGGGCAGTGTGAGCAGAAGAATGAGAAACAGACATGGACAGACATGGGCCGTAGTGTGTTCTTGAAACACACAATCAATAAATGACATGTTAAAAGACCTTAATTAGCCTCTCTTAGCAACCAATTCACCAGGATAAAGAAAAAAATGTGGAGAAAATAATTTTCTCATTTCATTTAAATTTTACTGTATGAAATTTTGTGAACCTGACAAATTGTGTCTGAGTGTTTCTTATGTCAATATGATTAAAAAAACAAAAGCAGCAACGTTATGCCTCACTCACTGTCATGTATGCTTATGTCTTTGTGAAAAAGTCTGTAGACGGGAAACAGCTAAACGTCCAGACTGCTCCTATTTTCACAGCAATGTGAAACAAGGAAGGAGAACCTTTGCCTATATCGCCCTCAGACTTGGTTGACGGTTCTGTGATGACGTATGAAGAAATCAAAGTTGTAATTGAAACCAGAGGCTATTTCCGTCATAACAGTGTGCACAAGAATATAAGCAAATCAGTAGGCTTAAAGATCTTTACTGACAAAACTACTGCACTTACTGTACAGCTGTGTGTGATGTAAGCTTTATATTTCATCTCACACTGAAAGCAGTTTCTATTTAAAACCACAAGCAAATACACATTTGTGTTCTTGGCAGAAGAATGACTAACTGTGCACTACATGAATGTGTTTGAATTAAAAAAAAAACTTTTATCCCCAAGAATTTCTCATGCATGATTATCATATTAATGAATACAAATTAGTTATCAGGCCCTTAAATATACAGAGATATAAACAAATATTTTGTATTAACCTGCCACCAACATATTTATAGACACATGTGAACAATTTCTGGTTATTTATAGGCTGTGATCATGTTTGTTTAACAAATGGACAAAGATAATTCAAAGTGTAACTTCTTGTCAGATTATCACTGGCTGCATAGTTTAAATATGAAGCTGCAGATAATTATGACACTGTTTCTGTATTCGAGTGCCACGTTCTCTATTTGTTGTTTTTCACAACTGTGATTTATTTACATTTATGTCTTCACACTGTGGACAGATATACAGTGCATACACAATTACATGTATATTGTAGAGTATGGCATCGCTTAATCCTCTGGCCAGCTGAATTACAAGTCCAATATCTCATGGCGGCTTTCAAATTGCTAGAACAAATCCACCATCAGCTTGTGGGTTTATAGTTGGCAAGTATCCCTAATCCAGGCTTGTGTCTGCAAATTTCCCTTTGAATTCTACCATATATCTTTTTCATGTATGGGATAATCTCTTTAAAAAATGTGCTATAACCACCATCAATATAAAACACATATACATTTTTTGTTCTCAGATCATTCACTGCTTTCTGCACAAAAATATCACAATTGCCACCAGAACAGTGGTCATTTCACTATTGAACCAATACTGAATTAACTTCATATAATTACTGGCAACACCTTAGTGCTACATATTTCCTGCCCACAAAACCACTAAGAAACTAACAGTCTTTCCCTTGCAGCATGTTGCTAAAAGCCCATTCAGATAGATTTATCCAGCTCACTGTGCATTAATCCACTTTATCATAAATAACTTAAATGTACTTCACATGGAGTCTGAGATACTTGACTTTAAAGTGCTCTGCGGATTGTCACGTGGGACAAAGAAAAAATCACAAGTACAAGTAAATAGCAAACTGTATAGTTTAGGAAAAAAATACTTTATTTTTATAATTTCTTCAAGCAAACTTTTTCGGAGTGTTGTTAATTGCAAGCGGGTCAAAGTATATCGACTGCTGCAGTGTTTCGTTTCATGTTCAAGAGCCAAGAAAAACCAAATGCTCCTTGGAACTTGCCAGGAAAGCCAGACCACACAGCTGCCACAGAGAAAACCTTTTCTACTCTTCGCACACTTGCCATCTTTTATCAAATCATTTGCTCTTTTGTAATATTATATTTATGACAGAACACTATCCAGCTTTTTGCTAAAGAGATACTGCTGTGCAATTCTTAGCCCTGCAGCACAGATTTAATTGCTGGGATGAATTTTAAGCAGCTCAATGGAAAAAAAAACAACAGAAAAAGTAAAATAGGTGTGAACAACACTGACAGGCCAGAATCATTGGCTGGCACAAACACCCCAGGCTGCCTCATCTTCCCAAATGGGACACAACAGGACTGACTACTGACACAGACACTCACTGGCTCTTCTGTCATCCAAAGAAGAGATGCTCATCATTTCAATGTGCGTAGCTAGAGCTTCAGTGGCAGAGCTATCCAGATGGCTGTGCTGATTGATAATGATGTGGCCGTACACAGAAAACATGCTTTCATGGTGCCCTTTCACGTCCAGCAGACAGCGTGCTGGATTACAGTCCAGGTGGCACACAGTCGCAGCACTTCAGTCACATGATCTAGCCAAGAGCCCACTTTACAAGCTCACATACCCTCACGGCTCAACTGAATCAAGGAAGACGCCAAACAGTACTAAACTGTGTCTGTCCACCTTTAGACCAGACTGCCTTTCTCTATTTTGAAATGTATGCGTCCAAGAAAAAAAGAAAGCCCAAAACCTCTTACCCTGGTGCAGGGAAGCATCATGCTACTTTACAGCTTCTTCAGTTTGCTGCAATTAAGTGTCTGGGGGTGGGGGAGCAGCACACAGAATGGCAATTATCACCCAGTGGAGTGATGATGGATAATCAATATCTCAAACTGTGCCCCCAAGTGCTGCTCTGAAGCGTGTTCTGGGGAGCTGACAACAGGTGAGTCTCAGAACACAAGTAGCTGAATGTTAATAACAAATTCCGGGGACTGCAGCAGGCAGGGGTGGTCACACAGGGCAGTGTCCTGTGTGGGAGCAATTTATCCCCAGCCCATGATTTGATTTTGGAGAACAAAAAAGATTTTGAACGGTGGATCATTGTGGGACATCCAGAGAGAACCTCATGAACCTACTCAGAAATTGTCACAACTCAAAAAGGTGTAAAATCCAAGAGTTACTATCAAAGTATTTACGGCACTAGATGAAAAAGAACTTACGTACAAGAACACTCCCTTTTTTCTTTTTTTGGCAAGCATCCTCAAACAAAGAATTAAAAAAATTCTAGATGGATATCCCGAGCCAGGTCCGCCAGACAGCTTCCCCTTATTTATAACCGTTCCACTTAAAATTAAAATAATAACCTGGTGCTCCCAGGTGGCTCCACTAGTAACGGTCCCTATTCTGATTGCCGGTAAGTGTTGGCGACATCAGAACAGCACACACCCCAGTGTGGAATCTCATGTACGTTCCCACAGAGTGTGGTGTGTCAGAAAATGAACGGCTCAGTGGATGAGTACTGGTCTCACTGCTGTGAGCCGAGATGTAAAGACGTAATGCGTGATCACACACGTAGTGAGTATACAAATTACATAATTGAAATTCTAAAAATCCAACTATAGCTGCATCATAAGAATCTAAGCTGACATTACTTGTCGGAAATGTTTCTTGATAGATCATATATGGATTTTATCCTTGATGTTTTCCTTAATATCCATGAGCTTGTGTGAACTCCATAAGGAAGGTAAAGATGAGACCAACTGTACTTAGTATGAAGTAATAAGCTAGTTTTTCATTTGATTAGAAGGTTTTGTAAGGTTGCCAAATAACTTTATTCAATTATGGACTATTGTTACCACAGGCTACTATTATTCTGTGATTATCTATTAGCTAGCGTTATTTTACTACACATACTGTATAAGTCATGTGACAGTGTGTAGCAGGAGGCACCGCGGCGAGCACCAATAAAAGTCAACGCCCCGGGCAAGGGGAAGGAAGTGTCACGATTGTAGTCCCTCCCCCTTAAGGGCGCTCGGCTCTTCCTTGTTTGCCTCATTCCCTGCACCTGTTCCTTGTTCTAGCCTCCTTTAAGCCCCCCTTAAAAGCCAGGTGCTGACATTAATCCGGGCTCTGCATCTGATTTCCATATCGTGCGAGCCCGGGACCTGGTTGCGCATGGCTCCGTTATGTTTTTAAGTTTCTATGCCTGTTCCTGTTTCCCTTGCCTGTTCCGACCCGGTTCCTGTTTTTAAATCCCTTGTCTTGGATGGATCACCTGGCCATGGACTTTTGCCCATATTTTGGATTCGCCTATGGACTTATTCTTTGGATTGTTTGCCTCGGCCACACCTTCCCTGTACACCAGCGCACCTAGGACATGCCCCCGTCTTCATTCCCGTCTCCTGCATGACTTTTTCCCTAGTGTTTCCACACTACTTTGGATTGTGTCGTCCGCATGGGGTCCAGAAAGAACGCTTTCAGCAGGGACCAAACATAATACAAAAAGAGTGAAAAAAAATGAATAAAAAGGCAAAAAGAAAGAGTACCACTGGGCTGCGTTACCTCCAGGCTGGGCTTACCCTTTTTAGTGGGGTCCAGCCTGGTGAGCAGGGCGCCTAGGGTAAAAACAAAACAAGAACTGTTGTGTAACAACAAAGGTGCGTGTGCGTCTGCCCCAGTGAAATTGTGTGATGGGACAGGCCACAAGAAAAAGAAAACCTTATGCAGGTGCAATCCCCTCCGGGACTGTCAATGAAAACTCCCCCCTTCCAGGGGTGGCCCTACTCAAACTGTCGGGGGGTGTCCAGTGTGCCTTATAGGAACCGCCAGCTGGGGCTCATCAGCTGGAAGCCAAAATAGATGGGACTACAAAGGTGAGACTTTCTACCAGGGCTCCGCCTCCACACTGGACACACCGCCAAGTCATGCCACAGGCATAACATAAGCAAAGATATATACATTAAGCACACCTGACATATGATTTGCTCATACCTGCCATGTTTTTTGCCAAGAATAATCCAAATCACTGCCAAACCACTGGCCTATCCAGACAGAACTCCTACAATCTTTATAATCCTGCGTGATTTGTCTTATTTCTGGTGTTTAGATATCACATGCATTTGAAATTAACAGTTAAGAAAAAGTTACGGAATGGGGTTCCGTAAAGGTTGCTGCTATGTCTCCTTAAAAGTATAATAATGTACCATAAGCTTTTTTTAAAAAAATGTAATTACTCCCATAATCCCTAAACATGACAGAAGTGCACAACAAAATCAAGATAGATCGCACCATCTCAATGACCATCTAAACGCATAAAAAACATACTTTCCTCTGTCCCTGCATGAACATAAATTCTTACACAAAATCACACTCAATACTGTCTTACCTGTATGAATTGAGAAGGGCCAGATATTCCTCTCTTCGCTGTCTGGTTTGGTGGTCAATGATGGCCTTTCAGGATCCTGTGTTTCAGAAGTACTGTTGGGTGACTCCATGTTGGGAGCTAGTGTGTCAACTTCTGCTGGGCTCTTTGTCCCTTGCATGAGCTGGTCTTCGAGGGTTTCAGTTGGGAATGCATGCGGTGGTGTCTCCACAGTTTCAGCACCATTATCCTCTTCTTTTTTCTCTTTAGCAGTTGATGTTGGAGAGGCTGTGGTGGGTACCTTCACTTCGGTCTTGTTATCCTGAGTTTCTTTGACTTCTGGCGACACTTTCTTGTCCTTGACGTCATTTTCCTGTTCTTCCTCCTCCTCCCCGTCTTTCTCTCCATCTTCGCCTTCCCCTTTGCCACCTTTCCCACCTTCTTCAGCCCCCTCCCCGTCTTTGGCCACAGTGTCACCATCAGAGCCTTGAGACGAGACAGACTCAGTGGCAGGCACAACTGGCTTCACCGACTGTTTGGTTGTTGTAGATGCAGCAGGTGGGGGTCGGGTTGGCCACACAGAACTGGGGAAGGAGGAAATAACACCACCACTGAAGCCCAGGCCAGCAAGAAAGGTGCTGGTCACCACTGAGGCCACTGTGGCCTGGCTCCCACTGGAAGAGGGTCCAATTCCAGTCGCCATAGAGACAAAAGAGAACGGGAGTCCGGATGAAGTCCATGTTGAAGACCCAGAACTTATTGGTGCCATGTCTGCTGAGGAGGCAGGGGAGGCAGTAGGCTTCACAAAGAAAAGAATAAAGGAGAGAAAATCGTAAAAAATCTTGAACTTAGATTTGACTTTAGGAAGATACTAAGACCAAAATCAACAAACACAAACATCTGACAACAGGAACAATCTCTTCATGTACCACATACTAGAGTGCCATCTGCTGGTTACTCATTATTACTGATTCATCTCATTCATTCATGGTTTTCATTTTTAGAAAATATATACAGCAGTAATATCTACTTACCATTCCTGTCTTCACTATTCTTGTGCCTTCAAATATTCTAGTTGTGTTTGCTGAAAATAAAGAACACAAACCCATTACCTAAAATGAACTGATAAGTTAACTATTGTTATTAATTTTGTAAATTGTGTTTATGTTTCTAAATCAGAGATGATTCTAGAAAAATGCAATGCACACCAAAAAAAAGTAGTCTTTAGTTGCCAAGAAAGGTGTTACACAGTGCTTTAGTTGTGACTGAAAACAGAAGAGCATTTCCAATACTAAACAAATCCAGGAACATTTCTACAAAGCCTTCTGGATATTTAGAACTGCTTTAGATTACATCTTAGTCTTTTCATTGCTGTCAACAGATGTTTCTGCTTTGTTCCTCTAATATGTACAACATAATCAAGTATTTCTGGGAAATGCGATGCCTGTGCATTTCAAAGATAATGATACAAGTAATAGGCTTATTCCATGCTGAAAAAAAGAAGAGAGAAAAAACACAACGTTTCGGCCGTGGAGCCTTCTTCAGGTGTGAGAGAGACAAGGCAGTAGGCAAAGGTAATGTAGTGGGAGAACAAAGGCTGGGAGGGAGGAGGGGTTAGAGGCAGGAGCAGGGGACAGAAAGAGAGGCCAATCAAGAGGTGTGAAGTCAGGATAGGTGTAGAAAGGTGTGACATTAAACTTCCAAAGAATTGAGAAAATTTAGTAGAATAGTAGTCTGTCGTTAAGAGCGTTAAGAGAAGGGAGAAGGTGTGATCCTAGCTGCAAGATAAATTTGTTTTCGGTAGTGTTTCTGATGTATGAGTTCGGAAAACCATGTTTGAGAACAAAGACGGAGAGATTAGAGTGGTCGTGGCCGTCAGAGGTGAAATCCCCGTCCCCCCCATCAAATCTGGCCGTCAGAGTTGTTCTCCCACTATACTTTGCTTACTGCCTTGTCTCTCTCACACCTTAAGAAGGCTCCACGGCCAAAACGTTGTGTTTTTTTTCTCCTTTTTTATCAGCATGGAATAAACTTATTACTTGTTCCTTTGCAGCCTACGCATGCTGACACAGCTACCCACCTGAACTACTAAAGATAATGATAGTCACAAAATGAAGCAAATAGTGCTTGACACAAACCCGGATATCAGAATAGCAGTAACTCAAATGAATACAATGTGCAAGAGATGTTATTAAGTTTTTAAATGATTTTTTTAATTTTTGTCATCCAAACCATTTAGTTTTTTGAAGTATTGTGGTATGCCTTTTTTGGAGTGTACTGAACATTTTACAAAATTAAACTTCTTACTGTTGACACCGTTGAAGCATTTCCCTTTGTCCTTGTGTTAGGAAATAGGCTGTGTGCCTAGGAGGCTTTTTTAAGAATGACTGTTTGACTTTCCATAAAATCCATATTGTTTTGTACCCTCAAAGCTTTGACATAAAGCACAAAAATATTTCAGCAACTGAGACTGAAAAATGTTATGTGCTGACTATAGATTAATAAGAGAGAGGATGATAGTTTTAGGAGATGGACATTATTCTTGTTAAGTTGATCACGTTCTCCTACATTCATATTCTTTTCAAATGTAACATTTCTATAATAGTAATTTAAACAAAGATACTAAAATATAACTTCCTGTACTTGAATTTTCCATGCCATCTGCTGTCTTCTCAATGCCTTCAAGAACATACAGCAATAATAGATCTTCCTTTTTTAGTAATTAGAAACAAATCTTCAGATTTGTCTTCAGGGAAAAGATTCTCATTACGCTATAGTTATAATTTCCTTAACTTTAGTAACCAAATCTCAAATGTCAGAGAGGGTTAGACAAACGTGTGGATTGACATATACAGAAGAAAAACAACATTTGGAACATTATTTGCGCAGACTGGCAAGCAAAGAAAGAAGCTTTTACACTAAAATTCTCTGAAAGTATGAATGCAGGCTTGGGTACCTCAATGTCGTATTTTACATTTTCTTTTGGGAGTCAAAATCACACTTTAATGAATACAAATTCTTTCTCACAGCGCAAATATCAATAATAACACATTGCTACTGTGAAGTCATTCGGTAACATCTTACCTGGGATTTAAACCCACCCAGCTTTCAGGATAGGAGTGCAGAGATCTGACCACTCCCCATCCATAAAAGAATAAAAAATTACAAGTGTGTAATTTAAATTTACCTGCAACACTTCTGAGCTGATTTACATTCTTGTGATCTGATAGAGAAGCCACATACCCACCTTGATCACAGAGTTCTATTAAATGACCCCAGGTCTTCAATGCTCAGTGCTTTAAAATTTGAGGAAGACTTCAACTTTCAACAGTTCATGTGCAAAGCATGTCTTAAAAATGTGAGAAACAAGGCAAAAGCCGATAATGCAGATGATCAGTCCTCAAATGTGAAAGAATGGCGTGGGTCTTCATTTTATAAAAAGAACCAACTTAAAAAATGTTTCCTTTCATGAGATGAATGTGCAAAGCAAAGAAGCTGTTCTGTAAGTGGGGGAAAAGGATTTTATTTGAAAAAGGCTCACCCTGAAAGAGCAGTGTCTGACTGAAGTCACTCCTCATGTCATTCTGACATACTGCTTGGACTCGGAACAAGTACAGAATGTCTGGTGACACATGGTTGATGACAGCCTCCTGCAAGTGAAAATAACATTAGTATTTGCAGCCTTTTTACTTTCAATCCATCTCTTTTTAACAGCTCTAACAGTCAACTTCTGATTTATAATCTGCCAAAAATGGAATGAGATCCTTTCTCTTATTCTTATTATGTACAGTATGTGTGAACCCCAAAGACGAAAGGTTTTTTTGTGTGCCACAGGCAGTACTTTTATGCTAAAACTGTAACAGCAGCAATGCCCCAGAACAGTTATGAAAAGGCTAGCTATGGTGTGTATTGATTTCAAAGCACCTCGTAGTTATAAAACATTCAAAGCTCAGATGATAAAACAGAACCCTGAAAAACAAGGCCATTTAGAAAAAACTACACAGCACAAAAGTAATATTTAAAGGTTTTAATTGGTTTTTTTTTCCATTAAGGGACAGGGTCATTTGCCTTTTGCTTTGAGATTTATTCTGCTTTATTCCTCTTCTATTGTGAACGCAACTTTCCCTCCATTGCTAAGTCAGCATAGCAGAACATTAATATACTGTGTACCGCTATTAGATGATTCACCACTTAAACATTTTAATTAATATTTAGTTAAGACTTCTGTCATTTATGTTTAACAAGAAGCTGTTGAATGGAGTTTATTAGTCTGTTGTTGAGTTGTAGGAGCATCAAACCAAGAACTGCTTTCTGACCCAGCTGGTTTGTTATAGTGACTTTTTACCACATTTGGTTGTTCCAGCTCGTATTTGCTTCTACTAAGAGAAGCAAACATTTTAAATAGTGGCCATTTTTTCCCTATTCACACTGCATAGTGCTAATGAGTGTTACATGAAGAGTGGAGGAGATGGTCTCACAGATGAGGTATTAAAGACATTTTTCTGTATGTTTTTCATACCCACTTGTGTAAAATTAGGCTTGCTCCTTTTCAACACTCACTGAAATTGTCACAAAACATTTCCATTTTAAAATGTATTGTTTTGCTTAGCCCGACTCCAACAACCGCGAGTGTATTATCATTGTGCCCTGGGAGAAATGGTATGGCCACAAGCTCTATTTTAATGAGATAACTGACAAAAAATGAGCTCTTTTCATTTAAACTGGATTAAATGTGTTTGATCTAAAAACCATTGCAGCTGTCTCTTTATGCACAATAGTTAAATTAGAAAAGAGTAGCATCATTCTATTCCCTCCACTGATATTTTATATTAGTACTAACAAGGTTATTAAATCTAACCCTCAAATTTCTGAATATGGCACAGAACCCTAATCTGTCGTAGCTGTGCAATTTCCTTTCAGCAGTAGCACAAACAGACTGCATTATTGTTAAGACCTCTAGATACCTAATCATCTTAAATCAACAAGGGAGAAACATTATAGATTAAGAGTCCAGAGTTTTAGGACAGCAATTCATATGCATGTAAACACTAAAACATCAAAAAGGGGCAGGCTTACAATTTATTATTTAACTCACTGAGACACTGCACAGCCACATTTGCCATTCTATTGAAAGGTTTATGACACTGTATAGATATAAAATAAGAGCTTCTGGCGGACAAACCTGCATAAAATATAAAGGTGTCTGCTGTAGAAACACAACACTTTTCCGTGCTTAAAAATGTTTACAGATAGCATTCAGCAACTCAGGGGAACAAATCATAAGAAACTTTTTTTATGGATGATGCATTATAAAACATATGTATGAATTATCACATTCCTTGGAGATGGGTATTCAATACAATGTTAAATGTATGAGGAATGGCTATTATCATAATTTACTCCCAAAGAATCCATTCATGGAAAGCCTCACAGTCCAAGTAAATCTTACATTAAGTAATGGCATTTGTTCTGTGTCTGCTGCTCAATCACTGATTTATGCAAGTGCCACTCTGTTTAATTTTGTTAAGGATCTTTTCAAGAATGGCCGGTTATTACAAGAAGGAGCCTGTAAAACACTGTGGTCTTGAGTGCTTTTCGATTGATTCAGCTATGATTTTATAAAGCATGCCAGTCCCTAATGTGACCCAGATAACAATGTCTTGGGAGGAAATTGAAAATAAAAATGGAAATGAAGGGGAGAAAGAAAGAAGGCGGAGGGGAGAATCCTCCTGTGCAGCAACGCAGAGAAATGTGATTCTATTACTGATTGCGGAGACCCAGCCTAGGAAGAAAAGATGACAGTCGCAGAGAAATCCTTTCAGCCCTCCTGAGTTTTTCTTTTGCATCTGGAATTACATACTTCATCAATTCTGAGGCCTCCTTTGAATAAGTTTACAGAAAAAAAGATTTCTGATTGATTTCTATTTTTCAAATTTTATGCCTTTTTTCTTTAAGATTAATATTCAAATGCTTATACTAACAAAAAAGGTATGTATAGTATGAAAGAACACCGTGAATACAACTTAAAAATTCAGCTACAAGTAGACATGGAATAACTTTTTGATTTTATGTAAATGGAAAGTGTTTTTTTTCTAACTTCCAATGATTCCCTTTGCATTATGCTGCCAAAGAAAATAAGGTATTCTTCGTGTAAATTAAAGAGCATTCTCAGCAAGATGTAACAAGGCAATTTAAGCAATGATGCAAACACCCAATCTGAACTCCACTGCAACCCAAGAAAATGCAATTAAAACTCATGTTTTGTTAAATAACGTCAAATTTCTACCAATCACTTGCAAGGCAAAAGTCCTAAAACACTTGTGAGAAACAAAACTCAAAGCGTCATGGTGAGCAGGAGGTGTATGATGCATGTATTCTGCTATTATCAGGGTTTGGCAGTGAATGGTCTTTGCATGAACAAAAGTCATAGGTGTTGAGGAGATTCCCTTACCAGGTCCTGGTCACTGTCTTTGAAGAAGGTCTGCTCATTGGGCTCTTCGTTCTTGGTCCAGCTGTATGAGATCATGAAATTGATGATGGGAGGGTGATAGACAGTTTCAGGCCTATTCCAGCTCACCACTAATGCTGTGCTGTTGACTGGCTGGACTTTCATGTTTACAGGGGCACTGCTGCACACTAAACCAAAAAAATAACAAGATTACTGTTAACATGAAGGCCACACCTGCGTTTTATACAATCCTAGCAAGCGTGCAAATAAAGCAAGTCAAAAAACAATTTCTTCTATCTTTTGTTACACAAAAAGTAAATATGAGCATCTGGGGTACTGCGTTTCAGTACCTATCAATCAAAGTTTATTAATTTTAATTTAAAAAAATATAAATAAGAGAGAAAATCTGATTATCTGTGAAGAAAAGAATATGAAGTTCAGATGCCACAATTTCTGACTTGACTGAAATATTGCACTGATGGTCGCCTTAGGAAAACTCTTTATTGCTAGATGTCATATGCCTTTTCCTCTTATTGTTTTCCCTCTGCTGTTTAAAGATCAGTAAAATAATGTATGAGTTAATATATTTTAGCCTTAGGGTTTTTAATGTGGCATTTTTCCGAACCAGTCAGTACCTGCGCTGAAGTACTTCACAAAAACGTCTCTGCTCCACAACAACACAACACTAGGTGGCACTATGACACTAAGCAAGACAGCACATTTTTTCCATTGCATCATGCCTCTCTAAACATGGGCATTATCCAGGCTTCCAGTAATCTCAAAAGCAGAAGGTGTTTAATCACTGAGCATGCCAGTAAACTGAATAAATTGCTGAAATCTAAACTCTGCTTAATTCAGGAGGAAATCATGCAGAAATCCTCTTTTTTTCTTTCATTTATTTATTCTGCCAGGTTGTCCTTTACCATGTTTGTCTCTTGCAGACCATGGGATGATGTGTGTTGGGAGTGAATGATTTTTATTTCCCTTCAACTATTTCAGATTCAAACACAAACACACTGCGAAGCTGGAGCCACAGGGTTTTTGTGCCCATCAATCCATTTGCTATATGCAAGATATTGTTTCAGCTGGAAGGCTGGTGGGGGTGTCAGGTAAAATATTTCATTCAGTGTCATGTTTATAATGAAAATCATCAGTATTCTGCACTTGACTTGGAAGCTGTCACCATTCTCTGTTATAAAAATGTTCCCTCTATTTTAACTATCATTTCTTTCTCAAGTTGTTCTGCGTCTGTGATCACTGTGTAGTCTAAACTGCAGTTTCAGTTCTCATTTGTGTATTCTTGCGGGCACACTGCAAATCCCAAATGGATTTTTCTTTTTTCCTTATCTGCAAAGTGAAGAGAAAACCAGAACCATGCCCAATATTCAGACGTGAGGGATAGACTGTGCTGCAATTCTGGCAGTCAGAAAAATGTCTGCAGCAGGTGGAGGCATTTTCCATGATGAAATACTAAATAATACCCTTCCATCCAGAATGGAGTCAGCAAACACTGAAAGGTTTTCAGGTTGATGGATGGGTAATGGCAAGTTTTATAAAACTAAACATACGGTATATTAATTTGCAAAAATCTGCTATTTTCACGCTGGGTTCTGAGACCCAATGGTTTTGCTCTGGGGATGGAAATGTGGTGAGACAGAGTAATAGGACCAGAAAAGTGTGATTTGGAATAATAAAAAGACAAGTAGCAGAGGGGCTGTGCAATCCTAGGGTAATACACTACAGGCTCAAAGGCCAAATGAAAAGATCAAGAAAGTCTCTGCAAATATGAAGCACAGTATATTAAAAAAGATACTGATCCCCCTTTCCTCCATAACAATAGCACTAGATTAATGGGCAAAACTGAAACACAAGAAAGCAAGGCAAGACTCTAGGGGAAGTATAATGAGGCAGGCGTCACCTGTAGAAGTCCCCTGTCACCTCCACAGCCCAGCCTTTGGAACACAGGAAGATTAATAACAGTAACAACCCAAACAAAGAAAGAAACCTACAAACCAAAAAGCCAGAGTTCGAAGCAAGAAGAACATCAAATAGTAAAGAGAAGCAAATGCACGGACAACAGCCTTAATTTTTCAAATATTGACCACTAGAAAGTAATATGAAGGAGAAGCAAGTAAAAGAAAAGCTCCCCCCCCCCAATACAAAAAAAATGTTTGCAATTAAGTTCTTAATTTAGTTAAAAATCCTTTATATCATTGTTTTGTTTTTTCAGACTGATCAGCTACGCTTTAATCTACACAGGCAACACAACAAAAGCAATTTCACAGTGCGGGTTTAATTTATATTGGTCTATTTTTAGAACGAATATTAATGATACACCCTCTCAGTTCAATTATTTCACTCCCACTTTATCAATGTAGAGGGGACATCGGGTTTCATAGCATACAGTATCACACAATCAATTTTTTATGGCTAAATTAAACAAAGAATAATCGTTCAACAGAAGAAAAATCTCATAAGCTTTTAATTTAGCATTACTGAATTATTTCAGTACACCTAAATTAATTCTAATGTTGATTACAGAGGAACGTCTACTGCCAAGAGTTTATAAATATTTCATTCTGAAATCCTGAAAAAATAATTATCTTCTATTATTCAGACTGCCTCTACACTTAGAAAAAAAAATAAAAACAGAACAGAAGATGAGGATTAAATTATCTGGTGAGTTTGGACCTTTGTTTTGTTGGTTTAACAAAAAAATAATCAATTTGTCTTTGTCTTTTTTTGTTCATGTTTATGTTTAAAAGCAAGAATGGAAGGACCCAACAGTACATGCGTCAGTGAAGATTGTCAATACCAATGCCGATCAATCCAGCACCATGCATCACCCTGTACGCATCACCTCATAAAGACTGGTTTCCAGTCCAGGTCTGTTCACCAAGCTATGTGCTCAGTGAAACCAGGAGTGAATCTCTTTACCTCCGGAAGACCTATAGGTAGTGTGTTTGTGTCTCCCTTCCAAGGCCTCTCTAAATAAACCCGCCTACAGTCTATAGCATGAGGCTCCACATTCCTACTGTTGATTTGAGGGCAACCTATGAAACATTCTGGGCTCGGTACAAAGGTCCTCAGAGAGGACAATCACCGCCAATGCATTTTTCTTTAGTTCCTCCTTCCTGAGGTACCATTCTTGTCAGAAGTTAACTTAACAGAGTGGGGAGTGAAAACGTCAGCACTTTGAAGATCCGCTGCACTCAAAGCCGGCTGTTATAACATGCCAAAAATAAAATGTTCTTATCTTAATGATAAACACCTTTCTGCTACACTGAGATGCCATATGGCAATACAACCCTCTGCAGACCTATCATTATGCTGCTTGTCTTCAGCCTGTTATTTTCCATCCCATTTCATGAGCAAGTGTTTCTACCTGACAGACAGACACACATGTGCAGACCTGCAGGTTTTTCAAGGGCATTTCACACATTGTCATCATAATTTCAAATCTTTTACAGTGGGCCCAGTGCCATGGCCTGAAAGGAGCTGCTGAAGTCCTTGTTTCTATTGTTCAGCAATCGAGACAAGACATCTCTGAGGTATGCCTGGGAATCTGCTGTGAAAACTGATGGTACATGTAGCGTGCTGGAAGTGAGAATGGTTGGGGCTGAACCAGGGAAATACAGACCACACTGATAAGGATCTTACAATGTAACAAGTCAGCAATGTTGGGAAAGCACCCTATACACCTCTACAAAGATCTGCAAAGCCAATGACCCTTAATAACAGACCCTTGGAAATAACTTGGCAAACTCCAGCATGACAGGAGCACAGAAATACAGAAACTCTGTTGCAAAATTAGAATCATTACAGATGCAGCTTTCTTTCTTTATGGGGTGATGCTCTGCAGCTTCTCCTCTGTGTGACAAACGCTTGAAGAAACTGTGGGTAAAGAATTAATTGCTGTTGTGCCTTTTTAAGGAGAAAAAAAATGTGTGAAAATCCTATTATACCTTTCGAGGCTTCAGTTCCATGCGGACTCCCCAGACTGTCCGTCAGGTCCTGTATCCAAGCGTCTTTGACAGCAGATTTGAAGACCACCCTGTCGTCCAGGCTCTGCTGTGGTCGGAAATTGTTCCTCAAGTACTCCACCGATTTGACATGGTCCTGCTGCTCCGTTGTGAATATGGAATAAAAAGCTTCCAGCTGAGCCCAGGAAGGAGGGGGAAGAAAAGAGAAAGAACATTTGACTTCATAAGTAAATCGCTGAGCGCACAGAGACGGACAGCAAAATGACAGGAAGCTCAAATGCCAAAAATGACAATTGACACAGGATATTGCACTGCCCAAAACGCAGTGCCAGCAGCCTCAGAACTCATCCAGCAGAGAAGTGGGAAATGTTCTGTTCTGAGAACTTTCACAACTGATGCCAAGTTAAAGTCTAGGCTAATGACAAGTTAGCTGAATACACCTAAAACAGGAGACATTTCTTATCTCGGCTTGGCCTGTTTCAACTCCCACCCCCCCACCTTCATGTTTGTAATTTGCTTACAAGGCACAAACAAACACCATTCTACTAAACCCAAATTAATCAGCTTGCACTTTACTGGAGAAACACAGAAATATGATCACCAGCTGTTCCTTGCCCTGGAGGAAATGGATTTTTGGAAAACACTAAAACACTCATTCTAGCATTAAAAAACAAACTATTAATCTAACAAATGATATACAAACATTTCAGCATGGTGGACAAATTTGATGATATGACAAACACCACCAAATGAGAAGCTAAAGAACAAAATGATTCCCGCAGAAAATTGTTTTTTTCTACCGATAACACAACATTTCTCAAAGCTAAAACATTTCACATAATACATTTTTCGAAAAGCCAGCATTTTCAAGTCTTTCCTTATGAGGCTGAATAATAATTACTTGACAGTTTTTGTTAATCTATAGAGAAGGAGTATATTATTGTACAAACAGAAAGAATTTACCACAGTCGATCCTATACACAGTTAAATGTTCTGATATCTACACCACTAAAAGCTGTAGTGTTCAATACTGAAACGACAACACTGTGATCGAGAAAAAGGGAAGTCTTTGCTGCATTCTGGGAACAAGACACTTTTGCTTCTGAAGTTCCATTCTGTTGCCTATGGTGCGCCTTTATTCTTGTGATTGTGCTTTTACAAAGAATCAGGCCTTAAGTCCCCTCAGCTGTGTAATGATTTTTCTGCTTGTAAGCTTACGTAAGTTTGGTGTCTGTCCTCTGTAAGGGGACACTGACAGCTGACCATGCTGTTTGCTTGAGCTCTGCTCCTGATGCTGATCCTTCCGTGGAAGGACCACAGTTCCTGGCTATAGCCAGTTTTACACAAGCTACCATTCAGCATTTGCAAAGACAGCTCCAGCTTTAGACACCTGCTTTTCAAATGTCTCCAACAGCACATGTCACAAAAGGAGTGTTAAAAAACTAACTGCAAGCACCCACAATTGAAAACAAGCTTACAAAAGCACTTTTCCCCAAAAGGGTTGAATTGGGTTTAACTCATTGTAATATATTATTAACTAAATTAAATTAAACAATATGGAACTTAATAAACTTAATATGTAAAGTAGGCCGCAGAAGGATTCAAACATGAAATTGTAGTAAGATCAATTCACGTTGGTTGAATCCTGTCCAAGTTGTTATTTAGCTGTCAGTGGAGCACCAATTGTTTAAATGCCCTGCAACAGGCACATGTCGTCAGTATGATAAACAGCTGGATGTGTGATGGTTGCGTGTGATCCAGATGTGATCCACTCTAAGAGAGATGTTATTGCAGAATACAAAAACATTGATCCCTTTCTAAAAGCCATCCCAAAGCAATGTCTGTCACTTTCAATGACCTACTTCCTGCCTGATCGAGAACAGAATAAACACAAGAGAGAAGATATTCATCCCTCTCATCCAGAATGACAGTGCCTTTTATGTTCAATAATAATATTAAAAATATGTACAAAACATTACTAACAGTATAAAATATGTGACAAAGCTGGGAGTCAAATCAACAGCTGTAAGATTCTAAATGTTCTTAATTAATAAACAACAATCAAATCCTAACACAATTATTCTTTTTCACTTTTCTTACCATATAGATTCTTCTCTAGATCCCTAATTGGATGAGGCAGTTAGAAAATGGATGGATATATATTTCTACTCCATTCTTGTTTTGCTTATTTTTTATTTTTAGTGCATGCATATTCACCTAATAGAGTTTCTTCTTATTAAGTTACTAATTATTTTTTTTTTGCATTGAGTTCCAGTATGTTCATGAGAGTGTTAGATTGTTTAGTCTGTTTCTGATTATTTTGTCTCTCATACTGTATGTTCCAATTCTTTATTTGGGCAGACTTTTGATTGGTGGACTTGGTTCACATTCTTATAAACCCTCCTTGGATGTGAAAAATAAGACAAGGGAAACTGAGGACAAGACAACAACCAAGACAAGACAAAGACAAGACTACAGCCACAGGGCACCCACTGCAGGTCCAGGGGGAGACTCTATGAACACCTATTCTGTTCTAGATGGAAAAAGAGTAAAAGCCCCTCCTGTCAGCAGTGTGGTGTTAATGTTATTATTATTATTATTATTTACATTTTCTGCGTAGTACTAGTTTTCCAATAATCTGTTGTACTTAAAAGAAAGTTTCACTCATCCTGGCTTGGGCCTCTGGCCTCTCATTTGAAGGAAGGGAAATAAACCAGCAACTGGCTTCTATGATGCTGCATTTAAAAAAAGAGAATGTATACCAAAGAGTTAAATTTTCATTTCACCCCAAAAACAGGAAATTAAGAGGATAATCTCCCACCCTGGTAAGGATGACTTGCATTTTCACTCCATGGCTTTGACCACTTATTTTTTGCTTGCACTGCTTTAAATTGTTTGTCTTCTTAGTGTACACTACATTCTGCCACTAGGACTGATACCAATGTCTAAGATGTGTTGTCTTCACTAGACTGAAACAGGCCCACGGCCAAGAAATGCAAGAAAGTGACATTCAAATATATTCGGGTTCTTCCTCTGTAACTTTCAAAAGGGTGCAACTGGTTTCTACAGTATGTTTGCTGTTTTAAACAGCATAGATATTTCATATTATGGTATAGTTAAATGCACATCAAAATCTTCTATTGTTTTCTGGAAAACTTCAAGGCATTATATCACAGCTTTAAAGGCCAAGGGTATCAAGCTTACAGACTGAGGCAGATTTGTGGCAGGACATGGCAGGATGTTGTATATATACAGTATATGTCATGATATTTGACTTTGCCCTAAACACAAGTTTAGATGTAGAAGTGGTATTGAAATCTAACCTAAACCTTAAGGTAAAAATGGCCCGAGTGAGCTGTTGGAATTGAGCAGCCTTAACTCTTTACAGCGATTCTGCTTTACAATGAAAGATACTAGGCTCCTCTGATTACTGGATAAAGTTACTGCATATGAGCCATTACTGAGCTTCTAGGATGAGAGTAGACCATGGGACTATTTGTTATTTTCAAACTTATTTGTCTGCATTAAGAAAATTTCAAAGGCTGGCAAAAATATTGGCAGTTTAATAAAATATTATCTGCATGAGTATGTTTTTATATGTCTGATATTGCTTTTGTTGTACTTTTCTGTAAATGTTTTCTGAATGCAGAACTAGTTTATTTGTGGATACACCACATTTCAGTATTAGAAAGGCTAAGACAATTTAATCTGTTTTTTTCTCTGTGAAATCAGATGGAACAGTCAATTAAGCTGTATTGGGTCATTTAACTACAGCAGCTAATTAAGTCATGCAGCAGCACCTAGTTCCAGTCCTGTGTACATCAACCTCAGCTCAGTCAGAGGGACAATTTCACTCATTTGGACTCTCTTACAAAGATTAAAGACTAGTATAGCTAAATGACAAGTTTATTGAATAGAAATTATATGGTATATTTATGGAAGACAAAGCAATAATTAAGGTTTTAAGATGCTAATATGCTTGTGGCAACACAAAACAGTAGGAATTTACAGTTAAATAATCAACTGTAAACTCTTAGGTTAAAGTAAACACAATTGCTAAAATGTTGCTACTGTAGTTATGTTATTTTAATATGAATGTTAAATGATGCCCTCAACAGCAGACTATATGCTTAAATGCAGTTTAGCAAATTATCACAGGAATCAATTCATTTAATTTGCATATTCTCTCAGATGCATAATCAAGAGCTATGCTACTGCCATAGAAAATCTTAATCATGAGGTTCTATTCAAATAAAGCAGAGTTTAATATAAATAAAGCCATTTTTATTACATACAGAATTATATACGAGTATTGGAAAAGAACTATCATTAGCATCTTTAAGGATGTGTTCAAATCCATTAAATACAACATAAAGTGCCCTCTCAGTAAAAATTAGCGTTAAAATAGCAATACAAAATGAGAAGCAAAGAAAAAAATGTAAACAACACTTTTGTGACTATAAACGACTACTGCTAGTAGCCTTTAAATACCTAATATACCTCTTCCTGTCTTAATAATATTAATCTTTTAATTCCTTTATACAGACTGCAAATGACACAACTGATTGCATCATGTGCTGAAAAAGTAGCCCCAGGCATCAACATTAACACGGTAATTTCTAACACTAAACATAAACTAAATACCTAATTTACATTTTGCTGCTCACAGATACACTTTAAATAAACCAATTAAGCAATAGTAGAATTTAAATGTACTGGATTCCAGTATTCAAAAAAAGTTACCTCGCAGTCCAGGCAGTCCTAATTGTTATGGGTGTTAAAATTCCTGGAAAGCTTAAAATATTATGATTTTATTATAAATCTATAAATGTATTTATATCATTTATATTTTATTTATTTTAAATCAAAAACCTTTTGCAAAGTAGGACAGAAAAATAGTTACTTTCACCTATTTTACTGGGAAAGGTTTAGGTATGAAGCTACAGTATTTGTTGTAGTTATTTTCAGATTGCATTAAATCAACACTTTGACCACACTGCCAATCATTTGTCACAAATTCAGTAGCTTACAGCAGCCTACTTGACAGACACTTTTTCACTCTACATAATCCACTGTCTTTATATAAAGGTGCCATTAGGTACTACAAGTTATAGAAAAAAAGTGGAAACACCAGGGTAAGTAAGGAACACCAACTATATTGAAAGTAAAGTTTTCAAACATTTGTGGCACATGTGTTAATTAATAAAATAACATCCAGCCTGCTTAGGGTCATCTATAACAATTCTGGACTTGCCTGGTTGCCTACAGTATTGCTGGAAGGGGGCCTTAGTTTCTTTATAAGCAGGGCTGATCGTTGGGGAGCGTCTGATACGAGCATTCATGACCAAGACAGCTCAACTTGCTGATGTTTCATGAGCAGTGGTATCTAACGTGATGTCAGCAGGAATTCCAAGGGAAAGATATTATCAGCAGTGGGAGTAAATGCAAACTGCGGGACTGTGGTATCAGTGCATTAATATGAAGTACAAGTCAAAGCAGGTGAGAAACTGCAGATCAACTTGACTGCTAATTTCAACCTGATGTGCGGGCAATAAGTTTAATCAAAAATGGTCCACCGAGAACTCCACACAGTAGATACCATACTAGGGCTGCAGTGTGCAAGCTGCTCATCACATCTGGCAATGCACAGAGTGCAAAGGACACAGGAGTCATGTAATAAGGTCAGATGAATCCCTACACCATGTTCTTAACACAAATACAAGTGCACAGTGTACTTTGTACCAAAGTGTGGGTTTCTGGTCATTTATGTTGTGGAGAACACTTTCCAGACATGGTTTTTGTGCCCTCATTGCCTTAGGTCAATGCTAATTCTTATGGTTATCTTCATATTGCAGCATTTTCCTACTGGGGGTTTGTCTACCAGGGTTCTATAGGTTTTTATAATTAGTGATGGCACAGGAGAAGTCTGTTTCGATTTAATACAGGCCTAAGTTTGCTCTAACCTCACAAAGTATTTCCCACCCTCCATTTGTCCAGCCTGGAAGTCTTCCTTGAGCGAGTCAGGGAAGTGTTCATAATGAATGACATCTATAGAGATAGAGGGCTGGAGCAGTCAGAACAGAAGACAGTTGCAAGTAAGGGCCCTGACAGCTAGCTTGCCTTACCTGGTGATACGACAGAAACACCGGTCTGCTGAAAACGATCCACTCTACAATCTTACTGCATGGCGGTGTTGTCAGGGAGCCAGCGTAGCGGTAATAGCTTCCAATTGAAGATGGCAGCAAATCTCTCAGCACAAAAGGATCCAGAAAGGTTTCCTTCTCTGGAGTAGAAGCACAACAACAAAGACACAATGAGTTAGCAGCACATAAAATATCTTATTCATTATTAAAGCTCGGATATTATGCAATCACTTAATTTGTTATTTTCTATCCATTGATAAAGATAAAGTTGGATTCATGCTAAATCCAAGATTTAGCATGACAGGTTTTATGAAACAAGAAATGTGCATTGAATCACTTTCATTTTTTTAGATCTCTAACCTCAGCAGACACATTAGGTAGTCATAATGTGGCTGACATTTTTCTTTTCACTATACACTTCAGTCTTAACATTTGTTGCTCATCAATAAAGGATCATATATTTTTGCAATCTGGTTGGATTATTTTTTATCAGTGATACAGAGGGCAAATCTATCTCCATCTGAACACATCATACCACTGGACAAGGACACAAACAGGAAACAGGAGACAAATATATATTTGCTTAATGTGAACTTGGGTTTGGGGAAAAAAATAAAAAAGGTAAGAAGCTGGGATTAAGCAGGACAGGATCAAGACAATTTCATAGTGTTTACATTGACATTTCCACTTTTTATTTCTTCTGAATCTTATACCAGTGAAGATGCTATCAATCTTGTAGGGCAAGATTCCCAGACAGGACAATTTGGCGAGAAAAGTGCCCCACATTTTCTCCACATAAAACAGGAAACACACTATAGTCAATCCATCTATGACCATGTTTGTTGGATGTGGCAAGAAAAGCTAAAAAGATGGCGCACAATAGAATGTGCAAACTCCACACAGGAGTGTGTCTCAGCTCTGAACTGAACCCAGGATCTGTGAGACAGCAACTCTAACCACTATGCCCTGTGCCACCTACTGACATTTGCAGTACAGTTAAATATTTTTTTTCTTTTACTGTACATTGTGGGTTACATAAATACTACATCCAATCCACATTCCAAACATTGACAGTCAGCAAGATAACACAAAGGAAATGACTGGAGAGCAGAAATCATCTTCACTGTCAGAACATGATGTTGGAAAATACCACAATCTCTTAGGGAACACTGGATCCAGAATATTTTCTACATGTAATGTAGACCACCAAATAAATATATTCCTTGAACACAACTCTGATGGCTTTTGGAACTGAAGCTTTTGGGATGTGCTTGATCCCATCTCACTGCAATGCTGCTTCCACTCCCTGGTAACTAGCTACTTATTATGACTTTTGAATTATCCTATTGGACTCCAGACAGTGAAATAAGGCAGTGTTTTCATGCCTCAGTGCTAACTAGAAAGGAATAAGCTCACAAAAGGCTGGAGATATTTTATAACAATGTTAGTAGTTCCCTGCAAATCTGCTTTATTGTTAAAGTATGACATAATTGGTAATATGGGCTGTATTTATGTACAGTAGTGTTACAATAGTGTTACTTGGGCCATGAGGCATTTAAACATGGATGAAGATAAAGATGGCTAAAAAGTCCTAATAATAACTAAAGAGTCCTAATAATTAACACATGTGAAACTAATTCACATTAAGTTAATCCAATCAGCAATATTAAAACACCAATATTCAGCAGTGACCAGACCATTCCTTGTGTATGTCAGCCTTCATGTGATGGATCATTGGACAAAAATGAAGATAGGAAGAACCAACAGGAAAGGAAACATTTATTATAATATAAAGTTATTTAATTAGTTCAGGTGGCTTGCTGCATCAGCATGTGTAGGCTGCAAAGGAACAATAGGTTTATTCTATGCTGAAAAGAGAAGAAAGAAAATGTTATTTAAGTAATTAAAGTTACTTATTCCTCATAACGTTTTGTTGTTTAAATATTCAGATGGTGATTGCTCTATTATCAAGATATGCTGGAGTAATCTCTGACTTTGGGTGGTGGAATTATTCATCTTTATAATTTGTTTGCGTAGCTTGGCTAGATGATATCAGGCTCTAATGTCTTTTTTATAATTTTATCACACACCACGTTTTTAACAAGTGGTGGCAGTGTTTATTTACTGTCCTTATTTATGTAGCTATATATATATAATAGCTTGGTCTACTTAAATTTTGGGAGGGTTTTTTAAACAATTTCACTACTCACAAGGCTAAAACAAGGTTCTTAAAAGTGCAAAGTGCAAAGCTTGTCTTCTAATAAATATATATAAGGTTATATAAAAAAACAAAGATTGCTTGATAAACTGACAATATGGAACATAAACAAATTCATCACTTCTATTTAAAACCTGTATAGACAAGATAGCAAAAATCTATAAACATGGATTTTAGTCACCAAAATCATTGTTTTTATGATTATAATTATTAATAATTTGAGCAGTGAATTGACATGCTATCTAAAAAAAAATATTATGGTGATATTGATCTAGGATAACAATACAATGATTTCCATATTTAAAAAAAAACAAAACAAAAATCCTAAATTACTTTGAATGTAATGGAATGTAAATGTAAATAATTCACTGCAAACTACTGACCTATTTGTTCAATACAATGTAAAATAAGTACTCCTGTTTAAGTGCTTCTGAGAAAACCCTTAGTAAGATAACTGATTTCCAGCTGTATATGATTTAAGGCAGATGGCTTTGGAAACTGTAGAGAAAATAAAATACACTGTCAAACAGATGGAATGACATGGTAATTTTGCCATTTCACAGCTCACCATATTAATGTAATTTTAGCTTTTTAATAATTAATTGCCAATCAAAGCTATAGTGGCTGAGGCAGTGTTGAGTTCAAAGCCAAATGAAATAATGAATAATTCATAAATGATTATGTAATACATTCCAAGGAAAAAATGACTGCAATACTCATTTTTTTAAATGCTAGTCATAAAACCATTAACTAATTTGGTATGTTACTTGAATAACCCTGACATTTTACCATCTAAATAATCAGAATTAAAAAATGCAATTAAATTACATAGACATAAATGCACCCTTAATGTAAAGCACAGCAAACCATAGCTGATGGACAAGGATTTCTCCTTCTTTTGTTCTTTTACAAATAAATGTAAATTAAGTGGACATCACAAAAGGTGATTCTTTTATTTCTTCTGGTTTCCACCTGGAGTTATCCAAGTTAGTGGTCACGTGCTGAGGTGGAACACGAGTCTTAAACACAGCTTTACTCAATGCTCATTTACTGTCTTTCAGCTGTCTGTGTCCTTCTCAGTGACCAAAGCTGTCAGCTGAATCGAAGGACACAACAGCAACAAGAACAGTCAGGACATGGCTACATTTGTAGCACCTAAAGGTTTTGATTCCCTGTCTATTTATCAAGCTAATGAAAAAGACAACAGAGCCACGCTTTCTGACTCTATGAAAGAAAAAATGCTTTCTTTTCTGTCAAAATGATTGTGTCTGGAATGAACAGCACTTTTTTTAAGTATTAACTTAGAAACAAAAGATTTCCATGAACGTACGCATTACTCATACACATATCAAAATACACCTTTTTGATCAGCAACAACCTCTAATCATTCCTGCTCCTTAAAACAAATGATGATAATGTCAATTCATTCATGGAACCTATTAATTTTGTGCCATAAAGTTTTTTTCAATATATACAATGGCAGCAATTATTGTGCCAAACAGAGTGTCTATTCCTTAATTAGCTGGAATTAAAATTCTTTTATGACCACAATAAAAATGATCAATTGAAATGTGCCTGAAGATGCAACTGAATTAATTTCCCTTTTCTAATTAAAAAAACAAGAAGCACTTAATTGGCCAGAAATCAGTATGCAAAGCTAAAAAGCCACATCTGTGAGACTTTCAAGAAAAATAAACATTAGCACATTATATTACCATCACTTCATTTAGGTCGTTCACATCATAAACAGTATAAAGGTATCTTTCACTTTTATTTATTTGATTGATGTCAGATTTGCAGCTTTTTTAAAAATCCCAAAGCATAAATCATCCACATCTGCGTGGTGGCAATATCACATCAATGACTACATGAAATTAACTACCAGCACAGGTGTTGACTCTGCTGTTAAGGGATTTTAATATCATCAAAAAGGCTGACAATGATTTGAAAATATTAATTATTTAAGTAAATGTGCAAACAAAAAATGTGAAATTTATTTGATTCATGGTGGTTACATCAACGGTTAAATACTGTGTGCTAATGCATCAAAATCTTATATCTACTGATTTAAATATGCATGTGTACATTTCATGTTGTACCTCTCTCATAAATACATAATTACCAATATTGTAGAAGTGTTTGCAATGCAAGTTGTCATCATGGTTTCAAGCTCCCTCACTCTTTTAGGCTGTTGAACTCCTTCAGTGCAAGGCTTCCTAACATTTTTCAAACGGAGAGCAAATTAACTTCAGCCCTGAAATGTCAAGACATACATTTCGCTTCCTGTGCTATCAGCACAGAAATAAAATTTAATTTTCTTAAAATCACCACTAAAGAAAATCATAGCTCAATCTTATGCTTCTCCTTGTTAAGAAACATTTGACTCTTCCAAAAAAATACTGTACCATGTAGCTGGTTTAGCTTCAAAACACAGCTCTATAATACTCAGTAAGTTTACAGCACCTAAGAACTACAACAACAGACCACGGTTTTATAGTTTTCTTCCACTTAGGCAAATTCAGAAATGCCAAGCTGAAATTTCATGAAGTTCTGCTTAGTAGGTTTATTAGGACAGACTATTCTTACACCCTTGGAATACAGGGTATTCAGGCATTTTAACAGAATCATTAAAATTATGTCTGGTTTTAACTGAAAAATGTTGCTGACAAGCACATGGTTCCAGAGTGTTTTAAGAATACTTCAACAGTACGATATGTAGTCATATTCTGTTGTAGATTTCCAACATTCATTAAGTGTTGTTTATCTAAGAGTTTGCAAGCAAATTGTTCACCTTGCTTACTTTCAATACATTCAAGCAGTGGAGACTAAAATAAATTTCTTTGCATTTGCAATTCTCGGTTAGCATGGATCCTCGGCTGTCATCCTATTCTCCATGGCAATATTGTCTGTAATATCTGTCAGAGCTAAATAAACTGTGCAAATATCAATCACAGCTGTCCAGCGGTATTGCAGTGAGGCCTTTCTAAATGTACAAAGGATGAAAATCCACTGCCAAATTCCTTGAGAAGAAAATGGAGAAGAAAATGTAAAAAATAATACCTGAAACACCCCCATAGCTCAGATTTTACAGGATTTATTGACTATCACAGCTGCAACATTAAACGCCCCTGAAAGCAGAACAATTAATCCAAAAACCTATTTGTTTTCATCTAAGCCTGTCAACAGCTTTTAAGCCTCAAGTCAGAAAAAGAAATGTTTGTTAGACTTAGCAGTATTAGCCCGAAACAATAAACAAATACAAAGATTTTTCTCAAAGAAAGCACTGTGATAATTATTTTAACAATTTCACTGTACAATGGGTACAATCTCTGAAAAGCTGACTGTAGCACACATGAGAACACTTTTTATTAAACAACGGTATTCTTTCACTGGGAAATCTAAGGCCTAAAACAGGGTTCTATAAACTGGATTTACTCATGTCTAATGGTGTTATGGGCTCTAACATCTCAACACTAAGGTATACACAAACCCCTGCACTTTCTTTGAGTAAATCATGGGCACAATACACCTCTTCCCATCCTACAGGTAGAACTAATTGGAGTTGAGTTCAACTACTCTTGATTAGTTTTTTCGACTGGGACTTACAGTACTCATTAAAAAATAAACTTGTGTGTCTTGTGTGTGAAAAAAATAAACAAATATCTGAAACCCATTGTATTATGTTTGGAACACACTAGCTAGGAGCAAAACAAGAAAATAAAGCTTGTACATTGTTGGACATAACTCTTATTCTCTAAAACTGGCTTCTCAGCAAGTATTTCATATGTTTATACATACACTGCTTTGTTATATATCTTAGACACAATTGGGAGTTAGAATATATGTATGTTATGAACATAAAAAAACCTCCTCTAGTGTTTTCTACCTTTATATCTTTAAATTTAGGATTGCCAATTATTTTGGTGGTACCCACTCAATGTGAAATAGCCATATACTGTATGTATTTTTCATGTGTTGACTCAAAGCTACAAACCCTGCGACCACACACAGGGGAGAAAGAGGAAGTTTAGGCAGACTCCTCCAACCTGCCCACCTTTATTAATACAGCTTGGGCGAGAGAAGGACTTGGTGTTCTGAAGAAAGTCACTGGAAAGCTTTGCAAAGGCTATCTGTATAGATGTGACGGACGGATTTCATTTAGACAAGGTGGCTAACAGTCAGTTTGAGGCAAGGACATACAGAGAAACTAAAAAAAATAAGGAATAAGAAGTTCAGTGCTTATAGCTAAATGCCAGAAGTATCAGGAACAAGATACAAAAAATAGAAGCTACTGCAGTAGTAGAAAGTTACAATGGGACTGGCATCGCAGAATGGTTAACAGCGAGTGCTGGTGATAAATACAAGAGTGGAAAAATGGCATTCTGGACAGGTAGGAAAGAAAGAAGAGGTGTACAGCACTATACTGTACATCATAAAGACCCTTCATGAACAAGCAGTTAACAAAGAAGTTATCAGAATTCATATGGGTTAGACTTAAAAAAAACATTGAAAGGAAAGAGGGTAGTAATGCTACAGACCACAAATATTTAAAAAATATATCCAGATAGATTTTTAAAATGCAGTATAATAAAATAAGTGGTGCAGATGTGAAGGAAAAGTGGGTATTGTGAGAAATTTAGTTGTCCTCACATAGATTGGGAAAAACCAGTGAAAGTTTCATCAGATGAATGTGAAGTGTTAGATATGGGTTATGACTGCTTTCTCCGATTGCTTGCTCTGTTTCTTAGAACGTCTAACTAGAATGATTACCTATATAGATCAAGCCTTTTCAAACATTCAAGATTGTGTATGGAAAACAGAAATGAGAGCACTATTGTGAACTGCGAATGTTACTTGGTATGGTTGCTTTGAAGTATACTTTGGAAGAGTTCAGGCAGATTCCAGAACAAAGGACTACAATTTCAGGAAAGCAGACTATGAAGGAATGAGAGTTTAAAAGAATGGGATAGGATGATATAAAATCAGTGAAGAATGGATGGCAACTGCTTAGAGATATTCTGTTTGAAGTACAGAACATTTATCTCAAGGGCGGTCAAATCTAAGGCTAGAAACTAGGGTGAAATTTTAATTTCTTATTGGTCGGGTGTTTCCTGTTGCATTGATTGTGCCCACATAAAAGAGCTGTGAATGTGTGGTGTTGGGTTTGCTTTTTGCTCTTCCATTTGGTGTCTTTAGAGTGAGAAGGTCTAAACCAACATAAGACTAGAGACTACAAACTGTCTAAAAAAGAAAAGCAAGCAATCTGGATGCTGAAAGAGAAGACAAATTCAATCAGAACCATAGCACTGAAAGTGGACATAGCAAATTTAACAATCTGGAATGTCTTAAAAAATTGAAAAACTGAACCAACTAATTATAGACCAATATGATTAAGGAAATTAATCGTATCAGAGGATTGTCAATGTGTATCTTGCTTAATTGTAGCTAACTTGTTAAAGAGTTTTTTGGACAGCAGTAATGGATACTATCAGAGCATATTATATGGTTTAATTAAATTGTCAGAAGGAGTATGATCCTTTCTCCATTAGATCAATATCTGATATGTTAGTATCTGGATTAAGAACCAGTTAATGGATAGAAACAGAGTACAAATAAAGGATGAATGCTGAAACTGGGTCATGGATGTAATCAATAGAGTACCCTAAAGATCTGCGCTAGGACAACTGCTTTTTCACATTTATATCATTCATCTAGGCTCTAGTATACTTGGTAAACTTAAACGTAGTAAACTCAAAAATCAAAAGTAATTACTCAAACAAGTTTAGCAAAAGAAGCTAGAAGCTGCACAATAAAGATATTATTTTGAAAATATTTAGAAACATTAAAAACTAGGAAACACTTTGCACTTCACATGTAAACTAGAAAAGTGGAATGTGGTAAATGCGGATAGTGAAAACAAACTGTGAAATGAGAAAGAGCTTGAAATGACAAAAAATCCTCAGCTATTTATGTTGACATGTTTTTCAAAAGCAGTAAGCAATATAAAAGGGAAATACAATGTTAGGCTATCTAGTTAAATGTAAATCAAGTGATGTTATATACTAATATGATCTCAATTAAAATTTGTGTACAATCTGGGTCACCACGTTAAAAAAAGCTACTTCTCTAGACTATGTTCAGAAGAGCGACTTGAACCTAACTCAAAGCTGGGAAACTAATTGGACTTAAGTGAAAACAAGAACTTTCACAAAGGTTTGTGAGAGTCTGAAACAAGATACAGGAGCACACTGTGAAAGCCAATACTATTGCTTCATTTGAAAAGGGCAGGATAAGCAATTTGGAATAATTACCCGTTAATTAAAACCAAATTAGTGAGATAACAGGCCTGTCATTAAGCTTTCTTATGTTCGTAAGAAACTATTGTCATTAAGCAATTTTAATTATTATATTAGTTATCATCATCAAAGCACACGAAAAGCAATAGTATACATGAGTAGCCAATATCAAGTGTTACATAAGCTAAATAATCTATTTACAGTACCTGTCAAGTCTGTCATCATTGTCAGGTGTTCTCAGTATTAACACCATTTTATCCTCTCTACACCTCCATGAAGCTCAAAGGCTATATTTTGTACTGCAAAAGATAAACCTCCCGGGTCTTACTGCAAACTTAAACCACAGTGGGTAAAATTTCAATAGAAGTTTACAGCAGAATTGTACCTGTGAAACAGTGAAAGCCTATCGAGTAAAAACCGTAGAACAATGCAAACGTACAAGAATTTTGCATAGCACTGAGTATACAGAATTTTGTCACTCAAAGTAGTACCATTCACTTCCTACTGAAGAACAAGTCAAGTGTTTTGCCCTATCAATGGATTACCAATGAGCTATGAAGCTTTCCAGTGCAGGGTCACCTGTGCAATTTACTCCCGCCTGAGAAGAAATTGAAAATCATTTCCATGAGACAGTAACATGAGTCTTCTCTGAAACCATTCTTTTTATTGTACCCCTCAGAATACAATATGTAAATAACACAAACTGTCTGGGGCAGTGATAGTTATTAGGCCTAAAATGCACTTGCCATAACCCATTTCATGTTTTTACTGGGTCAGAGAAGCATGGCCTCAAAAGCCCTTTCCTCAAGTGGCCCAGGTAAACTGACAGTGATTTTGTCTGTGTGCACTTCTGTGTGGAAGAAAGGCTGGGGTATTGCTGTCACGTTTAGCTGCTCCAGGGAGATAAACGGAGATCTTCAGCCTCTGGGGTTGTCTATCAAGAAAACTACCGACAGGCCGCATCCCAGCCAATAATAAGATGGATAAATCTGAAGTATTTCACTCACCGTGATGAACGACGCCCTTCAGCCCATGGATAATCGAGTCCACTGCGGGATTGTCCTTCTGCCCAGCCTACATGGAGAAAAAAACAACATATAACAGTTCAAATCTGCTGTGACATCCAGAATTACAGGACTACTTTAATCTCTCACAAAAGATGTTTTGCAAACCCAAAACAATGTCATATCTGAAATAAAAATTAATCAGTCCATCTGAGTACTGATCTGATGAATCTCTGCAGACAAGTCAAAGTAACAGAAATTCAATCCCCCTGTCTCCTATTACGCTGAGGCTAAAGTCAGATTATCAGGAATGCTGCTTCTATTTTTCCTCTACTTTGTAGATGCTCTGCTGATTTTTGTATTATGATGAAAATGTCAGTCTCCCTCGATCCCAGGGTGTCTGGGAAAGAATTTGCTGTGATAAACAACTGACCAGTTGGAAATAACTTGTTACCCTTTTACCATTACATACACATTAAACCAAACAAAGCAAAGGAACATTTCATAGCACGCCCAATCTGCTTACTGCCATTTACTAATGCAAGAGCAGTAAGTCATCGGTATTAGTGTTATTTTATTATATGTATCTCAGTGAAAATACTATTTTCTCTTCTGGCTCATTTAAATCTGATATGTAAAACCTTGTTCCACTTTCCTTTATAAATAAAAGCCACATTATATCATGGCTCACTTTCACAATTTTTCTCATGCTGGTCATTTGAGACTTTCAAGATTTTTGCTCTTTCCAAAAGCATTTCATCAGTAGCTAATCACTCACCTGTTGCTACTAAAAATTACAAGTGTAAATTAACTTCATCACTTGCATTGTTTAATGATTGTATTTGCCCTAATATGCTGCATCTACATCCCAGGGTTAATATCATAACTGCTTGATTAATATGACCAACATGTCTGGTTGAATTATGAAATAGAGAATACTGGAGCATCATGTTCTAATTGATTATCACTGGCAGGGCCTACCTAGGTGTTGTCTAGCGTGAAGAAACAAAGTACAGCAGCGTGGGAGATGGCAAAGGACAACTGCTTATGAGCAGCGTCTGAGATCTTCAAGCAATCATTATCTAAGTAAAGCCAACCACAACAAAAGTAAAAAGAAATAAGCTTTTATTTTCCTAAACACAAGTATGATCATATTGTGACCATTCGAAAACATTTTCAGCATGTGCCACTCCAATTTTAAAGAAGATGAACTACTGTATGAAATTTTTTTGGGATGTGGAGAAAACGTCTTAAAGTTAGCAGTCTAAGCCACTGGATACATTTACATTTGCTGGAGAATGAGTGAAAGTCGAATGCTAGCAGTGTCCCACAGATTTATCCCTTACATTAAGGCATTTATCAGCCTCCAGCCTCAGAGCTGACAGTGAGCACCGCTGCATGTAACCTCTCTGAGAAAGACAGATACAGCAAAAGGAAGGCAGGCAGGAAGGATGCCAAATGATTTTACAAGTATGCTGAAAGGCACTGAAAACATAGCGAACACTTCTGAAAAGTACTGCAGCTGGTGGGCTTCCTTTTTGTAACATACAGAAAATAAAGAGCTCCTGCACTGAGAAATTAATCTATAAAAATATTATTCAAGGAATCACTCATGCATAACTAAAACACTAGAAGATGTTTTGTCTGATAGCCATTGCTAGGTTTGTCTGCAGAGCATACTATATTTATACCAAGCCTGAAATGAAAAAAAAAATGTTCTAAGCAGTATTTTATTTATCCCTATAAAATCATTGAATGTTTACATGTTAAGTCATGCACATTTAGAAATTACCTTCATAAACTGAGGGATGGGTGTATATACTGTACATCAACTACTAAACTGCAGAACTTAAGTAAGAGTTATACAGGCTCTGATGATGAGCAACACCCATGAATGCTGGAAATCGGGAACTAATTACATTAACAGAACCAGTGATAATAAGTGGGAAAGAGATCACCTTGTTTCATAGTAATCATAGGTTTGGTGTTTTTAAAAAGGAAACTGAACATGTTTATTTGCTAGATATCACTTATATAAAAACTGCAACAATTCATTTTTAAGAATACTGAGGTCTGAAAAGTAGCTATTTGTTGCATAGAACAAATTAAGAAGCATGTACTTTTCCACTTCTCTCAAACCACATTCCATTAATTTAATTTTCTTTGATGAAATAATTAAAAGGCCTTTTCTACTAAGGTAAAAAACCTCCTTTTGAGATCACAAAAATTGGCAGGTACAGTTTAACTGAGATCAGTAATGGATTAGTTGATGAACTTGCACAGTGTGGCATGTGTGGTACAGTTATTGAGCTTTTCATGCAAAGACACGGCCCTGTCAAACTAGATCTGTGACTTTCTCAAAGAGGGGCACTTACTGGATAAAGGGAGAGATCTACAGAAAGTGCTGTATTTGTGACAATGATACAGTAACTTCAATAAGGTGACATCTGCTATAATTGTGGGCAATGCAGGTTGAGACCAGGCTCACACTGAAACCTGGTGGATGGATCTTACTGCAACCGCCACAAGGGCAGAAACTAATGAGCTTAGTACAGGCTGTGCATTTGACACCCATGGTGTACAGTCTTGGTCATCCCTAGAATAAACCAATATTAATTCTCAGGAATCAGTCCACAGAAGAGTGACCCCAAAAAGAAAGTAATGTCATGTATTGTGAAGCTGAAAGATTTCCTGTTTCAAGTATTCAGAATCCTCAAAGGATCTGACAAGGTCAGTACAACTGACTTTAGAATCAACATTGAAACACGTGCCCAGCTTCACACCTTGTTAAATTTTGATATTAACAATGCTAAAAAGTTAAATAGTTGTAAATAACAATACCCATGTTATCAAAGCTGTATACTGAACATTTTTCAAGAAATAGCTTGTACTTGTATACTTGTATAAATTAACTCCAAGACTCCAAATGAGGCAGGTAGGCTGAATGGTCCCCTCTCATTTGTAAAAGTTCTTATGCACCTGATATACAGTAAATTTCTATTATACTTTGGGAAAGATATTGACAGGAAAAGTGGGGATAATCTCCTGCAAACAGAAACAGTACATTCTCCTCTCCAGCATCCACTTAATTGCAGCAACAGCAAGTTCAAGTGGGAAGTTAGGAGGACATTTTCTGATTAAGGACAATTGAGCAGCTCAACAGACTATGTAAAAATGGTGCTTATTCAGGGTAAGATGAATTAAATCCCAACGCACGAGAGACAGTCCTACCAATACAACAGCAGCCAAGTGGCCCAGTGATTGATGGAACACATAGGGGCCACTAGAAGAGAACTAGTTAGATCCCAAACTTTTTGCATTAAAGGAAAGGGAGGACAAGACCACACTGTGCTGTAAACAACACAATACCACATATCCACTGAAATGCAACAGTATTTATTTTTAAAAGTGATGTGATGCAATCAATGCAGCCAGAGCCACAATGAACTAGGGAAATACCTTCTCATTGTTCACATTCAAAAGCACATTGGCTTTGAACATCAACAGGGATGCCCATTGATAATCTCTGTTTTTATTAGAAACTACACTAATGAATAAATTCTCAGTCCCAAAAAGATTATGTATCCACATCCACAGCAGAACACTGCGTATCAACATACTTAGCTGTGTACTCGTAATTATATTCTCTGCTCTCGTGTTTTGTTTCAGGAGGTAATCTACTGTACAGCATCTTGTGTGTTGATTACACTTGATTTTAAACAAGGGTGAGAGTTTCCCTACTAAAAGTCAACACCCCATCAATTCAATCTAGAGCACACAGCAATATAACACTAATTACTGCAAACCATATGGCTGTCAATGGATCTCAAGGAAATGGCTTCAGTTCACATACTATACACATTTATTCTCTGTCAAAGAGTTTCCAAGCTAGCAGCACCTCTGCTCCAGCTTCTTCCATTATGTACAGTACTGTAACACTGCCTCATTATGTATACGGTTTAAAATCTATGCTCGACAAATAGGGGCTGCATCCACCTAATCTCAGATAGGAAATCCCTTCAGGAACTCTGCTGAAAATAGGCATCAGTCCACTGAGTGCTTCTGGTTAATGTATTTTTCATTAACTTCATGAGGGGGTGGGAACACAATAAACTAGTGAATCAGAAGAATAGACAATGACAAAAACAGTGGAATAGTCAACAATAGTCTCTTGGACGGATGTAGTCAAAATAAGCAACAGTAGAAGTAAGGAATTTAAGATTCGCAGGTGTAAGGGGGCAAGAGGCCCTTCTTTACACAGAGAGGTGTAGTGGTCTGGAACAAAGTCCATGTGGTCGAAACTCTGGGGCCTTGATGGGATTCTTGGAACATTAAACTACTAGCAATAAAATCAGGTCAAATTTCCTCCTCTCATTTCTAACCCTTTTATGTTCTTATGAGTGTTATATAATTACCAAAAGGCTTGAGGCAACAAATAATGACTCTGGATCTTCCTTTTGTGGTACGAAACATATTTAACTACAAGAGTGACATTCAGAAAAATGGGAAAAAGATTTACATTTGTTTTAATACATAGTACAATCTTCTCTTTTGCCAAAAGTACTGTGAAAACATTCACGGATATAAAACCTTTAAAACATAGGACAGTCTACTGAAAAAAAGAAATCGTCTCAATTTAAATTAAGCTGGAATGTTTCAGCTGACAAATTAATGTGGTTGAAGCTGATGACTAAATAATGCTTTTCTAAAAGTACTTACTGTATTATGAGATGCAATTACATTTCTCCTGGCTACAAAAGCACAGAGAAACCTTTCTGAAAATGGCCACACATCTGGGGTTTATCATTTCTTTAACAAAACTAAAGCTAAACCATTTGAAATTGTTTTTGTGTAAAATAGTGCAGTGCATTAGGCATGCCAGCATTTTACTTAGCATGCAGCACACTGGGGTTTGTGGTACACGCACCACAGAAGATCAGACAGAGTAGCTGTAGATATAACGATAGTTACAGTCAAAGGAGACCAGTGAAATGTAAAAAAAAATAGAACAGTTGTATCTTACAGAATAACACCATTGTATTTACAGAAAGCCAGAAAGAGTGTTTAGGTAATTCTTGCCATGTAACTCAATTTTCAAGGCATTTTCAACAGTTCATCGTAATAATGGTCCTCAGTAGGCTCACCAGTCTTGCTTGGCCCAGCTCACCATGACAAACAATAGCACTGAAAGAAGCTGTCCAGCCTCTCTGCATCAGGTAACAAACTCACAAGCTGGAGATAAATGAGCACAAAGATCAAACTGGCAGATAGTACAGTGGGTTTTTATTTCCTAATCCAACAGTTCTAACAGCTATAAAAACATTGTTCCTTTGTAAAAAAACATTACATAAAGCTGTGTTTTCATTTTCAAAAGTTTTGTGTTAATTTAAAAAACCTCATACTGTTTAATCTATCTGCTAAAGGAAGACAGAACATTGCTACTGCAAAGAAGCACAAAGGATATCAAAAGCTCAGAACCTGACAATATCCATCTGACCTGAAGCACTATGTAGCCCTCCAGAGAACTACAATACAATTATTGATCCTCAGTCCATATTCTTCAATCCTTATATCCAATCACTCTACTGAACCTACAATAGCTCTGAGAAAAAACAGCAGCCTACTGAATGCTGAATAGGCATTATCTCACTGTTAGAGCTTGTGCTAAGCCACTTTGTAACACAGCAGGTATCCTTAAATGCTAGACAAATACTCTGACGTCTTATGCCTTCTTATTCTGATTGATCAGCTTTTCCTGATGTACTGTAACAATAATGCCATGTTAAAAGTTTGATGACCGAACATAAGCTTTAAGTTATGCATCATTATGATTGATAAATTATTTCATGATGATGGGTTGGGAATATAGAAATTAAGGACAACAGTGGTGTAATGCATTCTGTTTTAGACTTTTGAAAGAAAAGGCAATTCAGCTTCTCAATTTTAAGTATCAGTGTCTGTCTGACACTGTTTCTCTGTTTTTAAGAAATGCATTCTTTATGGAGGAAGCAAGCCTAACGTCATCTCACACCCACAGTAATGCCACATGCTCTCAGAGGCCGACAGCATGCATGATGGAAAGAGGAGAGCCATTACTATTCAGTCTATGTATAAAGGGCAGAGACGGGCCTCAGACCCGGGATTATGCCAAAGCCTGATGGTAAAGTATTAAAAGAAAGGTAATGGCGCAAGTAAAAGCCTACTTATGCAATCAATGCCACAAAATTAACTTTTAATCCCAGCAATTCAGAATGATTGAGCTGACAATAGTTTTATCCTCCATCCTTTAAATTTAATGGAGTGAAAAAAATTCTGTACAACAGATCACACTCACTACAGAAGGAGAAGGCTCCTTTTTTTTCCCCCCAAGTCCCATGAGACTCTGAGAATCAACTGCTTTTTTAAGAGCGAAAAGACAATAATTTTATTGCATTTACACAAACTTCAACACTAATTCTATGTCATTTCCTAATTTCCGGGAAGCATTATTCAATTTATTTGAAATTGTAAAAAAGAATATAGAAAGGCTTACCTGGAAGAACACGGCCATTGCTGCTATTATTCGTTTTTCATTAACAGCAGTACTGAAGCTGTCAAAATCGTCTGAATTATAAAAGTATATCTGCATCTGTGAAACAATGGATAACAAAAATAAAGCATTAGCAAAGCATCAATCATGAAGTGCAAAAAACACATCTGTGTTAAAAATGGAACACAAAAGTGAAAGATTACACAGAAAAAGCAAAACAGCAGCACAGTGAAATGAGGGTGGGATGCTGTTGGGTTGCATATCTATTTCTATTCATTTTACAGCCTTCCAAATTAGCAAGAGCAAACTTGAAAATAAAGGGCTATAAACTGGCTACTCTATAAAAAGATGGATATGCATAGGACATTGATGGATACGCTTTGAGACCAATCCACAGGTATCGCACACTTTGACTCTATAGATTAGAGTGTTGTATGTACCGGTATGTAAATGAGTTTTGTTTTCCATAAAATAAGCCTAATTAAAATGTTTTAGTTTGCTGCAACATCGCACAGACTGCAACATCACCTGCTGTAACAGGTATTCCTGTGAATGCAATTTGCACTGAATTAATCTAATTTAAACTGTGCAGAGAGGAACTCTTCAGGTTCCGTTCTTCATCTAGTTTTGGTCCTTTAAGAGTCTGCAGTGTAATATGTGTTCATTGACAAAACACAAAATAATTCAGTTATGTGCTCATTAATAAGAAAATATATTCATACAAATATAGTCTATGCATGTCCAGTGAAGGATGTGTGTGACAGTGCTAATCCTGTACATATAAACATATTTATCCTGTACCTCTTGGTTTTGAGATTATATATACAGTTTAAATATTGCTCCTTTAGGCATCTGTTACTCGGGGACAGTAATCAAACAAAACAATTACTTTTATTTGCCAACTGTATGACAGACAAGTCACTTCACATCTGTTCACTCATTGCAGAACATACGTTGTGCTTCTCTTCTTTTGTCTGCTGTCACTGGGAGATGTCATAACTGCTCTTCCATATCTAAGAGGACTCCCCGAAAGTTACCAAATCCCACAGTAGCTCAAGTCATTATTTTATATTAAGCAGGCAGTGAAAATATATTTCTATAAATTACCAGCCAGCTATTTAACTTGTCAGTGTTACTTAAGCCATGACAGTTTTTTTGAAGTATTTAAGAATGTTGCATTAGCTATAGTAAAAATATACAATATATGCCCACAGCAATAAAAATGTAATGAAGGGTTTCAAATATTGAATTTATTTAAAACTACAGAACTGTATCATACAGTGATGAAAATAAACATGCATAGGTCATGAAGGAACGTTTATGCAAGGAATAATTAACTTTCAATTTCAATAAATATGAAAAGAATAAAGGAGGATTTAGGATGTCTACAGCAGAATCACTTTTGACATTTTAATTATATTTAAATGAACAGAAATGTATTGAAATAAAAAAGTATTACAATAGGTTTCTTCTTAGTGCAAATACACATTGTCAAAAGCTTTGCTACATTTCTTCCAGCATTTTTCTCCTTGTACTGTTCAATGTCTTATAAAAGACAAGTATACAGTAGGTTTTCTACAACTTACATATCACTCTCAATTGAAGAGTGAAAGATAAAAAAACCAGCAGCTGTCGAAATGAAACGTTGAACACCATTTCCGATGACCAAACAGTTTGAAAGCTAAAATTAAAAACAGATACAATAACAGACCTTCAACTGACAAGAGAAAAAGATTGAAGCAAATCATTGACTTTTTTTCTATGTACAGTATATATACCAATCACCTGAGTTCTTTATCACATGCAGGGATTCATTTTTTCAAATTTAAATTTAAATGATCAAATTATGAAATTTAGATTTAAATGATCATTTTACATTTACTATCTAGGTATCATTGTGTTTTGGTCCTCTTCTATAGCTTCACAGCATCTGAATGCTTAAAGAAATCTAGACCGATTTGTTGACAGGTTACCAGGAAGAGATGGAGCTAGGAGCATTCTCATTCCGGACATTCCTTCTTTTAGTGTCAATGTCACTTTGCAATGCGCTCTGGAGATGTCTTACAGCACCTGACGTTTAAAAAAAAGACCACTGGCACCTGTTAAGATGTCTTGACAGGAAAACAGTTCTCAGAATTCCAGACATATTCCTGTATCTGCAATTAATAATTTACAAAGTAACACTGCCTGAGGCCTGTTTTTCACTGGCAAAGAAGCAAAAGTAGGTAAGATCCACACACACACAAAAGCACAACAAAATAGAGAAAAAAACGTAATGCTTCTGGTACTTCATGACCATAAATGCTTCTTTAAAACCAAATTAATATTTTGAACTTGGCAGACTTTTTGCAAATAATGGAGAAACAACTTATAGACAATCAGGTTGTATATTTCTCAAATAAAAAAGTATATCTTAAGTCCCTGAAGTATTTCATTAAGTATCCTTTACTGGGGAATCAATTACCAGCATAGCCTGGCCTTCACCATAATGTTATGTAACTTTGGTAGCTTTATTAGAACCGCAGGTGTGAAGCAGATGTTTCATTTCTGTGCCCAGAATGTGCTTGCAGGCGCTCTCCCAACACACTGGGCTCATCTGAATATTAATAGGAGTTCATCCTGTTTATTGAAAGTCCATCAGAATTTGCTGGCTGAATTCAATAAACTGGAAATGTGACTACTTCTAAGCGATGCAACAATAACAAGACAATAAGTTACGATTCTGTTGGAAATCACAGCATATTCTGTGTAGAGGATTAAGGATGTACCCTGAATCCCAATACAAGGTCTCAAGAGCATGTTATCAAGCAAGATAAAGCCCTTTACGGCTTGTAATGCATAAAATGGTGATCCTAAACACACAAAGCAACTGAAGCTAGGTATAAGAAAAATGCATTTCAGTCACACAAAAACTTGCCACAGCTCTAGAAACAACACATTTCAATTCAATTTTACAAAACCCACAACAGCACCTGTAAGATAACATGTGATAATCCATATCTTTCTTATTCATCATAACACTCTTGAAATTAACACTTCGCAAAGCCAGAGCAAATATTTACCCCTCAGCAAACAAATGCACACCTTTCCTTTAACACCAGAGATGACACAGACAATTCTTCAAATGTGTGAATTTACAAAACAAGGAGAAAGCTAAAGTCATGCCCTGTATAAGGACCAAAAAGAAAAAAAAAACATTTTCATCCCCTTTTCAAATATTGTCAATATTATGTCGCTTTCATTTTCCGTGCCAAACTGATTCTTACAGAAAGCGTTTTCTTCAGAGACTTTGATCTATTTCAGGCAGAGATGATTCGGTATTCTCATGTGATCTCGTTACAGTTATATAGAACACAACTTACACTGTACATGCAACAATTGTTACATGCAGAAGCAGCATATTCTAATAACTAACAAATGGATTCTGATGAAGGGCACAAATATGCAAGTCGTGTAATCAAGGGCACCCACCTTCGTGTGTTTGGTCTACACAATTTGGTCTACACATAATTTTACAAATACTAAACTGAAGTAGCTTTGTGGGGTCTTATACATTTTAACCTTTCTTGTATTGGCAGCTTAAAATTGGTAGTCTGTTTGCATCCCACAGTGTGGAAGAGTGATAGGTAGTGGCACATTCTCCATCTGCATTCAGCAAAAAGATGTATGATGCTGACAGAATACAAAGCAACCACAGATTTAAATCAGGATGAAAGCTGCTGGCTAAAAAGCTATTGAATGGATAGAACCAACTGCAGTGTTTTTTTTTTTAAATTGGGATGAAACTCAGGCGCTTCAGGAGTGAGCTCACCACAAAAATGGCAAAAGCTGAACTGCTTTTTATGCATCTTAATCTGTTTATTTTTGTTTTGGAATTTCAAAACAAATTGGCAGCATTCTGAGCTGCAGGATGGGGTATTAAGAAGGGTAATGGAATGAATCTTATGGAATGAATCATATGATCTTGCAATGTTGGTGGAAGATAGATTAGACTAAATGGCAAATTACTTTCAAATTTATACAGACGTGCCAATAATTCATTCAGACATATAAAAAAGAGGGTTCCACACCCTTAACAGCCATTCTGAAATCCATTATCAATACTAATGAGGCCATACTGCTAAGTAAAATATTGGTCTGCTCATCAAAAGGGTTTCTACAGCACACTAGAGAGACATGCTGAAGAAACAGCAGCTTTTCAATCTTTAGGAGAGTGACCAGTATGCTTTTATGTGTCAGTTTAGATACATTGGCACCAATGGGTGTGCATGGCACTGTATGTATGATCACCTCTCTTGTTCAGGCACTTCATAGCTGGAAGGCCAAACAGTTTGTCAGCTTTTTTTTCTTTTGCTTAATTTGTTTACCATATAAATCAGAGTCCATGTTCTTTAAAAACACAAAGCAGAAGCTTCATATTGACTTTCCAGTGGTAAAATGAACACTTCTTAAAATGCAAGGTCTTTTCTCAGTGCTTCTGAAAAGCCTGTACAAATATACAGAGGCTTACAAGAGCAAGCAGATTTCTATCAGATAGGTCTTGGTGTTTACTTTAATCCTAGGGCCTGGAGGAGGGCAAGGTAAAGGCCATGCCAGAACTGTCAACAAGTTGGTGGCTTTTAGATGTTGCAGATCATTTTCCAATGACCCTCTTCATCAGTTCCTGCACTGATGAAAGAAGTTTACTGGGGACTGAAAATGTGCAACACAACAAAAGTCAGTTTTAAAAAAACTGCACATACCCAGAGTATCTGGGTGTCTGTGGAGGGACTTTTTGAACCTATATGAATATTAAAGGATGAGAAAAGTAATTACTACCTTTAGCAATATGTACTGTACATATGTAAGGAAAAAATACAATTTTACCAGATTACGTGCATCTGGAATTATGTATTTACTAAGAATAAGATTAATACAATTTACCAGTTTATTGCTGAAAACACTAAGCACACTTAAGTATAAACCTTGGCCTAATGAAGGACAGTATAATGAGTTATGAACTAATCCATCTCAAAGGTTAAATAAAACATAAAACAAAACACTGTGTTCACAAAATCAGATGAGAGACTCAAAAACAATTTGCAATGTAAGGGATGTCA